ATTGCCTTTCTTGAAAATGTCAATAATATTCATGGAATCAAATGTCTGTAGCACATTCCAAGTTATATCAACAACTTGAAACAATTAAAAGAAAAGGGTATCTCCAAAGTGATTTGTGTCAGTGTCAATGACAGTTTTGTCATGAAGGCATGGAAGGAAAAGGTTGCCCCAGATGTCGACATTGAATTCATTGCTGATCCCTTTGGCGAATTCACAAGACAAGTTGGTCTCGAAATTGATTTGACTGCTGCTGGTTTGGGAAAGAGATGCAAACGTTATGCTATGCTTGTTGAAAATGGAACTGTTAAGCAATTGTTTGTTGAAGAGAGTCCAGGTCAATTAGAAAAGACCACTGCTGAGAACATGTTGACTCTTCTTTAAATATTTATTAATTTTAGCAGCTCAACATTTTCAATAAATTATTATTCAATTTAAAAACTGTTAGTTGTGCCAGTCAAAAGTTGTGGCAGAGAGAGGACCTAGTGCGCATGGCTATTGGGGAATTCAAATAAATTGCTCTAGTAACGGTTATGATTGTGTAGTTAATCGGAATCTTTGAGTGATGATAACAACTCCTTCAGTATACCCATAAATTGTTCTCAATAACAACAACATCATCACTATATTCCAAAACATCACAATTATTCGGTTTCAATTTCAACTTCCTTTTCCACCTCCGCTTCCTCTTCCTCGCTTTGTTTAAAATCTTCGGGATTATAAATCACTCGTATCACCAAAGAACAGCTCGGACAATGAGCAATCTCTTCTCCATTGGCCAACTCTTGCAAAGAAATTGAAAATATATCTCCGCATGGGCATGGATAGTAATAGGTACCTTCCTCCTCGTTGAACATCATATCCTCAATTTCAATTTCGTCATAATAAGCCATTTTTTTTAATTTCAAAATTCTAATTGCACGTTGCTTCTCATTAAAACCATTCCTTCAACTCAACGAATAAACATTTTCTCACCTCGTTCTACTGTTTATGCAAAAGAGAGGTAAAGGAAAGGAACTTGATTTCAAAGAATGAACAAGAAAGGTTCGGGAACAGTTCTCATCATGTTCTTTTACAAATTAAAAAAAAACACCAAATTCAAAAGCCTCCATTCACCAAGATATTAAGATGACCAATCCATGGATGGCTGATGATATGATTTTTCAAATGTATCAATTTCTAACATCTAGATTTATTATTTCAGTGTGTAGACTCGTTTCCAAGCAGTGGAATTTAAAAGCCATAGAAGTATCTCTCACTTTGGATTATTCAAATCTTTGTTTGCGTCCGAGATTGGATGAATTATTACTAGATGATGGTGGTACAACAGCACAAACAAATTCTTTGATTCCTCACCTATTCATTCAAAATATTACTTGCTTAAATTTATCAAACAATTTACTGGGACCAGATCATTTGAACACTCTAGCCTGTTGCGAATATTTGAACAATTTGAAATCATTGGATATTTCTGAAAATAGTATAGTTGAGAATTGTGAGTCATCTTCGGAAGTCATTTATTTACTCGTGTCGAGTAAATTCATGTCTAATTTAACATGTTTGAATGTTGGAGCTACAAAGCTCAAAGATGACGGTGCATTGATGATTGCTACAAGTCCATACATGTCCAATTTACGAGAGCTTTATTTGAGGGCAAATTTGATGACCAATTCAGGAGTTGAAGCAATTGCAAATAGTAAGATACTTTCAAATCTTACCACATTGGATCTTTCTGGCAATCATATTACACCTGAAGGAGTTTTATGTTTGACCCAGAGTAGTAACATGAAAAATCTTACTGATTTGAATTTAAACGGAAATAAGGTTAGTCTTGAGGGCGTTGTGTATATTACCTCAAGCAAATATTTAAAAAATCTTAGAAAGTTACATTTGGCCTATGCTAGCATTAATGATGAAGCAGTTGAGGCTCTGTGTAGAAGCATGTCAATGTGTAATTTAACAGAATTGAATTTAATTGGAAATTCAAAGCGTTTTTCTATGACACTCAAGCCTTGCATCACAACGAAATCGATAACAATTATTTCCTCGAGCGTTTTCAAAAACCATTTACACAACTTGTCGATCAGTATTGACGATATTGATATGACCAGTATGAAAGAACTGACCGAAAGCTCAAAACATCTCAGAACACTTGAATTGATTGGTTGTAATATCCACGAAGAAGCAGGTACATTTATTATGCAGAGTTCACACCTTCTAAATGTAACTAATTTAAGTTTGCGCTACAACCAGTTGGACGGTACATTATTTTTTAATAATTACATTTCGACAAATCATTTTGAAAAATTAACATGTATAGATTTGAGCTTCAACAGTATCAAGGCAGAAGGCGCTGTATTGATGTCACAATGCTCTCGATTAAGGAATGTTAAAGAATTGGATTTAAGTCACAATGAAATTGGTGATCAAGGACTCTCGGCATTGGCTTCCAGCCAATATTTAAGCAAGTTGACAAGGTTAAAGCTGGATCATAATAGAATTGGCAACCATGGCGTTGTGGCATTGTGCAAGAGTGAATGTCCATTGAAAAGTTTGACACATCTCGATCTGAGTTGGAACTCTCAAATTTACAGTGAAGGAGGAGTCTCTATTGCTAACAGCGCCAATATGAAGAATTTAACTTTTTTACATTTTCATAATTGCAACATTGGAACAAAAGGAGCACAAGCCATTGCCTCGAGCGAATTTATGCAAAACTTGACAGGTATGTTTTTAAAGTTATTTTGATTGAATGGTGTCAGTCACAACTTGTAATAGAGCTACATGTGCCATATAATTGCATTGCAACGAAAGGGGCTCTCGCTATTGCTTCGAGCCAGCACTTGAAAAAGTTGCGAGTGCTCTCAATGCAAGGAAATGTGATTGGAGCAAACGCGTACGAGGTGACTGCAGAAAAACTCTCCACTTTCAAACATTTGACCACCATTTCTATTCAGAGGCCAAGAAGATAAAAAGTTGTGGAAAAGACGTCGTAGAAAAGTGATCTTACAAAAACAAACAACCTTCCTTGTTCGCAATATTAAAAACTTTTTATTTGAAAACCAATACACGATCATTTCCACCATCACAAATATACAATTCACCTGTTTCCTCATCAAGACAAACTCCACTGGGACCATTGAATTGGTTATCCAAATCACCATATTTCCCATAACTTTTGACAAAACAACCCTTCTCATTAAAAATTTGAACTCTGCCGTTCAACCAATCAGAGACAATCCAATGACCGAATTTTGCATTAAATACAATCGAACGAGGATGATGAAATTCACCTTCGTGGTGACCCCATTTTCCAAACTGTGAAATTTGTTCCCATTTCTCTTCATTCGTTCCTGAATTCAGTGTGACTTGGAAAATTAAAATTGTACTTTCATGAGTGGAGCAAACCAATAAAAGATCATGTCGAGGAGAAAAACACATTCCACGAGGAGATTTCCCAAATGCAAAGGTTTGCATACATTGACCTGTTGTTGCATCTAAAATTGCAATTTGACTACTCAAATCTGAAAAAGGATTAACACAAGCTGCAAAAATCAATGAATTCGTAAAGGAATATTTCACAGCCAACCCCCTCATGTCATACTGTTGCAAATTCTCTTTGGCTTCCCAGAGAAGGGCGTCTAGACACACCCGATTGCCTCCTCTCCGTACCAAAATTTGTAAATCATGTTTTTGAATGTGTTTGCTACAACCAATGAGTAATGCATCTTGATCAAAATTATTGTAATTTTCTTGTAGGGCAATCGTTAAAGAGTGTTTTCCAAGAGGTTGTAAGAGAGAGATTTTGAATTGTTTTGTCACAAGATCGAATAATTGAATTCTTCTGTTTTGTTGATCGTTAATGAGAATGCAGGAATGATGATAGGAAATGGCAATATCCGTTGGTGAGTGTAATTCTTGTTGAGAATTGCCATTCCTTCCAGTTCCGAATTTGTGAACCAGTTGAAATTGCATTTCAAATCCCATAGGACTTGATTGCTTTCTTTTTCTGCAGCAACTTCTTCTCATCTCACAATTAAATTTATCAATTAAATTTTTGTAATAATTATCATCTGTATGGGATGGATCTGTGACAATCATGTCAGAGAGCTCTATAATCACTTGCTGAGTGCCATCTTGTGTGCCCATTTTTTTTAATTAAATTCAATACTCATTTGGCTCCGTACGTATCACTCTCATTACAAATGTTCCAGCAAGAGCATTGTGTTCCTAATTCTTGTGTGGAATGGCTTGCAAGCGTAAAAGGTTGTTCATTTAAATGAAGGCATGTCTACTAGAATTTGCATGATTGGATGGTCTCATATAAATTAAAACCAATGTCATCCGATTCTTCATGAATGGTTTTCACGATTGAGTAGATAACAAAAAGTATTGTTGTTCCTTTTCCATACCAATAGTCTTGTACAAGACATTCCCAAGTTTCACTTTGGCTCTTCCTTTAAATGACCATTCCACATATGAAGTTGAATACACACTCTCAGCAACAAGGGTAGTCACTTTAGAGATGACATCTTGACTAAGGCCTTGTCTTGTCAAGTTTAAATTGAAACTAAGGTAATAGCTTGTATCTAAAAATTGCTCCACTGCCACACTTGTTCCATTGCCCTCCAAATCCCATGACATGGGATGTGCCAAAATATCATAGGAGGTTTGAGCTGATATGTCCTTAACACATATCTTGTCAATATTAATTGATGTTAAATAAACAGTTTGCAAATTGTTGTTATACGAGTTAATAGTTAAATAGAATCCAATAACGGAATGTTGGGGTATTTTCGTAATGGAAATTTGGTCTATATACACATAAGGGGTCCTGAACACATAAAATATCACACATAATGCAGATATTAATGAAGCAATTAAAATTCCAAATATCAATGAAATTACAAATGAGCATTGCCATCTTCTAATAGTGTTCTTTTGCTGTAAATATTGAACTTGAAATGTAGTAAGTAAGTGTTGTGAAGATGCTAGTGAAGAATTTGTTGAAATAAGTGAGGAGTCATTGGTAGATCCTATTAATTTTTCCTTTCCTTTAAATCCAACTTGTGCAATTGCACCTTGTTGTGACCTGAGAGCAGTATTCATTTGATTATTTCCACTCAATACTCTTCTGTGTAAGAGACGTCTCTTGCTTCCTTGTGGATGTGCCGTTGCTGTAAGCGATATTTGATGCGTGGGAAGGGATGTGGTGTCATTGATGTTACTACTCGGATTTGATGAATTATGATTCACAGAAAACCCAGAAATAGGAACGGATAATCTATTTTGTTGTTGGGTATTATTACCTTGTTGACGGTTCAGAAAAGGTTTTTCCTCTTCTTCGTCATTATCATCATCATCATTATTAATAATAACTGATGATTGTTCCTCATCATCCTCTTCTGACAACTGATCCGTTGTCGTTGAAATAATGATAGGAATTTGTTCTTTATCCACGTGCTTTACATCTGACTCGGTGTCCTCCTTCTTCCGAGTGCTCATGAGATGATCATCATTGCTGGAATTCAATAAAGAAGGTTTAGCAGAGCGAGAAGGTAACGGAGGTCGTGGTCTCATTTTTTTAAGGTTTCTTTTTGAAAAAATCTGTTTTGTGTTTGAACAAACCTGTTGAAATATCTTTATATTCCAATGGTCATACAAATGGTATCCAATTACTGATCCAATGTTTTCAAACATGTTCACGTTATATTATTTACTTTTTAATTTTTTCAATGACTAAATCTCGGATCAATCTCAAATCCTTTTCGAGATTTTCTGGAGCTAGTCCTGATGCAGAATCATTAATTTCTAAAATATATTCTTTAGTGATGACTGGAGTGGTCTTTCCTGTCTCGATAGTTTCAACAAGGATGGCATCGAGTGTGAAAATATCTAATTCACAGCCAATTTCTCTCTTCATGGCTTCATCAACCCATTTGATCCAATCTTTTCCAATACTGTCATCGTATATGAAACTGCTGTTATACTTACCTTTGTAATGCTTCTTAACTTCAACTTCTTTCAAAATTGAATTTCCAACATTACCTTTCCAATTGGAACTCACTCTTTCATACACTCGAATATTCTTTCCAATTTTCTGAACTCTAATGTCACACTTTCGATTGGAAATGAATGGTTCACATGTCATAAAGTCATTGTAACGAGTTACAACACCTGCAAAATCACGCAGTGTTCCACTATCGTTATTTAAGAGAACCTTTCCATACCCTGCTTCAGCGGATCCAACTTTTAACACGACCTTGTTTTCACTCGAATTTGGCGTAAATAAAATAGTATGAGGTTCGCTATAATAATACTGATCGATCAATGGAAATTTATCATAACCCTTGTCATCTCTGATTTGAGTCAAAATTCCATGAATAATTGGACGTTGTAAATTCAAATAAATAGATTTTAAATTATTGACGGAATCTAAATTACAATGAATCATTCCAAGTAAATGATTGGTATAATCGTGTTGATCAATTTTCAATCCCTGAACTAATTTCCGAACCAGAACAAATTGTGGACGACAAACTCTCTGTTTGTTTCTCTGTTCATTATGACTGCATTTGGTCTTGTAAGGTCTCATGGTCACTTCACAACGTTTACTTTTCGATGTGAAATTTTCATTGAAACTGGTCACAGAGAGAATATTTTCCCAAGTGGTCTGTTCGATCTGAATATTGTATTTTGAAATAAAATCTGGTTGTTCTGAGAAGATTTGATCCCAATGAATTTGTTCACTATCAATGATGAGTATGATGAATGGATCGGAGGATGACATTTTTTTTTCGCAATTTTCTGAGAGTTCACAGTGCACCAACTACAGAACTCTTTCAGAACACTCGTGCATTGTTCAATTTCATACACTCACTCTGTCATGCATAAATTTCGTACGAGAGCCGTCAAAACTATGTTCAGATCTACTCACTGTTAAAAAAAATGATCGATCAACTTCCTGATGAATTATTATTCTCCATCATGCTGTATTGTGAAGACTTGAAAACAGTCTCCGAGATGCTCCTTCTCAACAAACGTTGTCTATCTATGGCCAGATACGAAGCCTTGTGGAGAATGAGATTTGCTTTCTTTCTCAAAAAAGAAGTTTGGCAAGAAGAAGCCAAACTCTCTCATGACCTGTATAAATTACAAATCTCCAAACAAAAAGGACAAATCAGGAAATTGAATGAAAAAATTAAAACTCATGTCAAAGAGGCAGAGAGTATGTATTTGAGAGAGAAACATTTGTGTGAAGTTGGAGCTGTGTTGAAAGAGGATGAAGAGGATGTATTGCATTTGAATCACCATCCACAACTACCAGCCAATACCTTATCGGAGGATAAGCAAAAGGATGATGTGACATCTTCCACAGTGGAACGAGGTCAACAATCTCAAAAATTAACAGCCAACAGCATCATTGAAAAAACAGGAGGAGTTGTCGATTTCTATATCGGATATCGTTTTTACACCATTGCTAAAAAGGAGGTGACAGGAAGAGCAACCTCTAAATTGCATCAGGAATTTTCAGAGACCTACTGTAGTGCATTGAAAAATTTTGGACTCGGACAGCACGGCAATCAAACCTTACTGGTGATGAATCCTGATACCAATCCTTTGATCATCAAGTGGAAGAAGGTGGTTGCATTCTCTCAAGAAAATTTTATCGCTGATTCGAATGATCACAGAGACATGGAATATCATCTTCAACGAAAGGCATCACCATTTCTGATTGCAAGCTTTTTCGAAGATTATTACCACATAATGAAACATGTGGACAAGTATTTTGCAGGTCTTAACGCTCCCAATGAAAGAGATCAATTCCAGGAACTCAATTCCAAGTTAGTGAACCCCATCATTGAGTTAACTTCGACAAGCAAGTTCCAATATCCAGTGAATATTTTCAGATTGTTGGAAGAAGGAGCATTTAAATTGAGCGACTACACTCTCAACGAATCACTCATGCATGAATTGAAGCTAGAATTACAGAGAGACGATAATTCCAAGAAATTTAAAACTGTGTCAATTAAGGATTTAGATATTATCAATTTCCTGTTGCCACAATTCACTGCTCTATTGCATATGAGTTATGATGTGAGTGAAATTGAGCGAATTTTGCGATTTTGGATTCAAGAATTTCCATCCCTCATGTCACACGTAAAATCGCAACCACCTTATTCTGCAACACCACCAAACACTCTCTCCAAATCGGATGTTGACGTGTTGGCCTCCTATTTGATATCACGCTGTCCTGTGAGACATCAGTTCATTCACCACATGTCCTATGAGCTGTTAATTAAGGCCACTTCGGATTGGGGTCTTTATGACCAATTTGACATTCCAAGCACAATCGACACCATTTTCCATGACTATCGCAAACTTCATGAACACAGAGGTTCCAACTCCTTTAGAACTCATCCCATTTCTGACGAAGAATTGATTGATTTCATTCGACTTCTTGAAAAGCTTTATAACAAGGGAGAAAACGTGATTAATGCCAATGCTGCCGTGACATGTGTGGTTTTTTGCTCTTCATGGCTACTCTGGAAGTTTTGCATTGAGGAACGAAAAATTAATCTTAATGAGGCTACTTCATTCTTTAAGAGTGACAGCTATTACTTTGCTGGACCATGCTCAATTCTTTATCGGTTTGTAGATCAACAAAATAGATCCATGGATGAAAGGGAATACGTTTCACGAGTTGAATATATTATGAACCATTTAGATCACTCCATCGATTATCATCGTCATGCCGTCAATACCGATCCAATTTCATCTGTATTGCTCCGTTTCGTTTCGTTTTATTCCCAACAGATGCCTCTTGATGGCAGTGAACAATTTCTCGAGTCGCTTAAAACCAACACCAAAGTTCAGCGATGGAAGAAATTGATTCAAAGAATGTTTGAGATGGGTTCCCGAGCGACACGAATTACGAACAAGGCTTACGTTTCGCAAGGATATGCGCGTTATTACTATTCCGTTCCTTTTGAAATGCTAAGCCAATACCCTCTCTTGTGCCCATTTGAGGATCTCATTACTGAACAGGCTAACATTGAGGAAACTGAAGAAATGGAGTCCAGTATGAGGTACTATGACATGTTATCATTGATTCAACCTTCTACCACGTTATCAGCCACCCAGGAACTTCCTGTACAGCAAGAACAATATCATCATGAAGAAGAGCAATAGTAATAAGGAGCGAACTTTTAAACCCGAACGTCCATTCTCTAGCATGATGAAACCGAATTTCGGGCATATCTACTTGGTATATTCAACAAGACACACTCAAGTTGAGTGTTGCGTACATACAACAACCAACAGTTGCGCTCATTTTTACGATTTTTTCATTGTATCAAACAAAAAAAAATGAGCGCAACAACACTTCAAGTATCCTCAATGCAGGAAATGAAAATTGATAATCATCATTCCCTTCGGAATGAGTCCACAAAGACTTCATTGAAAGGAGTGGAGTCGGTCCGACGTTGTATGGAAGAAATGAATGATCAGTTGGTGCGATTGGTCCAACACCATCAATTTGATTTTGAAAAGGTTTCCATTTCTTTTCAAAAATTTGTACAGTTTTTAAAGACGTTGTATGTTCGAGAATTGGAGCACGTTGACTCAAGCATTTTCAATGCTGATATTTGTAGGGCAAGATATGCCTTGCTTGATTGGAATCAGTGGAGTTTTGTGACACCACCAGCTTCTGTTTCATTTGAGAAACCTTCTCTCAAAGCCCCTGCTCAATCTCCCAACCATAAATTCAAAGAAAACAAGAAAAAACAAGTGGAAAAAGTGCGAATTAAATACGCACAAATGCACAAGGAGGTTAATAACACCTTGCCCTCCATAGACGACCAAGATAGCGACGAAGAGAATATCTTCTTCTCTAACCTTCCTCCAGCAACCGAGTTCGAAAAACAATTATTTTCAAAAGATGTTGATTTTTGGGGAGTGGAAGGAAACAATAATTCAGCTTCTTCGACAATCACCCTTCCTAAACAAATTGGTGATGACAACAAAGAAGATCTAGACGTGGACGAACTCGAAGATCAATGGTTTGAGGTAGGGAAGCACATCGCGTCCAGATCTTCACCCAAAAAGGTTCCAAAAGGAAGTCCAACATCCATGGAATTAGGTATTTACAAGAAACTGTACGAACATGAGTTGCAAGTGAAGGAAACCATTTTAGAACATTCGACACAGCTTGAAAAATCACACTCTCCAGAAAAGCACAAGTCCACAGTTGAAGACAAGCGATTGAGGAGCAGACTCTCCAGAATGAAAGTGGTTGAACATGATAGTGATTAAAGATTTGTGTAATATGATGTATGATCTAAAAGAGAAATATGCAATAGGTTTCCAACAAACATGATCATGGTCATAAAAATAATAAATACTAATTTATTTCTTCTTCTTGCCACCTTGATTGTTGCTTGGAAGAGTTTCAAAAGACTTGTTAGCGAGGAATTCTTGAGCGAATTTTTGAACAGCAGAAGAGTTTCCAATATACTCGGACATGTAGTCCACAATCTCCTTATCGCTGTTGAGTGACAATAAAAGGTTCATGAAAGATGGAGGATCTACAGACTTGTTCAACTTTTTAAGTCCCTTCTTGAACCAGTCTTTGAATTCTTGTGAAACGCTCAACTCTTCAGAGGAACCGGTGGAAGCCATGCTTGATGTTTGTTGAGAAGAGGCGGTGGAGGTTGTGGTGCCAACAGAGCTAGCAAATGAAGTAGGCTTCTCGTTAGAAGGAGTCTTTTTCTTCTTGTCTTTCTTTTTCTTATCAGAGGCGTTGGTAATAACAACTGCTGGAGTGGCAGCAGCAGGAGCGGTATATTCCCAGAATGGAGACTCTTCTTCTTCTTCCTCAGTTGGAGAGTTGGAGGAATTGGTCGTAGTGGTGATGGTAGAAGTGACTGGTTGTGGCTTAATAGCTTGGAATTGGAAGGTTTTAGTTTCAACTCTAGTTGGAGTAGAAGAACCAAAGAATGTAGGTGTGGATGAGGTGGTTGATGAAGTGGTAGCATCATTTGGAATGGCCTTGAACTGATGTGTAGTTGTTCCCCATGCAGAAGCGCCAGTTGCTTTTTTGAGTACTGAAGCTTGATTTTGAGCTTGTTTTTGAGCATTTTGCTTCTTCTTCTTGGCCTCTTCCTCTTGAATTTCCTTAATGGAAGGTGTGGTCACAGAACCAACATTAACAACGCCCCATGGATTTGCGCTGACGGCCTTAGTTTGTTCAGCTTCTTTCTTCTTTTGTTGAGTTTCCTTGTTCAACTTGTTAGATTCTTTCTTTTGTTGTTCCATGATTTGCTTGAGTGTTGGTACAGGTCCAGTAGTTGCCGTAGCAGTCACACCCCAACCCTTTTCCTCTTTCTTTTGAGGCTCAGCAAAGCTGACAACCTCAGAAGGTGGAACGGATTTGAACACAGGTTCTGGTTTAAATGAAGGAAGTTCTGGTTGTTTCTTGGTTTGCTTTTCTGTGGTGGTGGCAGTAGAAGTAGTAGCCTTTGACTCCTTTTTACCAGAGGATGCCGCTGCTGATTTCTTACTGCTCTTTGATTTGGGTGTCTTTTCTTGAGGGGTCTCTTCGTGTTGCTGTTCCTTAGATACTTCTTCTTGAGGACTGTGGGCATGATCTTCAGCTGCAGCTAGAGATTCGTCTTCTTCTTCCTCTTGTTGATGGGAAGACTTGTCTTCTTGAGTAGAAGAGCCAAGCTGAGGTGATTGAACAGTAGTTTGAGTGCCCAACACTTGTTGCTCAACCTGTTCATCGTGATGATGAACTGTATCTGTGCCCATAGCCTCAGAATGCACAGTAGTAGCTTGTTGGAAGGAGTCCACAGATGGATGTTGAGGAACAAATAATAGCTCATTTTCAATATCAGTGACGCTTACAGGCATTTGACCTGGCTGGGGAATATTTCCACCCAATCCTAACATATTGGAAGGCATGCCCCAAGCATTTTGTTGATGCATGAATGGAGGCATATTGAACGGAGGAAGGTTGACCATACCTGGTGACATAAATGGATAACCGTGGTGAGGATGATGCATCATTGGACTTAAGGTTGATGGGTCCATGGATGGTGGCTGGTGTTGTGAAAATCCCCAAGGATGTGAAAATGGTTGAGATAAATTAGTAGGAGTTGGAGTTGGAGTGATTGGTAGGCTTGGTGGTTGTGTGGTTGTTGGGGTGAGCGTCTTTTCTCCACTCAGTGAAGTCAACAACGAGCCCTGGAGAGGTGTATTCATGGGAAGTGAAGATGTTCCACTGGACAAAAATGGTGATGGCTCATTAAGGCCGAGTCGAGTGGTAGAGCTCTCAGTTCTGAAGGATGATGAAACCATTCCAATACCGCCAGAGGTTGTGTTAGCACTTGTACCTGAAAGTAGAGGAGATGTTGGAGAAACTACAGAAGAAAGTCCATAGGAAGATGATCCCATTAATAAATTGCTCATGAGTGGGCTTTCAGAGGCCATAATGCCCGAAGTATTAGTTGTGACTGGCTTTTGATCGCTCGTTTCATCACTCTTGGGCATGACATTGTTCAATACATCTCCCAGAGTTCGAGTTAATGACGAGTCCAAATCCTCTTTAACAATTGTGTCTGACTGAAGATAGGATAATTCCATCCATTCCTTCAATTTTTGCAAGGAATAAGGTCCCTTCATTTCATTATCTTCTGACATGTAGTACCATTGAGAATCCCAATCAATATCGTCTCCTTGTTGGGAGGACGGCTCCAATTCTTCATCGAGATGTGAAATGTCAGAGGTAACTTTGTTTTTGCTCAATTGATGTTTCCAAGTCTCGTTCATTTTCATTGTAGCTGCAGCCATGCTCTCAAGGGAGAATGCTCCAGAAGCAGGTGATGCTGTTGTTCCAAAAGTGTCCTCATCATCTCCCAAAGATGTTGTACCGCCAGCTGCTCCAAATGTTGATGAAGATAAATGCAAGCCTGAAGAATCTGTTGTTGCGGAAAAGTCTTCATCATCAAGAGCCCACGCAGGAAGTCTTGAGATTGGACTATTGGTGTTTGGTGATGATCTTGAAACACCGCGTCTCTCACCAATTCCTCTTCCCAACAAGAGGCTTGATGTTCCGTTATTTCCTATCATTGGTGATGTTGTTGAATTGCTTGTGCTTCCCAACAAGTTGTTCGTGTTGAGAGAAAGGGAAGAACTAAATCCGGTTCTGCTACTAGCTCCTCCACTAGTTCCACCAATAATACCTCCTCCACGTCTACTTCCTCCTCGACCGCCTCGTCCACGACCTCTGGTGGATGTTGGTGGGAAGGTAGTATCAGGATTAATATTCTATTATTTAGGTTGTGTGTGAATGATAATTTTGTTCATCAACAGGTAAAATTGTGTTCATCCGTCATGATGAGATGTTGATCATGAATCAATCATAACATTATCATCATGAATAAAATAATGAATGCAAAATGATCAACAGATGATGATGAAATTTTCATAAAATTGTTCCGTTTGTGGTTGTATATATTGATGGAACATTGTAGTAAAATGTAGAAAAGATTTGAATGTTACAAATACTAATTGATGATTCATTACTTACATAGTCTGTATCGAAAAGGTGAAGATTAGTCTCATTCACGGGCTGTAACAATTTGGTTGAAAGAATTACGGGAAATTGTTTTAAATTTTCTGGAGGCTCTTGTATTTGGGAACTGATTGCTCTGTAAAAGTGTAGTAATTGTTCCTTGTTGTAGGTGGCTTTGGTTGCTGCTGATGGAGTGCTTGTCATCATCATTTTTGAAATGTGTTCGGAGAAGAGGCTTGTGTGTAAATGTGAAGGACAGGTGTTAAACAATTTTTTTTCGTTTAAAAATTCCTTTTGCTTGCAGAAGGGTATTAAATTTTTAAAAATATTTATCGGTGAGATGTTTAATTGTTGCATGTAACGCATTTAAGGCCATTGGAAGTTGGCAGGTGGCTGTGGTTCGTTTTCTTCCTTTTCTGCTTCACTTGTTCGTCCTGCTTGTGGTGATACAATCTCTGCGGCTTCTCCAGGATTGTTGTCTCTCAACAAATTAATACCCAAATCAACAGAGGTTGCTGAAGATAGAGAAAGCTTGATTGGTGTATATCTGTTAGAAGGGTCAAATGAAATGTAGGAAAGTTGTGAAGGTGTAACACGGGCTGGGTTGGTGAGCACTTCGAATGCAGGTTCCTTCTTTTTCTTTTTCTTTTCCTTTTCCTTATTTTCAGTTGTGGTTGTTGCTTGTTGTTTAGTTGCATCCACTTGTGGAGTGAGTGGAGAAAGGAGAGGTGTTGCTGGAGTGGCACTTCCGTCACCACCCTTATTCTTTCTCTTTCTTTCTTCTCTTACTCTGGCCTTAGCTGAAAGTGACAATTCTGCCATAGGACCAAGGGCAACTTCTTCCTTCTTTTCTTCTGTCTTCAAAGATACTGGATAAGCAAAGTAAGATGGTTTCTGGTTGCTCTTGAAAGTGAATTGGGATGGCATTTGCAAATCAGTGTTCAATCCAATAACAGATGTTGGTTCAAATGAAAGAGACAAGAAGTGTAAATATGGGTACCAGAACCAGTATTGTGTGAAGAGAGCTAGACCAACAATGTTTCTCATCTTGTTATTTCCATGTCTATGTAGGCAAATTGTTGCATTTCTGCCACCAGCATCTAAAATACCAGCGGAAAGGATAGCTCCTAATTTACACATAACCTCTTCTCCTCTGGTTGACCATGTCTTTTGTAAATGTTTGCGGAAATCGGCAGTCTTTGGCTCTTGAACTTCGTTCAATTGCATCAAAACCATGGATTGAGCAATGAGGGCTCCTTGACGAACAAAGTCCACCCGATCCAAAGCCAATGGTTCCAAGAGCTCCAAAGCTTCCTTCAAACCACTTCCAGCACATGAAATACCCACAGAAAGAGCAACACCATATCTAACATGAGGATTATAACTTTCAGCCAAAAGAGAGACAATTCTTGGACATTGTTTTGGTGTCTTGAAGAGAAGGAATCCCAAATTAATGACAGCAGCTCTTCTCACATCATCCGACACGTCAGAGACGGCAACTTGCAACAATTTTCTGATGGCATTATTGTTGCCAGTACCTGCAAATGCCAAACCAATGGCATACATGCCACCGTATCTGAGAATAGGATCCTTATCATTGGATAACTTATCAATGAGAGTATTTGCCTCCTCCTCTCTTCCGTAAACAGTGAGAGCCAAACCAATAGCTAATCCTCTAATAATCTTTTCGTGGGCTGTTTCATGAGCATAGTTTAACATTTCATCAATGGCCTTCTCATCAGCACTTCCCAACATGACGAGACCCATTCCAATGGCTGCTGCCTCACCAGATACAGCGTTATCCAAGAACATGATGTCTTTCATCTTTTCATACAATTCAGCCTCGCTAGTTGCCATTCCACACAAACCCAAACCAAAGCATGCTCCATGTTGAACCACTGGATCTGCTTGTTGGTTCTTGACAATCTTGAGTAAATATTCAGTCATGTCATTTGCCAAGTGATTGGAGTGAATGAGACCAAGAGCAAAGAGAGCACCTCCTTCAGAGTAAACATTCGATCCACTTGATGTAGTGGCTGTAGATGAATCAGCAGGAAGATATGGTTTAAGAATGGTGAGACTGTCCTTAATTTGACCTCTTTGAATCACTCCCAAGCTTGCTGTAGCACTGAATTTGGCCCAATTGTTGGCCTTTCCTAGCCAATCTAAATTGTCTCTAAGGAATTTGTCGACAGTGGTTCCTGCGTGCATGAAAGCATTGGCAGTAACAGTTCCAGAGTGAAGAATGGAGTTTCTCTCGAAGGAGCTCTTGATATTGTTCAAAACCTGAAGATCAGTGTGGTTATGTCTAAATAAAAAGTCCACATTATGTTGAATTGTAATTTCTCCAGAGAGAACTGTCAACAGCTTGGCAAGAGGAGAATTTTCTTGTTTTGCTTTTGGATCTTGTAAAAGTACATCACGAGCAGAGACTAAAAAGTGTTGAGGAGCGCGATCGTGCAAATCAAAGCCAATTTGATAAGCTACAGCAATATCATTGACATCACTGGATGAGATCAATTGATGTAAAATATTTGCAACTGCTTTTGCGTCATCTAAAAATGTCAAACACTGTGTCACTGCAAAATAATCTACATTTTCCTTGTTTTCCATATAAATATCCACCAATTCTCGCAAAACATTTTGTCTAAAATCTCTCAATTGAATGAGGTTCATGGCAACGTCAAAAGTATAATTTAACATTTCGGTGGTATTTGCTGTTTTGATGGTTTGCCTGATTTTATCCAATCTTCTAGCTTCAATGGCAATTCCTAAAGCTTGTTTGTATTCGCCTTCTTGGATGCATCTGTCGAACATTCTTTCAACAATATCAGTCAACCTTGGATCTTCCTTTCCATTGTTTTGTCTTGTTTGTATGTAAGAATCTATACACTTGGAAATTATCTTATTCACATATTCATCTTCATCTTGTTTGCTGACGTCAAATAATCTTCCAGCACCGAGAGCAAATTGAAGTGATTCATCAAACTCATTAAGATGATAATAAACTTTCGAAGTAAGCAAGGCAGCCAATTCTCGGTTTGGGAATTTTTCATCCTCATACAATGACTCTCTATATGATTGTTTGCATTGTTTAAATCCAAGTGATTATTCATGTTGCATCAATTTTTCATTTCCGTCGAGTGTGTCGACGATTGTATCAAATTTCGAATCGTTCCGTTCACAAGATCAAGCCAAAATTAATACAACCAATTCTTTCTGCTGCTACAACTTACAATTTACGAACTGATTCAGAGATTTCCGCCCAGTATTGATCGACGACTTGATCCAACTTCTTCAGGGCTACGCTTTGAAGGTCGGCGTCATTCTCGTCCAATAGGGAAAGAATACCAGCAGCGGAATGAATTGCAGAGGAAGCCATTTGTTTTTGATTATTTTTTTAGCTGAAAATTTTTTGATGGAAATAAAAATAGCTTGGATTCCTGAATCAATTATTCTCTCTACGAGATCGAAGAGTTGAAGGTAAGGTCAAATAAGCTGTTTTCAGAATCGGTTGATAGGAATCTCTTTAAGCACTCTCTTATTGATGATTCTCTTGACTTTTGTTCGGGAGATGTGATTCGCCGTTTCTACGCTCAAGATAACACGTAACACAACAGTTTCTTTTGGTTCACGCTTTCATGAGCAAATTCTCCAAAAAAAAATTGTTCGCACAAGTTTCGTTTTTTATTTTGAAAATATTCAAGAATCACTTTATTGCCTGTTGAGCCGAGCGTTTCAACCGCTCTTGTTGTAGCAGCAGGACATTCATTGAAATATCTTCTACAAAATACAATTGAGATTGTTGATCCATATTGGTCAACCAAGCACGATATCTCAATTGTTATTTCCTCATTACCCATATTTTTATGTCATTCGGAACTACAGAATAGTCGAGATGATGCCCTCTGAATTTCTTCATCCGACAACAAGCAAAAAACAAGATGGCGGAGGAAAAGGTTCCTCCTCGTCTGATAACAAGAAGAAATTTGATTCTAATTTACAAATTCAAAATGTAAAATCGAATCATGGTACTGGCCTCTCCGACAACAAAAAACATCATCTCAATCACAACAGTGGAAGTATTATGTCACAAAGCTCTGGACGCCAAAGATCACATAGTTTTGACCAAAGAGAGGATTTTATTGAAGAGCTTCGGAGATATTCTGAGGATTTTGACAGAGTCTTGAATGAAATGTTTTCGCCCACGCTCGAGAACGATTTATTAGAGGGAGATTTTTCTCAGGACTTACCTGCAGTATACATTAGCAGCAAACCACAAAAAAAGAAACGAGAATGGCTTTCCAAACTATTTGCATTTCGGAAACAAGAAAAGGATGAATTGTACAGTTCAAATATTCAAAAATCTAGTTCTATGGAAGAAATTTGGCCACACTCCAAACCCGGTTTTAGAAATTCACTAGATTATTCGATACAGGGCTCTCCTAGAGCAGTACCAACTCCTACAAGTGCTCTCTCTCAACATACCAATTACTCGCAATTATTTGACGCTGATTACACAAATCATGTCACCCCTATTTATTATACTCCAAATGAAGACAATACTGCTATAGAATTTTACAAAGTTTCAAATAAGGAAGAGGTTGAAATTCCAACCCATTTACAAAACCAGCACCAGTCAGTTGTCACAGACTTGGAACAACAAGTGCTGGAAAATCAACAACCAAATTCTTCTCATCAAGACTTTGCACAACCACCTCAGCTCTCCACAAAACCAGCACTAGAATCATGCAGTGATGTTCCAATTCTTGGAGTTGGCCTTCCCTTTGAGATCGTGAGTGAAATGGGTACCAACAATATTTGCTTAAAACTGCAAGGAGAAAAACGAATTGATTCATCCATGCTTGTGGATGCACTGTTAATAGTGTTAGGCTCCCTACTCATCCCTCCTCTCTTGCTATTTTCCATTCCATTTGCACTCTATCGACTCTACAAGTATTTGAAAAAGAAAGGACGAGAACGCTCTATTTCTAGATACATTATTTTCGATCATCACAGTATGAAAATTGAGAAGAGACTCTATACGAGTGGGCAACGTAAAATTCTCTATAAGGGTTGTCTCCCTAGGAATGTTCTCGCCGATGAAGCAGCTACTGAGAATGCACGAAAGACCTACTCGTACTATCATGAATCATCGCCAGAGAATACTCATATTTACAAACAACTTCATATCGTGAAAATGCAACATACACACGACCATATTGATTCGATTGATTTTTCTGAGATTGCATCATTTGACGTTGAGAAGGAAACGCAAGCAATGGATGGGAATGGCCATTATGAGCATGCTCTTTTTTTCGTGTGTTGTGTACTGAAGAATGGACGAAAGTTTAGGCTAAATAATGAAGAAACGAATTCAATTGATATTGCGTATAAGAAAGCGCGACAACTGAAGGCCGCTTTTGAGAAGAGTAAACTTCGAGCGACTCACGCCATGAACAATAATCATTCGAAACGACTCGAGTTGGGTCACAAACGTAAGAGCTACAATAGTATTAATTTGGAGAATGAGTCAGTATATGAGGGAGGAGAGGCTGGATCTTTGAGAAGATCATTGAGCTGGTCTGTTCGTTAAGGCTTATGTAAACTGTGTCAATGACGACAATTCTTCAACAAGAGAGGCCATACATTCTGGATTTCCATGAAATCATATGACAGAGAAAGCAGCACACGAGGAGGTGGGCACATTCATATGAGGCCGTAGAACATCTCGTGAAACTGATAAAGCAATTTGATAGGTATGAAGGTCTTCCTAACTCAACACTTTCACAACTCGTTTAGATTCCAAAAACAAAAAAATGGCCAAAAGAGAACAAGTAGTTGATCGAGCGATGATTACAACACCCAGTGCAAACAAAAAACAAAAATTATTTCGGAAAATGATAAACCACGATGAAACTGTTGTGAGCCTTGTTTTGACAGATTTTTCAAATTGTTCTCTCCAAACAGATGATCATAATTTCCATAATCACGAAATTCGCAGCATGGAATTATTATTGCAACAGAAGTTTACATTCCAACAAGCTGGAAAAAAGAAATGGATGGAGAATAGAGAACTTAAATATACTCATTTCTTTCCAGTCGAGTTTATGAATGACAAGGAATTTATTTTAAATCATATTAAAAAGCACGAAATTGGATTACTACATGCCTCATCAGCAATACAACGCGATAGAGATTTTGTGCTGCAAGCTGCTCAAGAACGTGGCCTTGAGGTTGCATTTGCAGCTAGAGAGTTAAAGAACGACAAACAAGTTGTACTGACTGCAATTAAACAGCAACCACAGGCCCTTTCCTTTGCTTCACATGAATTGCACAACAATAGAGAATTTATTTTGGAGGCAGTACAGTGTCACGGAAAATCTCTTTGGTATGTGAAAAACAAAGCGTTTCAAAACGACAGAGAGATTGTACTAGCTGCTGTCAAAAATGATCACGAAGCGGTCGACGGGGTAATATCATTTCATCACGAAAAAGAGTTTTTATTTGAGGCTGTCAAACATAACTCGAACAATCTGATTTATGCACCAGATTATTTGCTTAAAGATTGTAATTTTATGTTGTCCATTCTCAGATTACAGTATCCAGAACTTGATGTTTTTGATTATTCCAGCAAAGAGGTAGTGTTAAAGTCAGTTCAAACCTATGGATATTTATTGGAATTTGCGTCGAGCGCTCTTCAGTGCGATAGAGATGTTGTGTTAGCAGCAGTTCAAAATTATGGCATGTCACTCTTCTTTGCTTCTGACGAGTTACAAAATGACAAAGAAATTGCCTTACTAGCCATTACCCAAAATTCCAATGTTTTTAAATATTTATCAGAACAATTGAGAGCAGATCCAGTAATTGCCTTACATGCTGTGGAGAGAAATGGATTGTTATTAGAATTCGTTTCAGAAGAGCTAAAAGAAGACAAAAAAATTGTTATTCGTGCTATCAATGATGGTTCAATTGGTGTCCTTGAATTTGCATCAACCAAGCTTAGAAACGATAAAGAGGTTGTTCTAACGGCTGTCACACGTGATGGAGCTTCGATACAATATGCATCAACAACGCTGAAGAATGATCGAGAGGTAGTGCTGGCTGCTGTAAGACAAAAAGGATTAATTAATGCCATCAAATTTGTATCAGATGAGATGCAAAAAGACCCAGAAATTTTAATAGAGGCAATCAAACAGCATATGCATTGTGTGAAATATCTCTCACACGATCATTTGAGGAGTAAGGAATTCTTGTTACAAGTTGCCAAATTTTGTCCTATCCTTCTTAATCATGTACCTGAGGAATTACGTTCTGACAAGGAATTTGTGTTGGAGATTGTCAGACAAAACCCCTTCTGTACACCCATCTCATCTTCTGTAGACAGACAGCTCTTGTTGGAAGCTGTGAAACGTAATGGGTTTGTACTGCGTATGGTCAATCTCGAGTTTGAGAAGGATGAAGAGCTTGTGATGGAAGCTCTTAAATGCAATGGGTGTGTTTCAGAGTACAGTGATGAGTTGTATCGAGCGAGAATGGAACTTTGCTACTATGGAGCTTACTTGGGACGAACTCAATTTTGAAAAACGCAAATCCAAAAGGCACACGGCTCGAACATTAGAAAAATGGCCAAACTCAGTGCTGATGATTTGTTTTGCATGATATCATTCCTGACTCCACAGCAAATACTCTCCTCATGCTGTCTTGTCAATCGATTATGGTATTCCGTTTCATCATGCAATGCTGTTTGGAAAACAATGTGCGAGAATTTGTTCATGATGGATTTGTGTGGATGGGAACTGTTATTTCGTGATATTTATTCACCCGAGTGTGATCGTTATTATTTGAATATATTTCAGGATTTAATGAGGAGCATTCCGATTTATAAAGAATATATTCCAGTACTATCAGAGGCTGAAGAAGATTTAGTGGAAGTTGCGATCTATAAAATTGCTGAAGATTTACGTGTGGACGGAAATACCAGTGATGTTGATGATGATCATGATCCAAACAGAGAAAAGCAGTTTTTAGTTGCAAAATTAGCGACCATTCTCACGATTTTGAGTAACAGGTAGGTTCATTGCATGTAGTACCATCCATTGTGGTTGCTGAAATAGTTCAAAGTGAATATGCACCCAATCCATGGACAGACAAAATACTTGTTTGTCACAGTAACTCAAAGTATGAAATATTGAGTGCTCGTGTGATTTCATTGGCTGTATTTTGCTCTTGTCTTTTGCGTAACAGGTTAGATATTTTACACATGGTAACAGGTACTGAACATGACGAACCTTATTTGGCAGTTTCACCTTTTATTCAATGCCATCCATTTCACAAAGCATGTAGTGAAGAGTTCAATACAGACATCAGCGAAGAATGTAACACTGAACAAGATCAACATGACCAGGAATTAGACTTGTCACAAGTGAAACCGTTTTGTTATTTTGAACAGATGGACGATCATTCCTTCGTAGAGACCAGCGAAAATGACGAATATTTCTGGAGTGATACACAAATTGATTCTTGCACGAATCGCTTCACATGGGTTCCAATCGTTTTCAACGCTGGAGCAGCTCACTATGAATATACATTTAAGGCAGTTTTTCATCATCACAAAAAGGAATTGCACGTGAAAAAGTATTACAATTTGAGCTATTAATATTTTACATTGAATTCATCAAAGTTTGGTTCTTCTTCATGATTAAGTGGTTTGGTTTTCCAAGTGTTTCATTGAATTGGAAAAGAACAAAAAAATGCTTTCGGAAGTGCAAGTTGAAAATGCCATCCACGCTGTTGAAACCAAAATTCCGTTAAGAAATTATTTGTTCATCACGATTGATATCGTGCGGGATTTTGTTGATGATAAAGATAGTATTTTTGTGGCTACCTACGGTCGTGAGGATGTGGAGCCTATTTTGCAAGTGCCTCCGAAAATTATAGAATGTTTGAAATTTTGTAAAGACGAGTTACCCAATCATGCAGAGCTGAAAGATTTGTATTCAGTTCAACAATTGTGTTGCCAATCACAGTACGAATACAAACAATTTAAAACTTCTGGTCTTGAAAACTTGTGTGTTACCTCCCATGGACAAGAATGCACCATTCCAATCGAATATTTCAATTACAGAGTGATCAAGACAAAAAATTCAATTCTCGACGATTTAATAACATTTGAGGAAATTAATACAGAAACTACAATGGATGACAACAGTCTTTCTTCCAATCCAAACAAAACACCCATGGAAAATTTTCATACCTTACTTGAAAAGTTCAACAAGAAAGAACAAAGTTTTGTAGTAGTCATGGGAGTCACATCAAACTCGTGTGTGAAGAGCTCGTCCTTAGCTTTAGCAAAACTTGGACATAGAGTCATCATTCCTCTCGATTGTGTGGCCTGCAGAAAATCGACACAACAATCGGCCAATCAATTTCTATTACAAGAAACCAAAAAGCCCAATTCTCGCATTTCAATTGTTGAATCATGGAGAGATTTATTTACTCCTAATATTCACCTTTGAGATTGCGTTGAGATTGGAAGAGATGAGCATTCTCGCTTCATTTACAACTCAATGCTCCGTTTCATTCGCAATTCCCTTATTGAAGTTGCCTGACAGGTTTTTATAGGTATATCAGTATCACAGAGTTACTAACTACTGATATCTCTCTAGCGAGCGAAATTTTCTCGTTGTATTGCAACTCCTCTCTCCGCGATTCTGGTTGACTGAGGCTGTCTTTTAGTCAACTCACTCGGTAAAACGCTCAGCAGTCTCTGATCGAAGGAATGAGCCGCCAGCCGATGCTACTGTCAAGAGACATTAAAAAGACTCGTAAAGAGCAGTAAAAAAGAGAGAAAGATTAGCATTGAGACACAACATAGTCATACACGGTGTAGATTGATTACAGTGCAGCAATTCAAGCCATCCTTTTCATCAGAAGAAGAAGAAACACTCGAGTGTTTATAGAGCTCATCCTTACAAGACCTTTTTCAAAATACTTCATCATCATGTTCAAATGTTCCAGTACTGATACTTCCGACTTTACGCCCATTAGCACCTCAGCAACCACCACGGGTGCATCTCGGCGACGAAACTCGAGTGTAGGAACAACAGCCAATAACACCAATAACAACAACCAGCAGCAACAGCCTGCACAAACACCACCTCGCAGAGGAGCGAGTATCTTTAAACAAGGAGATTCAGAACATTGTAACAACAACAACAACAATAGGTTTCGTTCTCCATCCACCTTCTCACCGAATTTGAGCACTTCCCCAACAACAGGCAGCACGAGCCCGACTTCAGGTCATAATGAATCGTTTTTGTATCATACCAATAGCTCTGCGAGTAATTATGATCCTACCACTCGTTTCAGTAATGCGAGCGCTTTGAGTGATGATATGAAACCAGAGATTGGTATTCTCATGTTGGGAAGTGGAGGTTCAGGAAAGACTTCCTTGTTCAAACAGAGAAAGTTAATTTATGAAGGAGGGTTTTCAGGTTCGTAATTTTTTGAACAAGTCTTGTGATGATACAACAAACATATAACTCAATATGGAATATTAGAGAAGGAAAAAAAGCAAGCCAAAGTGGTGATATGGTCAGAGATTCTTCAAATTTTGTATAATTTTGCGTATGAGTTGCATAATGGTAGATATGATTTAGAGTTTGCGTTGAGACAGACCGTGTTTGACTTTTTGCAAATTACCAATGATCGATGTCAAGGAAATGAATTTGCTTTGATATCCATTTCAGAAGAGGTCTTTCGACAAGCTGAAAAGTGGAAGCAGTTCTTTAACGAACAAATGCATCGACAAATTTTGGAAACGAATAATGGGTTCAGTTCTCTATTTTTGTGTTGTTTAACTCCTTATTTTCGCGAATATGATCGAGTGACAAACATCGATTATACACCGACTGATTACGACGTGGTATTATTCCAGAAAAAAACTACGGGAATTGTAGAATCCTCATTTGTTTACATGAATTCTTACGTTGTTAAAGTGTAAGTTTGTTAAATTTATATGTCAGCTCACAAAACAAACCTCAAAAAGAGTGGACACTGGAGGTCAAAGAAACGAAAGAAAAAAGTGGGGGAAGGCGTTCCAGAAACAACCATTAGATTGTATTTGGTTCCTAATTTCATTGAGCGATTTTTTCAAAGTTTGTTACGAGAATGAGGAGCTCAATCGATTGAACGATTCATTGGCCATCTTTTCTGAATGGTTAAGGTCTGATGCGGTCAAAAATGTCAAACATTTCTGGGTTGTTTTCACGCATCTCGATGAGTTGGAACAGGAATTGCCTCGCCTCAAAATGTCCTTCCTTAAAACCATTGTTCCAGGAGTTGAAGATGGCATGACCGCAAATCAACTTTATCAACACATTAGCCAAAAATTCCTTTCTATTGATTCAGAGAAGCGAGTGAATCACATTGAGTGTTTGAATTCAACTGATACTGATCAGGTGAGGCAACTCTTCGATAAAGCCATTAACGAAATCATTGAAAATAAATAATGTAAAAAACTTTAAATTTACAAGGTGATGTGAAATGAGCTAATTCATGTCAACTAAATCTATTTCTTTTCCAGCTCTTTCTTAATATTGGAACAGCATCTCTCCAAAAAGAATTTGATGTTAAATGTTGTAGATTCGTACAGCTCAATGCGTGTTTGGCCTTCCTCCGTCTGTATGAGATTTTTGTTATAAAAATCAACAATCTTTCGTGATAACTTCTTGCTGTATGGATGTTCAGATCTCAAGTTATCAAATATACTCAGTAGCATCATGAATGCCTTTTTTTCTTCAGGCCAAAACCCATGCTTGTTGGGCTTTTCAATTTCTGTTATTTGTACAATAAGTGCCTTTCTGAGATATGGTTCATTTAATTCCACGATCAGAAAAGCGTGTCACAAATTTCCACTTACAGTTTTTTACGATAATGTGAAACATGTCGTAAGGCTTTCAATCTCTTACAACAATAAAACAATTCTCTGCAAAATAAAAACGCGTCATCTTCTAGCTTTCTAGCCTCTCTTGATAATAATATACTCTTTTTTGAGGATATTCTTCGAAACATACTCAAGTCGTTCATGAGCGATGATTGCCATGTTTTCAAATAATCAATAGAAATTATTAAATTGAGGAATGTTAATAATTGAAAATATCTTTTGTGAAACAGGAGTTTTTTACCCTCTGTATCACTCACTGATAATCTCTTAATACCTGTGCATTTGGAAAGACCTTTTTGGCTATTTGATTTGTTAATTCGAAAATGTTTTTCACCAACCTTGAACAAGTCAAGATTACAAATTGATTCAGGATTGCTATTATCAAAAGGAGAAGGTGTGGGTGGTGTGATACAACTACCATTTGGAGTTCCTGAAACGACGGATGGTTCTTCATCAGTGTTTGAGCTGGTTGGGGAAAGTAATTTGGATTTTTTGATCTTCTTTGGAGTAGCAAAGAGTCGCATGTGTTCCTCTCTCTGTCGTGTATATTGGTTCAACAATGGAATTATCAAGCCACACACATGATTGCAATAATCATGAAGATCAATACATTTGAGAACAGTGTTTCCATACAACTTGTCAAACATTTCTGTCGAAAACAGCGAATTTTCGTCATCCGTCTCCAAACTTGAATGAATACTTTGTGTGGTAGAGGTGATCAATGATGATGGCGGTGGTGTTATTTGTGCAATTGTCTTGTACGTATAAATAAAGTTCAATAACCCATATCCTCTCTCAATATTTCGCCTATATATCAAATCCACCGAATAATCCTCAAAATGTCTCGATAATGGCATGACAACTCTTAATAAACTCTCATCATCGAGAAACTCCATCATGAAATGAACCACTTCCGATGGAATACTTTTCCAAGAGCTATGTCCGTATGAATGATGATGATGATCAATTTCAGAACTAGAGAATTGAGAAGAAGAAGGTGGATTGGGTGTAGAAGGAGTGGTTGTCCTTCTCTCAAGAAGTGGTTCCATAAAAGAGGCCATTTCCGAAGTCTGATGATGCGAACCCTTGCCGGTATGCCTTTTGGTGTCTTCTGGATCACCAGGAGAGAAGGGAAGCATTTTTTTATGGGCAGATAAAGGAACTTGGAAATTGTTGATTGATGATGAGCACCTATCTTTACATCACTGTGTGATAGTGTTTGCTGAAGGGGAAAGAATCGACTCTCGTACAGTTTTCTTTTGCTTGTTCAAAAGGAACCTCAAAGTGCCATCAAGTGCATGATTGGTTGAATGAAAAGAGGATTTCAAAAAAAAAATGCCTTGTTTGGAGTGAATTGTATCATCAACAACGAACGCACACTCATCAACTATTCTTTGATTCAATTATTATTAAAATAATTATTGCATCTTCCAAAGTATTTATATTCTCTCCAAGATTAAAGACCTAATTATTATAAAATTTTGAAAATATTATCATCAACAACATGCCTCCAAAAACCCGATCCCAAAGAAGTAGAGAGCAGGAAATTCTGAAAGGGGTTAAAGATAATGCTCCATATATTGTGGACGTGGAAGATGATGAAGACGAAAATAATGATGAATTTAATTCGCCACTTAAATCTACGCCTGACAAAACGGAATCGGACAAAGAGTCTACTAGTAGTGTTGCAATACATTATCATAGAAGCCCTACAAACAAATTCGATGATTTACTAAAATCTAGTAAAAAACAAGGCGAGAAACGGCCGTCAATTAATATGAACAATACTCAAGAACTAAGCGAAAATGATGACGACGACGAAGATACATCAGCTTCCTCTAAAAGATATGATCTTCCTGAAGAATTGAAACATCCTAAATTAGGATTATCAAGCATGTTGCAAAAATCAAACGATACAACCTTGAGTTCAGACAGTGAGGAAGAAAATGGAACCACCAAACAAATCGATGCTACTCCAGCAAAAAAACCAAAGATTACCAAAACCACCACTCCAGTTAATTCTAACGATGAGTATATTGAGTGTGCACTGCCGACGGCATCTGTCCCTCGACAATTAGTCGATTCTTCCTCGTCATCATCGTCCACAACATCCAAAACACCTGCCAAGCCATCAAAACCAACTTCGGATACGGAAGTTATTTCAATTCCAAGTTGTAGTCTTACAGAAATTGAAGACACACCTCCAAAAAAAGAAGAGCCAAAGAAAACTATATCAGCTGAGGAGCTAGACAAAACATTTGACAATCCTATAGATTCAAAACTTAACAGCATGAGGGAACGATTTGATGAAATCAAAGTTAAAGCTCAGGATTCTATGCGACACCTTTGTGACGAAGTTCTATTATATTTGCATTCTCAGTGGACACTCCTCCCTGAAAATAAGACCAGATTTAAGAAAGGGCTGGAAATTGCTGGAAGGTCAGCAGTGAACAATGCTCAAAAAGCTAAACTTTTTTATCTCATCCTTTCATATTATATTATTCATGAAAAGAAGGATATTGAAAATTGTATCATGTATTTATTTGATCCTACATATGAGTTTGACTCAACGAACTCATCTACCAAGCGTGTGGATGTTTCACTTGTTATAGAGCTGGAAGATGTCTTTAAAGAATTTTCCAACAATATGGAAGTGTTATCTATTTTACGAAAGTATCAAGCTCTCTATTATATTTGCAAGCTGCAATGTCAAAGCGAGGAAGATCATCAGACGCTCAATACTCTTAAATCGATTGTAAAACATCAACATCATTGTATGAGAAGCTATTTCAAATCCGATAAAAAGCGATAATGGCTGTCTTGGCAAACAACGACCAAAATTCAATTTTTTATTGAATAACTATTCAAAAAAAAATGCAACAAGTGGTTTCTCTCGATCCTCTCGCTCTTCAAGACAAGAAAACACAATGCATCTACACACATTGTTATTGTGAGGAAAATATTTGGAAATTATGTGAAAGGATGAAAACAGAAAATCCGTTGGAATTGGATAATTGTTATGCTATATTTCTTTCATCGGAAAAAAGCGTACTGCCCATGTGGTATCAAAAGGATAATGGAGAGTTGATTGTTTGGGGTAAGATCTCAACCGCTATTACATGATGGTCTGAAAATAATTTAACATTTAATAGATTATCATGTCATTCTTATTCACAAAGGTTCCAATTCTTCATCAACAGTTTATGACTTTGACACACGTCTTCCGTTTCCAACCTCCTTCTCGAACTATGTGTTTCGATCATGGCTTGTCACATATCTTCTGCCAAATCCTCCTAAAAGATTAATTTCAATGATTAATGATTTACTTGTAAGTTCATATTAAGCTCAAATCATTGACCTCTATTTGTTTGAATTTAACAGTTCAGAATCGTTCCAGCGAGAGAATATTTAGAAACTTTCAGTTCCGATCGGTCGCATATGTGGAATGCAGAAACAAATTCGTATTCTGCTCCACCTCCTTCCTATCCATGTATTCAAGGTAATACTTCGACTCGGATGAATTTGGATGATTTCAGAATGATGAATCAAGGAAAGAAGGAACAAGTTTACACATTGAATGGATTATGTGAACTTTTTGGAATGGGCTCTGTTCAAACGATTTTGGAAGAACATTGCAAACACTTGACAACAAGAAAAACTAGTAATGACAATGATGAAGCCAATGACGACGAAGAGAACTTGGAGTAATTGACAAGAAAATTGGGAAATGAATAATCCTTAACAAGGTGAAAAATAGATTTAATTCTTTTCATCACAAATGAACATTCCAAACTTTTCATTGCACTCATTCAATTTCACAGAATATTGAAATTTCACACCACCACTACATTGAGCTTGATTATAATTTGTTCTCGTGGAATATGTAGAATTGCATACAATATTTCTCCATTCCGTTCCATCCATATTGTTGCACATATTAATCACTTCTCCACGAGCACCAAGAGATTTCAAACATTTTCTTTCTTCCACCTTATTGCCTGCACTAGTTGTGGACAAGGGAATTGTAATACTAGTAGAGGATGTGCCATTTCTTGAATCAAAAAACACGTTCCACAACATGGATGGGACCATTTTAGTGAAATAGGCCAAATCAACAGGTCCACATACGGAACGAATGGCCTGATATTTATAATTTCCACCTCGTTGTTGACTCGTGGACAATCTTAGTCTTGATTTCACAATTTCATTGAGATCTTGGTTGTCTTCAACAACTTCACAAGTTCCATAGCTTGCCTTTTCGAGGGAGTCATATTCACAATCACTACAAGTTGGATCACAATGGTATTTCAATGTTTTGGTTTTTTGAGTGCAACTCGTAATGCAATAATCACCATAAATATATCCACAATAATTCATTCGATCCAAAGTAACTGCGAGAGGTGGATCTGAACAGTCACGTTTCAAATGAAAATAATATTGTTCCCAAATTCCGTTATCTGGAATGAATTGATGAAAGTTGGCAAGGACTGAATGGTTGTTGTTGTTGTCATGTGTGAAAAACAACAAGTGGATACAGAGAAGTGAAACAAGACACAAGCAAGCAGATAGAATAGTACGAGAGGACGAGGGTCTGTGGATCATTTTTTTGAATTGCAGCTTTGTTCCTGAAGGGAGGTTTCATGATAACACCAACGACTTCCAAATTAGTGAACCAGTAGATTTCTGAATTAATAGCTGAGGAAAAAAAGTTGTTGTTGTCAGCACCTTGAACACCCTTAAACATGTTTTTCCGTAACCCTAAATTTTGAATTTCATAGCCTGTCCACAAGGACAATAAAAACAAAAACAGTTCTTGTATGTTATGAACAATCTTTGTCAACTGTACATGTTCGTTGATATGTGTTTCTCTTTTAGTCGTGGGTTGTCTTGTAACTTTTCGAGCTGCCCACTCGGATTTGTGTGGTAACTCATCTCTTTTCCCAGACAGTGCCCTTTCACTTGTCAAGCACCACGATCAAAAGTTTTTAAAAAAGTCTGAACAAGCGCAAGTGTTGAAAGTGTTGGCTTGACCCCGGACAACAGACACGAACATCATCTTCTTTTCATGATGATCATCAGAGGTCCATAAGAACTTTTGACTTTTTGCAACAAATTAGTGAGATACAAATGTTTGATTTAATTTTGTTTTTTTATTTACATCTCTTTGTGGTGGGACTCTCTCGGGTCTTACTTGATAACAACAACAATAATCAGAAATATTCTTCAAGTTCCATAATCATCATTGACTCAACAGTTTCCGAAATTCAACAACAACCACTCACTCGTCCAAATCAGGAAAAAAATTCGAACGAGTCAACTCTGCAAGAGGGATCTCTCATTGAATGTACACCTGTTTATAATGATGAGGTATCGGAACAAAAGGATAGTATCATCTCAAATCAATACTTTCTGGAGAAGGAAGAAGTCGGAACTATTGCGATAGAGAGATCTCTTCTGCCACAAGGTGATGAGTCAGATGAGGCTTGTATCCACATTATTCAAACTCGTTCCGAACAGGATTTGTCTCAGCTGAATCTATTAGAAATATTGGTTAATGATGACAATCATTTGGAAGATGTGGATTGTAAAGAGCAACAACGACTTGTTGTTGTTGAAAATATAATGGCTCTGTTGGAATCGAAAAAAGCGAAAACAGCCTTCTTCAAGATGGTAGAACAAGCATCTGTTTTACAATGTACATACAGAATGAACAGAATCAGATGCAACTTTTTGGCATTACGAAAAGATACTTTACTCATCCAAACTTGGTACACACGAACACATTTCAACAATTTGCAAAGTACTGCACAAAAACTCCAGTCTTTGCAAAAGGCATCTCGTGTTCGTGCTGCACTCTCACATGACATGGATAATATTCAATGGATAGAATCAAAAATTAGAGGTGAATTGGAAAGAAAAAAACTTTTACAATTCAAGCTGGGGGTTGAAATAATGTTTCAGTTCATGGTTGCTCACATGAACCGACAAGTTATTAAGAGGAAAACTGCTCTTGCTGTAAATATACAAAGCTTGTACAGACAACACCACTCAACAAGATATTTATCGAAAGTCATTGCCACACTTTCGTTACTTCAATGCAACGCAAAACGAAAATTGATATGTGACGACAAGAAACAGCTTGTCACCAGTGTTTTACCCAGAATACAAGCATCCATGCATGGGCATTTAACCAGACAAAACTTAATGTTGCTACCTTCAAAAATATCCATTATTACTGCATTAGGCAAATCCTTGGTGGCTCAAGAAAAGAAAATTCATGACGTAAAAAAGATTGAATTTCTGCAAGCAGTTTGTAAGGCTTCTTTAGGCAAGACATTTTTTTATAGTTCAAGAACTCGTTTAATTCCCATAATTCAATCAGCAATATTTGGACATCTGACGAGGCTAAAAAGGGAAGCCCTACATTCGGCAGTTCTTTCAACCCAAAGCGCTTATCGAGGCTTTTCCTTCCGAAAGAAATTAACCCAAGATCTATTCCATATTCAAACATATCAAGCACGCATTCGAAGACATGTTGAAAAAGAACGAGCATCTACTCTAACTCGAAGCCTTACAACCATACAGGCTGCTCTTCATGGCAGTTCAGCCAGACATCGAATAATTCAACTATGTGAATTCTCATTAAGGTTGCAGTCATGGTTTCGAAGCAGGACCTGTCAACATTATAGATCAAACGATATTAATTCGTTGCTGATTTTGCAATCAATCATAAGATCTTTCTTCGAAAGAAACAAGCTTGCAAACTCTTTAAAGGTCATTTCACAAGCGACTACGTTTTGTCATGGAGCTGCTACTAGAAAGATATCAAAAGAAAAACTAGCTGCATGCAATATGTTGGTGTCTCAATCAAAGAGATACATAGAGGCGAAAAACATGAAGCTTGAGCTTGAGAGGATATTGACCATACAATCTCTGTGTCGATCATGGGATTGCATCTCACAAAAGATCAAATCAATGGAAGCAATTAGAATGGTACAGCGCGTGGCTTTCTCGTTGCAAATTCAACAACTTTTGAAAAACAATAAGGCACATGTTTTACAAATGCAAGCAGTAGTAAGATCATTTTTAGCTCGAAGATCATGCCAACATGCCATTCGAGAGAGAACTGCAACAATCGTGAATGCGACAATACAAGGTCGCTCTTGCAGAGCTACATTCTTCCAATCTACCGAAAGCATACAAGTCATTCAAGCGTTATTACGTGGAACCGTTGTGAGAGAGTCTTTCATGTCAGTCAACAATATTTCGCAAGTGTTATCAGCTATTTCAGCTAGAATACGACTGCAAAATGAATTTTATCGAAACGTGGAAAGACTAGTACTGGGACAAGCTATGATGCAACAATGTTTAGCCTCCTCTCGACGACAAAAAGCGTTACTTTCCATCGAACAGATTCAATCGCTCTCAAGAACGGCTTTGGAAAAGCGCCTTAAACACATTACTCTGCAGAAAATTGTTTTAATTCAGTCACGTATCAGAAGCGCACAAACAATCAAAATATTCAAGGATCTCAAAGAAAAAACTGATTTGCTACAAAGTGTTGTTGAATCTGTATTAACACGTAATAGATGCCACACCTCAATGCATAAGCTACTCGCTCTACAAGCTCTCATTTCTTGTGCAGTTGCTCGAAAACGACTACTTTCCAGGAAAGAAGAGCATGAACATCACAAGACAATCACTCCTTTTATTCAATCGACTATCAGAGGACTAACAGCAAGAAGAAATAGAGATACTATTGGAAAACAAATACTGTTGATTCAAGGAGTTGTAAGAGGTTATTTATGGAGAAAAAACTCTTTGTTATACATTCCTAACACCAATCTAGAGGTTGCTCCCATATCTATTACTTCAATGTTAGATACTATGAACAAGCTCTTTGATGAAGAAGAGGATTCAGATGAGTTGGACTCGTCTGACTCTCCAAACTTGAACGTTGAAGCCCCAAAAGCTGTTTCTTTGTCAACGAAAGTTGAAAGTGCAATGACTCCAAAAGTTGACATTTATGATTTTTCAAAGAACATGGACTCTGGTTTTGGTGGATCGAAAAAAATTGTTCAACTCATTAGAGATCGTCTGAATAACAAGTCGAACTTATTGGACCTGTCAGGGCTATGCATTGAAAGCCTTCCAAATATTCCATTCGAGTGTGACCACATTACAGAACTTGATTTGTCTGGAAACTTGTTAGTCACTCTTCCTGAGTGGTTCTGTGAAAAGTTTAAAAATGTCAAAAAGCTAAATTTGAGTAGTAACAGATTTTTCGATGCCAATCGTATACTTTCTGAGAACCTTATTCCATTGTCACATACTTTGACTCATCTCGATTTAAGCAAGAATAGATTTGAATATTTCGAATATATTCCTGACGATGAAGAATATGACGTTTTTAGCAGCTCCTTCCAAGAACTGCAGTACTTGAATTTAAGTCATAATCAACTGCTGAACATATCAGGAGAAATCTTTGAGCTTATCAGCAATCACAAATTAGAGAGTTTAGATCTTTCACACAACCAGTTAATGACTTTTCCAACTGTGTCTGCTTCAGATCTGTTGAAAAAGTGGAAAGGCTTTAAATTTATTAATTTAGAACACAATTCTTTCCTTCAATCTGAGGTTGGAAAAATTTTGTACATGTTTAAAAAGCGACCAGATATTCTCAAGTTGTTGAAAGTGCAGTTAACAAAACGAGGTGCACAACAATTTCATGATGAATCCGAAACTGCAAAGAAACCTGTGGAAACTGTCTCAATAGACGCTGGAGACTATTTTTCCAGCAGTCTTTTTGACGACGATTATCAAGACGATTCACAACCACTGACCGATCTGACAGAATTAGCCTATCATAACCGATTTAAGACCCATATGTCAACTATGACCTTCAACAACAACAGTGCTACTGATAGAACTTATGCAGAGTATGATTCTGATGAGGATGAGTCATTATTGACCGATCACTCATTCTATCATTCTCACACATCAGGTTTTGCAGACCCCAATTCTCCAAAACTGCTCTCGGTAGCAAGTTCAAATCAACCCACTTCACCATCTTCAGCTACGACCATGAACGATAGCAGTTTGGATTACTCTCCATGTCTGTCAGATCGAGAATTTGCAACACCAACACAACTGACTGTGGAAACAGCAGATGAGGATGGAGAGGAATCACCTCTTCCAAAGCTAACCGTTGACCACATCTTAGAAGATACCTCCACAGACCTCTCGGTCAACACGTCAAACGACAATGTTCCATTGGCAATTCACATCACAACTCCCACTTCTAACCAACCCAAGCTGAGCTTTATTCAAGACCTCAATCTTCCTCATGTCACATCGACCACAACTCCAGACTCACCACCAAATGAAGAAACGAAACCAAAAATTCCAAAGCTAAATCTTGCAATTTCACCACTTCCAACAATTGCTAACCAACCTATAGCGTTCGAAAAAGAAGTTCAATTTTTTTCTTCGAGGTCCACTACTTCTGATCCAATGAGCTCTCCTTCAGTTCCAAGCCCTGCTAATGACTCTGAAAATCTCGTCTCTGTTCTCAACAATGAGAATATTCGTAAATCATTTAAGATATTTTGTAAATCAGAATTTAGCGTGGAATCTATCGACTTTTATGAAGCAGTATGTGCATTTAAACAACTCAAAGACACCACTCTTATTCGCAACACCTCCCAACATATTTTTAACACGTTCATAGATCCTTTTGGAATTCACTCCTTGAATATTAACAGTAAGCAAGTGGAATCTGTGAAAAATCTCGTCATGGAAAATGGTAACGTGAAGGAAAATATTTCCACTGATGTTTTTGATCCAATACTCCAACTTGTAAAGATGAATTTACTTGATCCATTTAAGAGGTTCCAGCTTTCAGACGATTATAAATTGTATGAGGAACAGATGAAAACACCCAAGACTGCTAGAGGAACGCCACTACCAAGAAAGCTTACGACACGCCATCCACTCTTGCGAAATGGAGAAGAACAAAAACGATTATCAACCAAACGAAAAAAGATTCCATTCCCTGACATGCCATCAAGACCACCACTTCCTGAAGAACGCAAGAGCGTAAATCAAATTTCCGTAACTTTACCTGAAAGAAAGAGCATTAATGTCAAGCAAATGAAAGAGAGAATCAACAACCTTATGGAAATTCTACACAGTGAACGAAGATACTTAGAGTTTTTAATTGATCTTTGGGAGATGTATTATATACCTCTGGTTGAGAACAGGTATATCAAAGGTACGGAACAACCAGCATCTAAAAGGAAATCGAAAGGCCACACGGATGAGGCACAACAGCCACTCAAGAGAAAGCTGTCCTTTGTAGACAAGTTATTCAACAAGAACAAGCACAATCCAAATTCACACGACGATAATCGGATTGTATCTAAAGAAGACGCTCAAGAAATGTTTCCAAAGAATCTCTTTTCAATTATTACATTCAATAAGGGATTTCTTGTTAAATTAGAAGAACGATTTGCTCTTTACAGCAATGATGAAGACAATACTGCCATCTTACCTCGAATGTATAACATGATCATTGGAGACATTTTCATTAAGAGTATTCCATACTTTAGATTATATGACAATTATTTGGAGAGTTACGAAAACGCAATGAACAAGATTAGACAAGTGCGAGCTCAAAACAAGGAATTTGATCGATGGATTAAAAAGAGAAAATCGCATCCTCGTTCCCGTAACCTTGAAATCCACAGCTTTTTAGTTTGTCCAGTTCAAAGAATTGTCAGATACAAATTGTTAATTGAGAATTTACTGAAAACCACAGAAGAGGATCATCCTGATTTCTTTCCATTAACCAAATCTTTGGAAATGGTGATTGACATGGCCAATCAGCAAAACATTAGCATCAAGTTGACCAATAACAGAGTGAAAGTGAGAATGTTAACACAACTTTTTGATCTGTATGAACAATTAGGTTGTTCATTAACTCAAAGTGGCGCTGTGGTTGAGGATAATTTACTGGTGCGTGAGGGAGATGTTGAAATATCCATAAGTAAGGAGGAGAGCACATCCCCGAAAAAGAACAAAAAATCTCAAAGAGCATACCTCTTCAGTAATGTTTTAGTTCTCATTGAAAAAACTAAGATAGTTGACAAGCAAATTTCATCTGATAACACCACAAATCCAAATGGTGGCTCCCAAGGAGAAACCCACTCGCAAGACGAACCCTTGAAAAGAAGTTCTTCATTCTGGAAGAAGAAAAAGGAGTCACAAGAACAAACCAGTCCAAAAGTTCACAAAGCAATTAAGGTTGAAAAGAAGCATGTTCGCTTGGAAGATGCATTCATTTCTGGAGGTTCCTCCAACACGATTGAAATTTCCTTCACCGTAGGCTCCAAACTTACATCAGTGGCATCTGAGAGTGATTTGAAAGGTTCTCACTCGCCCTCTGCAATCAGTACAGACACTCTTTCCGCGTCGCACCTTGTCACCATGAGTGGACTTTTTTCAGCTCGAAAACATAGCAAATCGACAGATAATATTCCATCGAACTCAACCACCTCACTCGATTCTGCTCGAAAACGATCCACAAGTCTTTTCGAAAAACTCACAAGCAAGTACAAACTCAGACAAAAAGAAACCAAATTAACCATGGTATTGACGTTTGGAAGTAGTGAATTGAAGAATCAATGGCTCACAGATTTGGAACAAGCAATCAAACAAGCCAAGTTGAAACAACTCTCAAAAGCCTCCAAACTGAGTGCTTCCTCGAGTTTTATCATTTAAGGAATGAGGACGGACGTACTTTGCCTTCAACAACTTCAACAAGCAGCAAACCTGAGATGCTCAATTAGCACGTCTAATTTATTGTTATTATACTAAGGCAATAATTAAAAGAGCCTTGCACTTGGAACAGTGCATATTCATCGATCATTACTTGATTTTGTTGATGCATTGCAGTCTTGGATAGTCCGCATCGGAATGGTATAATGGACCTTCAACATATACTCTCGTCGTTGGACAAATTGCGCACTCAAGACGACTTTGAAAAGAAGGACAAGACAAACCAAAGCATAAATATCAATATTAGAACGGATAAAGCAATCAAGAACATGATATTCTGATGAGTACTAGTTGCTCCCTTAGTAGAAGGAGCTACATGTTGTTGATGAAAGGAGGTTGGAAGATGACGCGATGAGGTCATTTTTTGCAAATGATGGAATTGTAAATCATCTCCCGACAAAGTGGAGGCAACCCAAATTATTTCCAAGTTATCATTATTAGGGCCAAATCAGCCATACGACTGTGTTGATGTACACCGACTAGAATGCAGAGATATCAAGATCCAATCTGGAAAGGAGATTGCTGAATGTTAACAATTCCTTAAATCCATTCAGGACCATTCTTTCATGCAAAAATATTGTAGTGGCTCATACAACACATGGAATAGATCAGAGTTCACAACGCAGTGCAATGAGAGAGGGTGTTGAGTTGTATGATGGTTCAAGTATACTAGTAGAGTGCATGAGAAATTGTTGGAGAGAACAATTATTAACTCGAGCTCTTCATCTGTTCGAACCATCCATTCACTTTTCCAAATAACTTCATTGTTCAACATATAAGTGATTTGCACTTGTTCCATTTGAACATGAAGTCGAAAAAGTGCAAGCAATTCTTTAATTTAAAACGATTGCTAAACAGATAACTTTCTGATACTTGTTTAAAAAGACAAGCCAAATATCTAAAATCAAAACTTGTCACTTGTCACAACGAAATTGTCTTTACCGAGTCAAATGCATTTTCGTTTCACATTTTTATAAAATCTCACAAATCAAATGTTTTTGTATGTCATTTCTTGAAATGCCTTCGTGTTGCCTTTACTAGACTCTGATAGTGTATTCAAAACACATTCGGGATGAACAACTACTGTCACAGAGAACAAATCACAGAGAAAACGTCACCTGTTGATGTTTCTTGTGGAGATAATATACTACATTGAGAAAGTGTTTTTTTCTGGTGAATGATGTATGGGCGATTGTACTTCTTGATTGTAGAGAGCTCAATGTTTGAATAGCTGCAAATTCACTCCTATCACACACACTCGTGTTCCCATTGGCCAAACCACACAAAAAAAAACAAACCAACCATCACTCTTACACTTTAAGTAGAGAGAGAACAGTGTACACAACCCAAACACACGAACATCACCACAACCCCAATCGATTTGTTGTTTCCAAAGTGTGCTTTGATCTGTGCGAGAGTATTTAGTGCCAAAAGACATCATTCACACATTTTGCGCATTTCCTTTTTAGCATTGGTCGATTAGTTCAATCACATGCAGCAACATCAGCAAGACACAAGTTCCGTCCTTGTAACCACTCGCCATCATCATTACTCTTCATCGTTCCACATGCCACCCCATTCGACTTCTCCCTTTTTTGAATTCAAAGTTGTATCATCCTCTGCTGTGTCTAGCAACAGTCAAAGAAACAACAAGAAGAAGAATCAACGAAATGGTAACAATAACAACCAACACACTTCTTCAACAGCAGCAACAGCATGTCAGCATGTGAACACAACTCCCACGAACGGATTGAACAACCTGATGCATTCCAATACTGCTGTACATGCATTACCGATCATGACGAGCTGTACAGGAGGAAACAGTTTGAAAAAAAATAAGAAGAACAGTGCTCCCGGTTTTTCAACACAATCCTCAACGGCTGCTGCTGCTAGTACAACCACGTCCTTTCAAGCTCAGCCCTCCACTCAACAATCAGCCTATATTCATTGGAGATTGGATGATGCGGATTTGGAGAAGGCTTCCAACACTTCTTCCGTCGGAAGTAATGATCTACCTCAAAGAAATGCCAACGGAATTGAGAAGAAGTCTAAAAAGAAAAAGTATGGAAGTTTAGCCTTTTCATTGGGTGATCTCACTTTGGTGAATAACATGAATTATCAGAAACCTTCCATGAAGAATGTTCCACCCATTCATACCTTCTCAGCAGCAAATTCTGCAAATTCTCAACAAACTTCACCTCGTTCTTCAACCTCTCAATCTCAACATTCCTCTCAACACCAAGCTTCTCCTAGATATAACCAACAATCTCCTTGTATTAATAATTCCTCGAATTCAACACCAAATTCTATCATGATTCCTCCTCAACAACCACAATTTAATGTACAAAACAACAACAGCTCATCCATGGCATTGACACCTTCGCCAACCACTCCTGTTTCCATTCAGTATAGTAGTCAACCATCCATTCAATATCATCATGGAACAGGCAGTCAACCCTATTCCATGTATCCAACACCAACAACAAATGCACTGCCTCAACACACACAATTACCATCATTGCAACAATTTCAATTTCCAGTGCCTCAACAATTCTTAATGTATACTTCAAGCATGTCACAAGCTGCTTCGACATCCACTCAATCCAATTTACAACAACAAGGAACTAATTCTACAATTCCTTCATCTGGAACCTTTCCAACAAACGATCCAAACAATAATCTCTCCCCAACTCTTTCACCAAGAAGTAAAATTGCTAGAACTGGCATTTCAATAAAGGATATTCTTAATTGAGAAGAAGAGGACTGTTTGAATTTTCGACAACTTGCAGCAAGTTCCAAAAGTGAAACCAAACTCTTGAAAGTTCTCCAGTTGAACCAACGGTATAGCTCTCTCGTTCCATGTACACCATTCGTGACTAGGGTTACATTACAGACAACGACATTGAAATGCCAACACTGAACTGGTTCGTACGGTATCGACTTCCAATAACATAGGACTTGTAAGGGAGTTTTGAACTAGTTGTGAAAGGCATCTGATCTGTGAGCTATTTTCAGCCAAGTCACCCTGCGAGTGCCATTCAACAACAAGCAACTACCCGATCGGTACCCACATGCACCATTTCGGTCTTGCGTATCACTTGGACTGGCATCAATGTCAATACTCGGAATCAACACCTGTTCCTTTCATTCCACTTTCTTACTGAACTCATTCAGTAAATTACTCTCAAAAAGTATTCAGTTACATGTTTCCAAACCTAAATTGCCTGATAGCATTGAGTAAGTTCATTCAATATGGAAACTCTCCAACACTGTCATGAGGTGTCAAAAATGTATTTCGATGAAAACGTTCGTTCCTATTGAACAAACAATAATTCAAAAAATTTTCACAATTCTCAAAAAGAATAAGCCTATCTCTTGTCTCTCGACACTTGGATTTCATTGTGCTAAAGTGTTTTTTTTACAAAACGAATCGTTATCGTTGTCGTGTTCAAAGATCAAACCATGAAGAGCGTCACTCCAAACGACACAACGAAAGGGCAAAGTTCTCCCAGTCGTAATGGTGCTGGTGCTGTTAGTGCAATTTCACAACGGAGCGATTCTTCTCCCAGTTCATCCATTCAACAGCCATCTCCTCAACGTATTGAAAAGAGGAAACGAGGTCGACCTCGAAAAGAGCATCCTATCGTTCAATTCCCAGTACAATGGGAATTCCGTGATGGTACCGTCCATCATCGTCATGCTACAGGAGTGTCTAGCTCGAATCGATCGAGGTCGTCCTCCTCTATGGGGGACTCTTCCATTCAAATCTTTAATTATTATCATGACCAAGCTTCGAATCATATGCAATATTGTAATTTGAATGAAGCAAGTCCTGAAAACTATTCATCCATGGTGAATCATACGTCAATGACAAGTTCTGCCTCCATGGAACGATCAAATCCTCCTCCTCCTCCTCCTCCTCCATGTTCCCATCCACAACGATCGGTACGACAAATATTTTCCTTTCAAAATGTAAATTTTCCAACCCTTAGAAAACGATCCAATTCGAATAAGAGTGGAAATTCTTCACCCAGTAAGATGTCCTCAAGTTCAACAACATCTTCGAATGGTTCACTTCATTCGAATGGAGGATCTTCTTCGAGTAAGAAATCTCCAACGCGTTCGTCACCCATTTCAATGACCATTTCGAATACGACTTTGTTTTCGACGAGTACTTGGAACATGACACCACAACAACAACAACAACCACAAATTCAACAGCATCCTTCAATCGTTTCAAATCTTGCCAATAGGACACGAACGAATAGTAACAACACTTTCGATCCAGCAACACTTGTTACAAATTCAACCACTCCTGTTCCAATCGGAAATTCAAGCGTTTCAACATTTTCAATCATTGCTCCAAGTCAAGGAGTGGAGTCTTCTTTTCAACAAGCTATTGCAAATACTCATGAGGCATCATCGACACCCAATCCAGAGAGGAAAAGGCCAATGAAAGGACGAACGCATATTAGTCTAAAAGATATCCTTAATTAATTCATTTACACCAAGTATTGTCAGGGTTCATGACAGAAATTCATATATGAAAATAACAATATATTGTAACATCATATTATCCAAATGTTCATGATAAATTTAAAATTATATTTGTTTACATTCAATTACAACTCATTAATATTCTTATGTTGCTCCAATATAAATTGCTTCACCTCCTCAAATACTTGTTTGGTATTTTCAAAGTCAATAGCTGAGAGAGTTTTTACAGTCACACTGTCGAGTGAATGCTCAGTGATTTCATTCATAAAGAGTTTTGACATGTATTCGATACAGTCTGCAGGATTCTTCTCGTCTCCAGTGAAATTTGAAAAGTATTTGGTAAAACTCTTTTGAGTAATCTTTTGTGTGAATAAATCTCGCTTATTTAACACAAGTACAAATGGAATCTTCATGAACAATGGGTTATTTACAACTTCATTAAATACTTTCAAACTTTCTTTCACTCGCCAAAATCCAGTATCTTCATAGCAGTTCAAATCAAACTCTGAGAGGGATATCATGAATACTACAGCGTCGACATCAGAAAATAAATGCTGTAGTAGTTGTCGTATAATTGTGGGCGAGACAGAATAAAGAAGAATGTGCATTCACAAGAATTAATAGTGTTGTGTACCGATGGTCGTAATAGAAGTAATAGTGTGAAGCCAAGTTGTTGTTGTTGTTGTTCATAGGGAGCGAAGTTAAATTTTTTTAGAATAAACAGAGCCATTTTCAAAATATCACATGTAATTTCCAAAATTGTTTTCGCCGATTCGCAAAATGGCAAGTTGAGGACATGAGCACTGTTGTCATCCCAAAGATACCACTTACCATCCATTTTCTTCTTTCGTTACGTTGGCCACCAACATCCACTAAACGCAACAGCTTGCCTGTTCCTAGATCAAACTTCATGTCTGTAATGCCTAGCGTTTTCGTGCGTGTTCGAATCACATCTACCACTGTTGGGACATATTTCTCTGTACAAATTCTGTCAATAATGTCAAACAAACTATGGATCATGACATTGCAATTTACGAATATAATTCATAGAATCAATGGTCGCATCATGATGATTTTAGCGAAATCATACTTACTATTCGGTTGAGTCATACAATTGGAATTGGTCTCTATTCGCATAAGCTTTTTGAATACCACCATCTTTCCAAAGATCATGAAGTTTTTTAGCCCATTTAGGATCATCCAAATCAGATGTAGTCAATGAATTTACCACAATCTTGGCTGTTTCTCTATTTTCTGGTTGTTCAATTGGACAATTCAAATATTGAGTTGCAGCAATTAAATTCCGAGAATTTTCAATCACATTGAGTCGTACAATTTCCTTGAGCTCGGCCCTTTCCTCATCGTTGGCAATACCAACGCCATGGGCAAATTGAATTTGCTTGAACAATGTAGATTTTCCTGTTGTTGAGCGCAATGATGATACAACATTATCATAACATTATAGTAATTATTCATTGGATGATTATATTGAATATGGACCGATCGTAATTATTATTGGTCATCGTTGTGATCGGTTGACCAACAAGCACAATTCATCCAGAGACGATCGTGTCAATAGACGTGTTGTAGAAAAATGATACAAACCTGATTCACCTGCTCCCAGCAACAAAACGGTAATGTGGCTCTTTGAATTTCCTGATGATGAGTGTGGTTGTCCACCACTATTGGGTGATCCCATCGAGTCCAACTTGACATCCTCACTATCTCCGGGAGAGAAGGATTTTATAACATTGCCCATGATGGTTGTATATATAGTTTGATGAAAATATGAGTTGATGGTTTTAGAATTGATGATGTTTTTGAAAAAAGTAGAAACAGAATCTCTGGAATCAAAGGTGAGGCTGAATTGTCGAATTGTCGGGGTGAAGAATTTTTTTCAAGTCGCAGTAAACACAATATCACAACTCAACGGAACTACAAACAGCGTTAATATCGACCAATAAAGAAAGTATTTCAGTGAGAATGGTGCTTTCGTTTGAGGCTCTATGGAAAATAGGGTTGTTGAGAGAGACAAGTAGATTCAGAGTATGCCAAAAACATCAAACACTTTCGAGATTTGAATTCACCGTTTCTACGTTTTACTTCAACAACAAGTAGACGTTAAAAAAGAAGAAAAGAGCGAAGAAGCGATGAGGTTATTTACAATAGATGATGAAGTTACGAAGCGATGAAAACAAGCTTTTTTTCTTCTGAATGGCTCTCGCGAACTGATGAACTCTTAATTGGATAAAGCATTTACTTTGAGCAGAAATAAATCCTAGAAAAGGATGCAACAGCATGAATGAAAGACTCAATGGCCTGTGATGGCTTTCTCTCTCATCATTCGGAGAGATGAGAGAAGTACAAGATTTCTTAAAAAATACAATATTGAGAGTATTGAGGAGGGCGACAACGGGATAACTTGCGAAGAGTAAGATGGGCCTGTCTGTGGTTCAACGGAAATTATATTTCAATAATAAGGGAAGCTGTAGTAGATGCTAGAAGTGGTTCTTGTTGGAGCGTTTAGTTTTTGATTCCTTCCTGTCTTGCCATGTGATATCGGTCAGGTTCACTTTCTAAAATGAGAATTGTCAAACTAACTGTTCTATTGTTTCTTTAACGTCATAGTCCCCTAGCCTGTTGAGATGATCCATCATTATATGGATCATACACTCACCCTAACAACATTTTGAACTACATCATCGTCCTGTATCAAAACTTACAGATTTTGGCGTAGGAGGTCTTCTAAAAAAGTAACGATGAAGGAATCAAAAAGAAGCATCAAAAATCAGGGCGTTTTAAAAAAAAATCAGAAACAAGGGCTTTCGCTCATTTCGACACCATTTAAGCACTGCGTTGTTTCATCGTCAGAACAACAACACGATTGTGCTTTTACGTACCATCACATTCGACGCAAGATTCCCCGACTCAGCACTTTCTTCATCTCATCGAACAGCAACAACAACTACCAAAAAACAAATTCGGAGTGAATCTGTGTTGCATCTTGCCACTTGTTCCTTCCAAATCTTTTTAAATTGGCTAGCATTTCAAAACAAGCAACGAAACCCATCACCAAATTGATCCCGTTTGTTGAAGCAAAATCGTATCGACACAGCATCAATAACGACCATATCAAAAACAGTTCGTCGTTGCCTCATTTCGTTTCTGTGTTGTTTGAGTTGCATGCATATCGTGAGAGATACTTCCCAGATTGTGCCGACAAAATCATTTAAAAAAGAGAGAGACAGGTCTCAATACTCGCAAGAACCACACCAACATTCCCTTGTGCACACTATTTCAATTTGAATTCAGATTCATTAGCCCAAGAACGAAAACAAGGATCTCCATTGTACGCACTCGAAACATCTTCTAGGCCTTGGATTACATCTGCGAGCGACAAGTATCAGCAATTGTCGTCAGAGAGCATCTATCAGCATCATCATTGACCAATATTTTTGATTCCTCATCAAGGCGCCGCAAGAACATACCAAAGAACAGACGCATCTTCCAAACACACACAAGAAAATGCTTTCAATTAGAGATTTATTAACAAGCTCGCATCAGAACGGTACTGTTGTTACTTCTACCTCCTCTCCTCCCAACACAACCTACAGACAATATCAAGCTGCTGACTCCAAACCAAATATGCTCTCGTCAACAACAATAACAAACATGAGTATCGAACCCAATCACCATCCATCTCATGGACAATCATCAGCCTTGCCATCTCTCATGAATCATGACGAATCAGCATCAGCAGCAACCATGCACATGTCCAGATCCATGCCTCATCATCAAGATTTGGTCCGTGAAGAAATCACCAAACATCATTCATCATCACCAAATACAATGACCCATCCTGTTCGCGTGTTGACCACGACGACAGTATCTTACGGTGGCAAAGAGATACCAACAACAGTAGCATCAAATACAATGAACTCTGTTTCCATCCCCAATTACATGAGCACAACCTTGTCGACCATACCGAGTTCATCATCCTTTAGACCTATTAGCAACGAGTCTTTGGACGTTCATGACTCACACCAACATCAGAAAGCATCATCACCACAACCATTGTCATCCTTTCCATCGTCATCATCATCACCACCACAACAAACACCTATCTCTACCGCCAATCCATCTACAACAACAGTATTACCAGAACCGAGTTTCGTTTCTACAAACACACCAAGCCCAAATCAAAATAATATCTCGACATCCTCCAAGATCTTTTCGAACAATAACACCTCGGACGAATCTAACGGCATGATACATGCACAGCGGCTACCTTCGATTGATAGTCTAATGACTACTCAACCTCCACCCTACACTCCCCATTGTACCACTACTACTGTTGCCTCGAGACGGCGCATGTCAAACCACCACACGAGCTCATCAGATACGACTTGTCAATTGCCAGGACTGACCCCCTACTTACCCAGTCATGCGACCACAAACGACTTCCATCATTCGCAACAGGTCCATGTACCACAAAGAGAGTATCTCGATGGATATCATTATCAACCTCCTCCAACTACTACTCTTCCTTCACAGCAACAACATTACCACAATTCTCATTATACACACGCACCACAGTCCAAAAGCATGTACTTACCTCAATACCATGAAGATCCATTCATGAATAGTGCTACAGTTGTTCAAAATACTCAGAATCATCTCTCCCATACAGAACGAACATTTGGTCCACCACAACAATTGCACCAAAATCATTCAAGAGCAGTCATGCATCATCCTATAAGCCAATCGCAATCCTCATACTATTCAGACGAACATTCACCAAACAGTTATCATGCACATTCTCCATATTATCCTCCTCCTTATTTGCCTCCTCCTCATCATGAAAGATCACCTCCACCCTATTACGGAGGCATGACCTCTGGCAACACGTCTGCAACTTTGCATCCATCTCCAATGCATCAGTCACAAATGGTGCATCCACAGAATGTTTCAAGATCCTCACATCCTACGGTGCTTGCAACTCCAAAAGCTAATCTATCAAACAAGCCCTCATCCACAAAAACTACTTCCCCACCACAACCTTATTACAATAAACCTCAGAGAGAACAACCACAGAAGGTAGCACCTACGGTTGCTGAAGATCCAAACATGGACGATGGCGATGAAGAAGACGAGGAATTTGATAACACCAAGAAGCAGCAAAGTACTAAGAGTGGTAATTACAGGTTCAGAAAGGGCTGGACTCGTGATGAGCATATTCGCTTTTTAATAGGTGTTCATCTATTTGGAAGAGGCAATTGGAAGAGTATTTCAAACGTGATACAAGGCAAGTCACCTAAACAAGTTCAGTCACACGCTCAAAAGTATTTCCTAAGACAAGAACAAACGACAAAGACCAAACGTTCCATCCATGATTTTAACTTGAATGATTTGACTAACTTGCTACAAGACGAATCTTTTAGACAATCTGTTCGAGAAGATATGTCAAAAAAGGGTAGAGATTTGGAAGACTTGATTAACAGGTTCGAGGAATCCTATAACAATAAGAATGATAAAGCAGAGGAGGGCGATCAAGATGCTGTGGACAGCAACACGAACGAGAGTCGCAATGTTGGAGCTAGCAGTGACATGAAATCGAGTGGTAAAATTGTAAATAACCTCGCATCTCAAAGGATTGCTGGCTATAAGCCTTACAATTAAAAGTGTTTTGTTTTGATCATTGCGGTCATTTCATCTCCAAGCTCGAAAAATTCGTGTAAGAGAACTGATTTGTTCGAACGACCATTCAATAGATTTCGTCAAGTGTTAAATTTCGTTTTGAATCAAAGCGTCAGTTGTCATTAAATACTTCAATCTTTAAAAAAATTAAACACAACCATCGAATTATATAACACTCACGTTTTCCATCACCAACAATAGTGTTCAAACTTGTTATCTTCCTCGAACGCCATCAACACAAAACCTCCATCTCTCACTCGAAGCCAAACTTCAAATTCCAATACCCAAGAGAGACACAAAAAAAAATATTTCAATAACAACAACACTCTGTTCCATCTCTTCTTGAAGAGTTTGCTGTCTGTTTCCGTTCCTGTATCGATCTGCGCCGTTATCCTTTGCCATCATTATAATTCAATCACGACACGAAATTTGCTGACAGCTGCATCATCTTGAATTCAAAACATTCTTCTTTTAAACAACAACAACAACAACAATAACAACAAATACACATTACGAAAATGGGAGGAATATTTTCATCCATGAAAGACAAAGATGAGAATGAGAAGATACCTCAAAATAATAACAATACCAACGGAAACAATACATCAGTGGGCCAACAAAATGGTACATCCAACAATAACAATAACAATAATACAACCAATGCCGAAAAGAAGAGTTCAGTGAGTGTGCTCTTGTTGGGAACAGGAGAAACAGGTATGTTGTGTGGTGATGATGATTGTTGACATTCTTGACATTATCTTCCTTTGATCATCTATGGATGATTGGTTTGATACAACGGTGGTTCTTTGTATGGGAATATGCTCCTGTCACTTGTCATATAGGTAAATCAACCTTGTTTAAACAAATCGAGCTCATTAATGGAGTTGGTATTATCAAAGACCATGAAAGATCTATGTGGGCTTCTCTTATCCATGGAAATCTCATTTCTGACATGAAGACCCTGATAAACATTGTGGAAGAATTGAATACAGAAATTGATGATGAAACAAATGACATTTTACAAGAAATTCTAGAGCTACCAGATCAAAACGTAACCATCACCGATGAATTGCGCGAAAAACTGAAAAAGTTATGGGGTTGTGACGCTATTAAGCATGCCTACGACAACAGAGACCAAGCTCTCGACTCTGCTGAATAGTAAGTGATTTTTTACAAAATAGTTTTTCATTGAAATGTAACTATCAATGTGCGTATGATGGATCCATCATTCCACAATTGATCATTGTCGTAACATTTCATTTATTTTTTATTCAATTATACTCATTATCGGATGCACTCAACACTTGTCATCATGACATTACTATGATCATTTTATATGAACTGTGATAATAACACAATCCTATGACATGACCATCTATTTCTCTGACAATCCGACTCTCTTTGAATTCAATGAAAATAACACAAAATGAAATAGTCTCTATTCACATATTGACCGAATTGCAAAACCAGATTATTCTCCAACTGTTGACGATGTTCTTCATTGTCGTGTTAAAACTCTCGGTGTTCATCAAGTGGAGATTGTCATGGAAGGAGGAATTAAATTCCGTTTAGTTGATGTTGGTGGTCAACGTGCTGAGAGAAGAAAATGGCTTGAATTAATGTCAGAAGTTGACGCCGTAATTTTCATGACATCTCTCGCCGAGTATGATCAAGATTGCTATGAAGAGAAGGGATGTTGGCGTGTGAAGGAATCTTTGGATACGTTTGAAAAAGTAGTGAACAACAAATTATTCCAGAGCGTACCTTTTATTCTCATGTTAAACAAGAGTGACTTGTTCGAAAAGAAACTCGACAAGAAGAGTTTTAAAAAGTATTTCCCTGAATTTTCTGGAAACGAGAAGGATGTCAAGGAATGTACGGATTATTTGGCAAAATTATTCTTGACTAAATGTAAAGAGCGATCAAGTTCTTCGGTTTTGGTGCAGCCTCATTGTGCCATTGATAAGAACGCAACGGACAAAATGCTGCAGCAAGTCAAGAATTTTGTGTTGGATTCAAAGAAGAACTAATTTGAAAATGTGAATCTCGTTCAAACAGAGAGAAACGTTGTTCTTACTTGTCAAATCAATTTTGAAGCCCTTATGTGTGTACATTTATCACTTCCTCGATTAAAAACTCTTTATTGCTCAAGCTTGGCTTGATATTTGATTGCTGTGGACAAAGAAATTGTGAGCCGAATTCAGCGCCAGCGCCCGTTATCATTAATTAAAAAATGAAAACAAATTGTTCGTAAGCAGCGGTAGATCAGTTGGTTAGATCGTAAGCCTAACACGCTTAAGGTCATGGGTTCGATTCCCGTTCGCTGTATAAATTTTCCTTTTTGGCAAGAAAGTGTGTTTACTGCCCTTTTCTATGACTCTTGAATCCAAACATTAGTCCTTACTCGCACATTATTATTTTTCACAATTCAATGCTCCGTCTTGTTGTAAATCGCACAAACTTTACCTTTAAAAAAATGCTTATTTTGAAGAACAATTAATAGTTTCGACCCGAGGCTGCCAAATTTCCGACCTCAACAACAACAAAAAAACAACGAATACCCAAATGTCCCAATATTCAAGCGTGAAACGTGTTTGGCTCGTGATTGGCACTTCTTCCGGCTTTGGACGTGAATTTGTAAAATCCATCTTGAAGAAGGGTCCCGAAGAGAAGGTCATTGCAACAGCTCGAAATATTCAAAAGATTGAAGACTTGAAACAATTGGGTGCTCATACTTTGCAATTAGATGTTAACAGTGATGAAAAAACTCTGAAATCTGTGATGGAACAAGCCATCGGAGTGTACGGCAGAATTGACATCTTGATTAATAACGCAGCTTATGTTTTGAATGGAACCATTGAGAGACGAGTTCGGAAGAGACTTTCAATTTGTTCAATACCAATGTGTTTGGATTGTTGAATGTTACTCGTGCTCTCTTACCTCATATGCGGTCAAGAAAGAGTGGCATTATTGTGAATATTGGATCCATCGGTGGTTTTGAAGGTGTCAAGTTGGGTGGCTTGTATTGTGCAACCAAGTTTGCTTTGGAGGGTATTTCTGAAGCATTGCGTGATGAAGTGGGCCATCTTGGAATTAAGGTCATGATTGTCGAACCTGGATACTTTAGAACTGAACTATATATTGTCCTCCACAAATATGGTGGATGTGAAAAGAACCATTTCAGATTATGACAAGCATTATCAAGAACTTAATTTCCATGAAGTGAATCAAAAACAAAGAGGAGATCCAAAGAAGTTGGCAGATCGTTTGATTGATGTGTTGACTCAGAGTGGTGTTGCTGAGGGAAGAGAAATTCCATTCCGCTTGCCATTTGGTGTCGATGCCTATCCTTTCATTCAGGGAAAGTGTGAAAAGGTCCTCAAGGAAATGAAGGAATGGGAACAAGTCATTACCAGCACAGATTTCGATCAATAATCAACATTGTGTAGCACATAACATTGACATGGTCAATAAATATGGAGTGTTATTGAGGGTGTTACAATAAATACATGTGTTGTTGTTGTTGTTGAGGTTAATGTTGGTGATGAACGTGATGATGATATTGTCTCAACAAGCCATCAATGTCATCGAGAGTTTGTTGTTTAACATCTGACAATTCCTTAATCTTATTAGTGACTTCCTTAACTTGGTCATCAGTGAGATTCAAGCCCAATTGGTCAGCTCTGTACTTGATTGAGTTCCAACCAGTCAAACGGTGAGCAATGTGAACAAATCTTGTCATTCCAAAATCTTCTGGTTTCAAAATTTCATACGTGCTTGGATTGTTGAGAATGGCCTTGGCGTGAATTCCAGCCTTGTGTGTGAATGCACAAAAACCAGTAATGTAATTATTGAATGGAACTTGAATTTCAACAATTTCAGCCACATAATTTTCAATATCTCTGAGTAATGGTAAATTATACTTGCTCTTGACATGTTCTGGATCCATGGCGTACATTCTTGCTACAAAACCACCCAATGGAGTAATTCCGTTTCTTTCACCAATACCAAGAACGGAGGTGTCAATATGTGTACAACCAGCTTCGAGAGCAGTGAATGAGTTGGCAATGGCACAACCAGTCTGTAAAATTCGTAATTCATTATTTCATTATGTTGTTCACAAGTCAATCATCATGATTATGCACATTGGACCACAGCATTAAAGTTATGAACAGCATGTGTAAAGAATTCTTCACATCACTCACTACTTACATCATTGTGACCATGGAATTCAATATCACAATTAACAATGGAACGAACAGTTTTAACCAACTTGTAAACTTGTCTTGGGTTTGCAACTCCTACAGTGTCAGCAATACCCACTCGATTCACACCAACCTTGTCAACTTCTCTATAAATTTGCAACAAGTCCACCAAATCAGAACGGAAAGAATCTTCACTGGAGAATCGAACCTCCTTTCCTTGTTCCTTAATGTAAGTAATCACCTTTTGAGCTTGTTCAATAATGTAAGGAATGTCCTTTCCGTGTGAAAATTCACGGAGGTAGGAACTTGTTCCAAAAACAACGTCAATGCCATCCACTGCACATATTGATGTGTTGCATAAGAGAGTGTTGTATTCATTGAGATATTTGAGCAAACATCAATGACGAGTAGTAGTAGTACCGAGCGCCAATATATTATTATAACAAATCAAATGTCATACCATTTTTGAAAAATAAAAACATCACCACTTGTGATCCAATAACATTATTTTCAAGACAACATACCTCCTGCTTCAACAGCCTTCTTGGCATCATCAATGTGACACCGAACATGAGTCAAAACTTTGGTCTTCTTCAAACCAAGTTTAGAAATTTCTTGACAATCCTTAAACGATTGTGGAGAGCTAGCAGGACTTGTCACTTCAATATACTCCACACCAAAATCATCCAACATGGAGGCAATTTCCTTCTTTTGCTCCGTAGTGAAAAAGGCATTTGCAAATTGTTCTCCTTCTCTCAACGTGGATTCAATAATATTGAAATTGGTCAAATTACTTTCATCCTTCTCATTATGAGGTGAAATACCACGAGTAACGGTTTTTGGTTGGGCTCTCTGCGTAGAGGAATGTTTAGTTCCTTGATGATGTTTACTACTACTACTACTACTGGTAGAAGAACCGAGATTGGGTTGAGTACAAGAACTCATCCATCGTTCTTGACCCATTCCGGATGATGAAGAGGCTCTTTTCAATAAGGAGCCAACCACAGAAGAGAATTTTGTGGTTGAGGTTGGAGAGAGTAATAAACGTCTGGAATGATTCATTCTGTGTGTATATATACTGATGATCCAATTGAAGAGAAAGAGTTTTTTTCGGAGAATATTGAACAACAATTCCAATAATTGTAATAACCACACTGCAAAGAAGAGTGGAGTTCTTTTTTTTTTTTTGATTTTTTTCGCGTTGTTGAAAATGGGCGGAATTTTTTCAAAGTCTGGAAATTCCACGAAATGGCACGTTCCAAACGAGGAGAGTTGTCCATTTTCATAGGAATGGAGCCAACAAGAGCTCGCGTGTTGAAAAGCTAAGGATGGTCTTTGAAAGAGACTTTTCATGAAAAAGAGGAGAGGACGAATGAGGTGTTTGATCTGAAATTAGCTTGTTCTTCTTTCATTGGGATTGTTGTAATGTATTGTTCATACACGATCGTGGTGTTCAGTGGATTGTTGTAACAGAGTTTGAATCTCATAAGAAGAAGAATTTAATTTGTAGAAATGTATTAATTGGGAAGTAAGAGTTCAGAGAGATTTTGTTTTTTTCGTAATGACGCGGTGTTCTTTCTCATGATTCATGTTTTTGTAATTGAGAGCTCTACTGTTTCTACTTTGATCATCCAATGATTGAGGGAGAAGAGTACTCAATTAAGGTCGTGCAAGGGGATTTTGAGGGTTATAAACATTTGCGAGCTGTCACTCGGTCAAAGGCAGTTGTCCATAAACAATTCCTTTTTTTTCCCAAATTTGTAACTATTGTTGACATTATTTCCTCTTTCGTTTGTTTCCTATTGGAATCATTTACTCAATTCAGACCATTCCATAACGTTTAACATCAGTATTTTCCAAGTCAAGTGTCCTCTTCATTCTTCAATTCCTCAAACATTTGCAACATCATCATGAGACGTTTTCCATACTCTTTGACCACAACAACAACAACCGTCAAAAAAACATGCCCATTTCACCTCCTTCCTTCTCGACCGTGTCCTCTTCGAACAATAATTTGCCCATTCAAGTGATGGATCAAGATTCGAATGAAAAAGAAAGCAATAACAACAACAACAATAATATTCATACATTCAATTCAGTTCCAACCTTGTCATTGCCATTGAGTCCAAATATTCCACAACCTCCAGAATTTTCCAATCTTCAAATTTCACAATCTTACTCGGAACCACATCATTTGTCAACAAGCTCGTCACCTTCCGTACAGCAAATGCAACCACAAACTGTACCTTCCTATGAACAGCAATCCTATGAATTGTACAATTCCAATATTGGTCTTTACCATCCTCAAGCTGTTGGGACTCAAATGGATGAATCTCCTCCAGGCCTGATGAGAGAGGAGTTTATCGTGCAACATCCAAGTCAATACTCCTCTGTGAGTCCAATGGATGCTTCCACAACGAGTTTTGATACTATGAATAGCAGTCAGTATTCACAACAAGTGTTCATTCAACAACGGCCTTATGAAATTCAATCCATTGTCATTCCTACTCAATTTGCACGTTCTCCCTATGAACAACAACAACAACTACCAACGAATGTGGTTGTCATTGAGCATGAAGAACAAGAGAATCCCTCTCAAGTAATGATGGAACATCATTATAAAAATGACAATGGCAACACTGGAGAATTCCAACAACTATCTCAGGAACCAATAACTTCCTCTCAACAACTCTTGAATTGGGTCAAAAATAATCGAGTGTTTGCATTGTTCTTAGTGTGTGACATTGCCTTGTTGATTTTTGGTACTGGTTTGGCAATTGTGAATTCGTTTGTTCATGTCATTTTGTGTATCATTGTTTCTGTACTTCCATTTGCTTTGGTATTTTCTCAAAAATCACCCTCTCGACGTCACACCACTAAATGGAGAGTTGTGGCAAGTTTCTTATTGGGTGCCTTGTTTGCTGACAATATTGCTGCTACGATCTATGTGTGGTATCAACTTTTGAGGGAGGATCATCAACATGCTTGGGAAATTGTACTCATTCTTGCATTCACCTTTTTGCAGTATATTGTAGCTGTGTTGGGATGTGTTGTCATTTATAGAACCATTATGAATGATCGTCGAAATTCTAATTCAGTCAACCATAACAATGGTTCAGAAAATTATGCATAATATTTTCCGACTTTGAATAGAACTAAAATAGAATTGGTGTAAATAAATCTGATCCTCAGTTTGCATTCCATTGAATTGTTCAAAAGTGAAAATGTCACTCTCGTGGAACCATCGATGGTTGTGTCAATGATTTTCATTGTTTTTCCCAAAACAAATTTTTGTAAAGCACACGAAAAATTCATCCATTAAACAATATTGTTGTTTGCAAAAACACAATCCCATCAACGAGCATTCATATCATAAAATAATGGATTAAGAAAAGTCTCATTTGCAAACAGTGTCTTGAAAATAGCACTATTTGGATAGTCGGTATTAATCAATTGAGCTCCACTTCTCATACAGGCCTCACTTTGTGTAAACGAGGAATACTTGGTGTTGACCTTGGACGATTGCTGTCGAATGGCTTTTCCAGTCAATTCTTTTGGTCCTCCTGTGGTGCATCGAATAATGAGACCTTTCTGAACATTACGAGAAATAATGGATGGAATGACAAATTTTTCATCCTTAAGAACCAAAGTATCAATCGCTTCTCCATCACTCAACATGGGTTTGTAGGAAGTTAAATTCATGAATGGTCTCGCGTCATCGATTTCAAAAAATATAGCATCATTATTGGGTTGTTGCATGTTCTTAAAACCATCTCGATAGAAGAGAATATCTGTGGGATTGATTTTGCTTCCTTCTGTTCGAATTTTCGCTGTGCAATCTTTGTTTTCGTCCCATAAATTCACGACGAACATGACCATACCTCGAATGGAGTCACGTAAGGGCCATCCTCTATCATTGATGGCTTCTCTCACAGTTGTGTAATTTCCTTTGAGCTTGGCAGGTGTTAAAATTCGATGGAGTGGAAATACTCGAAGAATTTCGTTAATGAGATCTGGAAAAACGGATGGAACATTCTCGCCACAAAATTGATAAACATCTCTCGAATATTTGGGTTCAATGTAAATCGTTAAAATGTCTGGCAAGATTGGATGGTTGTTGCTGCTCGTTGATTGAGCTCTAGAATTCGAGATGGATCTTGTGGCAGCAGAGTTTTCTTCCTCACGTTTCATCCATCGCTTAATGAGTAGTAAGCATGATAAAAAACAATCACATGAAGAATGATCGTCCAATACTGGAATGTGATACACTTGAAATCTACCAGTTCGCTTATTAAAATGTACATCCAATTCTAAACCTCTCACATGATTCTGTAATTGAGTTTCTATCTCATCATGTTCATAATTGAATTGAGAAATCAACGAACTGAAAAACATCTTTTTGCGGTGATAGGAATTGTGTGTCATGAGTCTCGAAAGTTGATTGTAAGGCGCATTTTCATTTTGTAAAAATTGTTGGTGTGACGACAAGCTCGAATTTAGAAAATCTTGTGACGTTATGAAATGTGTCTTTTCCTTGTCCAAATCTAAATCATCCATTGTTACAATTTTGGGTACAAATAAATCATGCTGTGATTGATACAATGCAGAACATTTCATTTTCGGATCGTAGGGCATATTGGCCCAATAAACAAATAGAGAAGCCATGCAATAAATGATTACTGACATGACCAGCACCCAACACATACACAATGGAACACAGGTCAATAAGATTGCACAATTTCTTTTTCCAATGATGAATACAGCGTGCTTGTTGAATTTCACAACAAATTGCTTTTTGGAATTGGATGGAATGGATTTGGATGCAACTACTTTACATTCCTCGACCACAGCAATTTGTGTTTTTTGAATATCCATGGATTTATGCCATAAAGTAGTCGTAGTCGTTCCTCCTTCCAATTCGTCTGTCGTTCCTTTTTGAAATGTCGACGATTCTAAATACTGTTTCATTTCGAGCGCAGAATAGGTTCCAATTGGTTCATGTTGGTGGTTGTGGTCGGAATTCATATCGACCCATTGTTGATGATGATCTTGCCTCGTGAGGAATGATTGAGCGGATGATGAATATGTGTTGTTAGGGGGTGATGATGAGAATGCTACTACTACTTCAGGCTCATCATCCAGGTGATGAGAATTTCCGAAAAGAGCAATTTCATTCGTATCGTCCCGATGAATAGAAGTACTGACTTGCATCGTTCGTGTGGGTGGTTGGGACGATTCATTTGCTTCTTCCTTCTTCAGCTCAAGATTTTCTGCACTAGTCATTGTTTAGCTGAGTGCACAATCTCTCAAACAACCGTTCGTTGTTGGTGCTGAGTTGTTTTTGAACGAACTTGAAAACGTTTTTTTTAATTGGTTTTATCATGATGCAAAGTGACATTTGAGCTCCAAGTGCACACACTTGGTGAGATATTATGGAAATTGATGCCTCATTAAATGGAATAGATAACTTTTAGGTGTAATTGTCAATGATTGTATCTGTTTTGCATACTATGGATTCACAACAATCAGGTCTGTCATCAAGAACATTGTGAGTACTCCATGTTGTTGCTAAAGTCCTTCAATTATTCGAACCTGTGTTTTAGAAATGAGAAGAAAAAGTTGTCAATTCTCATTTCTTTCTCATCCGTGTTTACACATAGAAACGTTTGACTCTGGTTGAAAAACTCTTTCGTTGTCTCTCTTCTTCCTGTTTCCTCAAATAAAAGCCATACCGAATTCCGATTCGAATCAATCCTGCAATACTGATTCCACATCCCAAAATTAATACATAGGGCCACAATTTTACCATGAAATTCGTCGTGCTGTTGGTACTTGCTGTTGTCCATGCGTAGAGTAATGAAGCAAATCCCATCATGGAAAGTAACATACTGGCTTGTTTTAATAATCGGGATGGTAAAATGTCTTGTACATTCGTTTGATGATCACGCAGTGTTGTTGTTGTTGAAGTCGAACTCGTTGGAGATGTACTTTTAAGAGAGGCTTTCACTAATTCTTGTTCCTCTTCCCAGATAGACATACCATCTTCTTCATTCAATCGTAACAACACAAAGAGTATAACGGTCAATAGGAAACATAATAGAGAGAAAGCAGTAAGAAAGGCTTTCACTGCAAAAGAGGGATGGCTAGTTGTTGTTGAATCGTCTTCAAGAAGTTGATGGTGTTGAGTGGTTTTTGGAGGATTAAAATCTTCAATATCTTCCTCGTGATTGTGTAATTCGGAATTGTCTTGTTGTTCCTTGGAAGAGGCGTGAACAAAGAGTAAGAATGGACTCGTTGATGCTGATGATGAAAATTGAGTGGTTTCCTCGGAATTCTTGTGTTGTAAATTATAACAATTGTTGTGGATGTTGAAAAGATTTGGATGAATATTCATAATTAAAATCGTGCACATCAAAAAGGCCATCATCATTATTTTCGGCCGATTTGGGTGATGCTTTTGAAATCTACTCGACATGGAATATTGGTTTTTTCTTATTTTTTTCAATATCTTGTTCACACCGAATTGATCGAACTGGTCGAAGCGTACACAACCAATATTATACTGGTAGATTAAGGCTCAGTTTTGAGGTGTTGTTGATCATAAGTTCATTTAATTCTATAAACTACAAATTTCGAATAGAGAATGGATCTGGATCAGGATCGACTGTGCTTCCACACTTTGGTGCAGTATTGAAATAGACAATTTGTGAAGGTGTCACACCACTCGAAACAGGAGCCTTATCTCCGTTTACAAATCGAATTTGATCCAATACAAATGTTCTTCTCAATGATTTGTCAGTCAATTCAAAGGTGACACTGTTGAATTTGGCTCCTGCAACGAGAGCAAGATCTGAAACTGCAAGTCTCACTCTTGTTGCAATGGTGGTGTCAATCTTGTAGTGCAACACATCCAGACGACCCACAACTTCAGGATTGTAATTTTTCTTTGAATACCCAGCTGTCACTGTCAATAATAATGGAATATTTGAATCCAATGATCTCACATAAAACTCCAAATAATTTACAGCACCGGTAGAATTGGTTTGACTCACCACGACATCATTGCTGACCGCAACTGTTATGTTACCTGTTTGCATGGTCACTTTCAATGCATTTCCATCCATGGAGCTGTCGACAAATTTGTCATCGTAGGTGGTGTCAAGTGCAGTCTTAATGGAATAACCTGCAAAACTTCCTGAATATAAATTCAACAATACTTGTCCCACTCCAGTATTGGATGGTGTAGCGCTTGAAATGGGAGGTGGAATAGTGCATGTGGATCCAGTCGAGCAATAAAGTTGAGCTCTTAAATGACCTTGTGGGTGAGCTGTGGTAGAGACTTTTACAAAAACTTGGCCCTTAATCAATGCTATCCATTCACTATATGAAAAATCAACTAAAAATCGACTAATGGAATGGTGAGGAGCAGAGTAGGAAGAATAGATTTGCCTTGTTTCAACTCCTGGTGCCCCAATACCAACAGTAATGCCAGTAACAATAAAGTTCAAATTGTGATACACTGTGACATCTAACACCTTTGAGTTTGGATCAAGGAATGCATAGACTTTGCCATAACCTGGAGTGTAGGAACCTGGGACAACAACATTTTGTTGACAGGTTTCCAAAAGACCTACATAACGATCCTCCCTCATATAGGTCTTGTAAATGGATTTGGCATTTACGGGATTTTGTAGAGTAATGGGAGCACATGTTCCACTTGGACAAGTGGCAGTGATGGATACGATACCACCCGATGAGTACGATGTGAATGTGTTGTAGATGGTTTCAAAGGAATCTCTTCCGTCCAATTGTTGCAACTTGATGTACAACATTTCACCATTCACGTCCCAGTAATAATATTGACGTGGGTATTGCATCATTTGAGAGAGTGTGCCAGGATTCATTTGTGAGGAAGGAGAAGATTGTGATTCAGCATATTGTACATTGAATGAAGCATCCTTACGGTAAGGAAGTGTCACAACCACCCAGTCGCCATTAACCACCTTATTGAGTGACAACCTGACAGATTTTGGAGTAGGAATATCATAAGGCATTCGAATGGTATAAAAACCACGTAAGATGACATTGGCTTGATTCAAGTAAGTGTTTGCGGTCTTTGCAATGCTTCCAGTCACTGGACTTGCAATATTTCTTAGTAAATCCCAAGTGTACTGTTGAGTTTGTCGAATATTAGGATCTCTCAACTCGGGATGTTGAACTCTGTTTCTATCAGTCACATCAAAAGTGTCATATTCTGCATTGGTAAATCGAAGTTGGCCATACGATTCACCAAAAGCAGGGCAAGAATAGGAATTCCATGATGAATTGAAAATACAGCCATTGAATGGAATGATGGTGTCAGATCCAACAACCCATCCTCCATGTGGAAATCCAGTTGAAGAGCCGTCTAAATCAGCGTAAACTAAAAATCTATGATCGTCATAAATAGAATTTGGATTAATATAATGCTTGTTAGCGTTAATGAAGGTAAGGTTAATGTTCTTGCTTTGAGTGGATTGAACTTGGCGTGTTTTTCTCGATGAGAAAGCACCTGCCATTCGAACTTGGTCTGAGACGAGATTAATGAATGTAGAATTCATGACATATTGAGGACCAGCGTCTTCGTATTGTTCATAACCAATAATTTGAACAGAGACTCCTCCTTTACGATACAAATCAGGTCGAGATCTTCCACCCAAGTCGACATTGGGTCTAAATGAGGAATCTCCAGTGTTTGAGGTCTCTCCAATCATGACAGCATTCACTGTGACAGTAGGTCCTGTCGGAGCAGTTAACTGAACTCTGTTGTCAAAGACATAAAAATCGAGTAATTGTATAATGGCACCCTTTACCCATGCTCCATAGTTTCTATTCTTGTAACCTGTGAAATTTCTAAAAGTGGCAATACCTCTATTACTGATCAACACTGAACCATTCCATGTGGCAGGATAATAACCTTCAATTTCTGAAGTACCATCTGGTAACATTTGTTCTTCAACCCATAAGCCACTATCTGCACTGTGAGCAATATTGTCATCAAAGGCTCCCATTGGTGCAATACGCGGCAAGGTTGTGTTTTCTGGCGCCATTCGAGAACTTAATCCAGTCTGAATAAGTATGTAACGAAAACATGGCCCAATAGAAAATACAAGATTAGTGATTCGAAGAATTGTTAAAATGGCAAAAAAAAAGTCGGTCATCTCAACTTACTGGATTAGTAGGCATGAAATAGACGTATCCCCATTTACCACCAACGGCAGCATTTCCAATAAAGGTATTGTTTGGATTAGTAATCCAAAATACACTTGGATCCTTATCTGACGGAATAATTTGTTTCTCAATAATTGCTTTTGATCTAATTCCCAAGTTGTACTTGAATTCGTTCCCAATTTCAGATCCATCTTCCAAAAAGTATCCATGTCCCCAAAAATTGAAACACACATTGCTTGTCACTGCAATGTTATACGAGTTGTGAATAGATAGGCATCGTTGGAAACTGTTGTGAATGGAATTATTGGCAATGACAAAATTGTCCGAAATGGCAGAAGAAGAACTTCTCAACAAATGTGTATGAATAGGATAACGGCCCATATGACCTTTTTGTCCCATATTCACAAACTCAGCACCGATGATTTGCATCTTGTTTACAAGACGAACAATAAAATGTCCACCAAACTCAGATTGCTCACTGGTGGCATCTCCTTGAAAGACAACGTTTCTAGTCAAGAGACCAACTTCAGCACGAGCTCTTCCTTCTCCCCAATGAATGAAAGCGAGAGGTTTGTCCAATGTAATATTCTTTCCATCTGCTGAGATGGCACTAATTGTGAATTTTTCAGATTGGTCTGGAAAGGGAACACCTGTTTGCCAATCCAAGTCTGGTGAAGGAGGTGGATCAGTACGCATGTCCAAGACTTCTCCGTAATCTGTGGAGGCAATGACAATGGAATTTCCAACTTGCCATTTCACTCCATAATTCAAAATAATGTTTCTGGAACCTTTGAAAGCCGTTTGGCCGAGTTGAGTCCAAGTTGAACTCTTTCCAGGAACATTGCTGACAATTTGTACCACCGAACCTGTTAAGAACGCAATTCCTTTGCTACCAAGAGGAGAGTTGTCATATGGGTCGACTCCAATTTCATTGGCATTGGTTTCAGAGCCGTAGAATGTGAAAATAATCTTCTTGAACATGGGACAACTATTCGACCCAAGGATAAAGGAACCTCCTGATTCTACCCGAATGTAATTCACACTTACATTCATGGCTTTTGTGTCGAAAATCAAGGAACCTCCTGTTCTTACAATGATGGCTCTCAATATGGGAGTTGAAGAAGAAATGAGTGTTGGAGTGTTAACATACACAGTACCATTGGCTTGAGTGCTTCCTTCGAGTGAAGTGAAAGGTGTCAACCCAACTTGATCCCATGGACATGCGGAAGCAGCATGCATCCATGAAAACATGCAAAGAAAGGCAACCACAATACCAACAACCTGTAACAAGGATGGTCTTGTTGATGGTTGTGAAAGAGCTTGGAGCGTCATCTTTTTTTTCTATGTTGTTTTTTTCTATGCGTTGTTTTGAGACATCAAAATCAAAAACTTAAGGGTATGATAGTTCGTACCATCAGTTCGGATGCTTGTTGACATTTGAAGGGACAAGTCATTTTTTCCTTTTGTTTGAAGTTCATCGCGTTTCTTGATAAGCTAGTGTTGAACTTCTATCATGCGAACAGATCAATAATTGTAATTCGCTTGCCAAGAACTTGGTGTTTTACAGCTTTCAGTCTACTTTGTGGTCATTGTGAATACAGTATTAAATATTATTTTAAGGTCTCAGACCAATTACATGCACATACATTTCAAGTGATCACTCATAATTTTCCAATTTTTCAATATACTCATTAAATCCAGAAAGCCATTTGGTTGAATTAATTTCATCCAAGTTACATGCAACAAATCCAATGTCCATCACAAAGGCTAATTTCAATAAAGGGTTAGACTCTTCATCTTCTCCATATTCATCATTGTAGACCATTTTAGACTCTGGTATTGCATAGCTTGGTGCAACAATTACCCCATCTAATAAACATGTTCTTGGAGCTGTACCTAATTTTTGAATCATGACTTTTTCAAAGCTTGACCAAATCCAATTTTCCTTGCTGAGTAACCCTCTCTTCCATTTCCTGTAAAGGTGAATTAAAGAACCAACTCGCAATATATCTCGTTTTAATCGTAAAATATCTTCTCGAGTAATGGAATAACTTTCTGCTTTCTCAGTTGTGACAGCAGGAGAAGCAATAGCAAAACTATCTAAAAATGGCGTCCCATTCTGGGAACCATTGGTGTTAATTAAATTCTTTGAATTTCCACCATTCAGTACGTCATTACCATTATTATTACTTTTAAATAAATTAAACTGGCTATTGCTGTTATTATTTACATTCCGTGATGTAGCGGAGGACGATGATGAAGGCTTTAATATCATTTTGGTATCAATCAGCATTAGCACATCATGAGCAATGACTTTAATGTCCACATGTTTTGCTGTACATTCTTCCGAGGTAGGCGTGGCACATAAAAATCGTTTGTCCTCTTCCGTTAAATATTCTGGAAAATCTTTCATCAATTTATTGACCATCAATTCAATTAATTGAACCACGGAATCATGATGAGCATAACAGTTGAAGCATGTTCCTGTACAGGTCGAGACATGATGAAAGAGATTATGTTTCGTAATCATTTCCGAAACTTGGAGCGCATACGAGGAGGAAACCCCTTGCGGAGAGGAAGTACTCATGTTGATTTTTTTCGGAGTTTGTTCACAGGATGAATAGCAACACAGGTTGTGCGTGGATGTTATTGTACGTATCTAAAATAGTGAGCTGACCACTCGCCTCTGAATAAATTACTGAGATAGTCAATTCTTTGACTCTTTCAAACTGAAGGCATAATTGCAAAAAACGTTATATTAAGAATGCAGGTTCTACACACACAGTTTGTTAACAGTTATAATTCACTTTATTGGAATTTCGAAGTTGGAGAATCTTCCCAACTAACATGATAGATACCACCATTGCCACAAGAGCCAAGAGTAAAAACACAACAGCCCCCATTTGCAGCCGATCATAGAGTTCACTCTTTGGAAACAAGCTCACTTTTGATTCTTCACTATTTGTATAACAATCCATGGTTCCATCAGAAGGACTGGAAATTGAATTTGAAAATACGATGGAAGATGCAAAACGAGTGCGGTTTTGAAACGAACATTGCACGTCTGCACCTTTCGTTGGATCACGTTCCAATACTTGCTTTCCCAGCAATGGATAGGTCACGTTGAATTTATCCAAACATCCTTTGCTTTCGTTATGGGAACATGGGTGCAGTGTTTCAATCAAGCAACAATTTCGATGCAGATAGACAATCGCGTTGGGATCATGATTAAATTCTGGATCAGAATATACAAGTCCAAAGAAGGCAATGGCAATTCCCAATAGTGCAATGCTCAACAACAATGAAATAATAAGGACTGCTATGTATTCCAAATTAGGATAAGATTGAAAGGGAATGATTTCGTCTTCCTCTGGAAGGAGGTTTTCTTTTGAACCAACTGGTTTTTGGGATTGACTTGCCCTTGATGCTAGCTCTATCGACAAAGGAGTTCTGTTGTTTGTAAGTTTTGGTTCCACATGTTGTGGTATTTCTTGTTGAGGTTCAGTACAACCGCTTGCAGGCTGCGATATCACAGGTTCCAGTTGTTGCGAATGTTCATTGGATATCGACTGGTTTTCCTCCAAAGTGATAGTTTCTGAAGTCGTTGATAGTGTTGTTGTGGAAGGTTGTGAATATTTTTTGTGGTCTAAGTTTGATTTCACGTTGAGGGAATCAGCTTTAAATGGAGCTAAATTAGGAACTTGAACGTGAAAATCCTGGAAAACGAGAACCGTGTAAGAAGTGAGTCACTATTTTGTGATTTCAACTGGGTCGTATTATTTGAGATTTGAATTTATTGGTGATCATCAAATGCAAACTATTGCAACTTCAACGTCAACAAACGCACTAGTTGCAGTTCTAATGGCGACAACTGACATGTCTTTTTATCGTTTAACCACTGTAGTATTGATGAATGTCCTTGACCTGAGGTTCATGTTTTTTCTTGTAGTTTGATGCAGAAACAAAATTATTCTTCTTGAAGGAAGTCTTTCAAACACAAGCCCCGTAAATTTGAAAAAAGAACCTTTACAACAACAAAAAAATGAGCAATTATCTCACCGATTATTCTCAAACTCTCTCTCGGGGAACGTTTGATCATACGGTCATGAATACATTTGCGTTCGGATCGGGTTCACGAGGTACTTCTTTGGGAGTGAATACTTCAGGAGGAAATGTTAAAACCGTTTCGCAATTAACTGCTCTTTATGAAGCCATTCGGAACAAACCCATCAATACAGAGACGAGTGGAATCTTGTCGAAACGATCTCAATATGCTTCACCTCATTCCGATGAATTTATTTTAGATATTGCTTGTGGTGAATCAATCAGTGGATTTTTGACTTCTCATAATCGAGTATTTATTTCGGGAGATACTGATTTGCAAGGTGGAATTCATAGCTGTATCGATTTGAGTGTAATTAAAGAAAAGGAAGGATCGTGTGTGGTTCGGCAAGTGGCAGTCGGAAGTAGTATGTTTTGTATTGTCACAGAAAATGGAACGGTTTGGACGACGATGACCCGAAGTGAAGGACTTCAACGTTTGTATTTTGAAAAACATGATCGTACTGTGGATCTTTCTGTGAAAATCAAATATGTGTCATGTGGATTGTCTCATATTATGGCTCTCAGCGAAAATAATGAAGTTTACAGTGCCGGATTTACAAGCTATGGATGTTCAGGTAAGTGTGAGAACGATTCATGTATTGACTTGGTGATGATTTGCGTGTTTTGAACATCTCGATCAGGAATGAACTTGGGAGCTCACAATTCACACTCACAACATCGAAATGGAGTCAAAGTTAAAATTCCACTCGTGCCCGGAGATGAAGTCCGTGATGTCTATGCTGCCTATTACAGAACTTTGATTGTGAGCAAGATGGGATATATTTATACAACAGGATGGGGAGTTTATCATCAACAGGTATGTGTAGTTTACTTGTGATCATTAATTGAACAATTTAAACATGAAATTTGTGTTGTTGAAAAACAAATGATGAAACTCTTATTTGGAAATAATGTAGGGTCTTGGAGATGACACATCCAATTTGGAAAACTTTGTATTGCATGAGCCAATGAAAAAGACAGGTGAAAAAGTTGTGAAAGTGGCACTTGGCGCTCTTCACACAATTGCACTTACAGGTTTGTTGAACTATATATATTTTTGTGTACGGTAAAGACGAATCGTAATTATCTTTGTTTTCACATTTAACAAACATGTTACAAATAATTTAGAATCAGGAAAGGTTTTCGGTTTTGGATTTAACAGCTATGGACAGTTATTTGCAACCAATGGAGATGAACTTTATCCAAAATATTTACCTTTACCCAAACCAATCAAAGACATTCATTGTGGGTGGCATTACTCTATTTTTGTGACTAGTGACAATCAGTTCTATGGATGTGGAGCCAATTCCAGTGGAGAATTGGCAGCAACAGGAAAGGACCCTCAAAATATTGCTACACCCTCTCTCATGACATTACCAACTGTTCCCAACGTCTCACCAACAGATTTATCATGGAGAGTCTTTGCATGCTCGTTCAGTTCCAATACTTACTTTTTGGGACAATTGACAGTTTCGAAACGATTCCAATGGATGCAACAACGATTGAAAATTGCAGCCAAAGAAACCAATGCCTTCTCAGATGTGACCATGCTCGTGAATCATTGTGATCAGCACACTTCCATGCAACAATGAGTTGTTTTTGTTTAACAAAACCACATGATGGTCGAGCAAAGGAGAACCAGAGTTGAATAGAAAAGCTGAGATTTCTCCATTCACCTCAACAAGTGCAAAATTTTTTAGTATTTTTGGACTTTTCCATAAACTTTTTCACAAAGCACAGAAAAAGAGGCTTTCTTCAAAATTTTTTGCTTTGGTTCAAAAAAAAAATGCCTTCATCCCGATCGTCTTCTCTCCAACCTGTTCCCTCCTCAGCATCATCACTAGGCTCTTCTTCTTCATTGTTGCATCCACATGGCATTCATCACGATGATTCTGCTTCAACAAAAACAGATCAAGATGACGACAATGCAAGTGGACTTGGTTTGGAAGCTCTCCAGCCACAATCATCTTCATCATCGCGACATTTACAACGAAAGAAGGGAATCTTGTCGAGAAAAGGGGATAAAAGTGGACCATTGATAAGCTTGATGAGTGAGAACCCTAATCCGAAACAATTGATTCAATCCATGTTGCAAATGTTAACCATGTGGTTTGTAAAACCAACCTCAAATAATTCGGGCGACGAAATCATCAATATGAATGAAGTTATCTTGTCTCTAATGAACATTTTGAATGTTGGATTTTTGGAGTTGATGTATGCAGTAGAGAGTGCCAACGAGCAAAAGGATGAATTTAGGCCGTATGACGAGGATGAATTTGTTTCAAAATTCTGTGAAGGAAGTGTTTATTCATTTATTGAAAATTTGAGAGATCACACAAGCGAAAAGGCTAAACGATTGATTTTTCACTTACAAACCAAACAACTCAATCAACTTCGAAAGCAAGACACCTTTTCATCGTGTCGATTACTCAAGTTGAGAGCAGACTATGTACACAACGTTGTAAAGATTTTCGAATTTGGAACACTCATGTACTATATTGGAGAGCTCAAATGTATGAAATCAGCTTTCGATTATACATTATATTATTTTAGGAATAGTTCGTTGTGCTTGGACCCAAATTTTAGAGAAATTTTACTTGCAATTTTGGATACACTTATTTTGCAAAATTTCAATGCTGTTTTAGATGCTGCCCGAGAGGTAGATCCTTCTGTGCTTGCCAACTCCAACAGCAAGCAACCAGTCGAAGAGAATAGCGTTGAGGATGATGTTTTAGAGGAATTTTTTTTGCTTAAAAAGAATCAGTCTTTGGCATGCATTAAGAGATTGGAGATTGCAAACAAAATGAATCATTCAGTAATTTCCCCAGAGTTAATAGAGAATATGCTCACACGAATTCAAGAAGATTTTGAATGTATTGAGGACATTTTATTTATTTTTGAAGAAAATAGCGACAAGTTGATTCAAGATGAATCTGAGGTGCTGTTAAATCTCAAAAACACCATTCTATCAAGATGGAAAGACTCATGGGAACACAAATTAGATGCATCATACATACTCGATGCACATACTGCCCTTCCAACTTTATTGAACACAGCTATTCCAGCAAGTGCTAGCACTCACAGCACTACTAACATTCCAACCAGCAATTTAGTCAAATACAACGAATGGCTTGGAATCTTTCCCGAGTGTGACATTTTTGACAATTTGCGAAAACAAAAAGATACTGCCAAACAATCCATTGTCTCTCTTCAACACTTAACAAGTGAACTTGAGAACGATATTGAAGAAGGCTGGATGAAAGACACGGCTACAGATCCTGTCCACGTTCTCACCTCCATGCAACGATCTATTGAAGCTTTACATTGTCACTTACAGAGCTCTCGAAAGGATGCTCTCACAGCTATTCTACAAAAAGAAGAGGCCTACAAGGAAAATATCAAAATTGCTCGCATTCGAAGGCAAGCAAGTAACACCAATAGTAGCAGCAACACTACTAGTTCCACTCATAATGCATCCACAGACAATGCCACCGCCTCCAGTAGCTCTGTCACCAGTAATGTCGCTGCGACCACTTCCTCGACCACGAGGTCGTCACCAACCACACCTCCTCCTGTTAATCCATCCTCCTCCGCACTCATTCCGCCACCACTCATTCCACCTACTGCTGGTGCATTGAATCCATTCTCCAATTTGATTCCAAATGTGCCCCTTAATCCCCTGATTCCTAATCCAAGTATGAATCCTGGAGTTGCATCTTATATGGCATCAAATATGCATCGTTTTCAACTCAATCCACAACTAGCAGCCCAACAGGCACTCAATTCCTTAAAAAGAAAAGACCCTCCTACCAACGCTACGACACCTCCTAAAAGCAGCATCAGTGATGCCAATAAACGACCAAAGCAATAGTCATCGACTGCTGTTTCCAATATGATCGTTAATTTTCTTTCCCTTATTTTCACACAAACAATGAACAAACAGGTATGTTCCCACAATAAAAAAAATGCAAGCCATCACAGCAAGAACCCGAAAAATCGTTTGCCTTCTGAAAAACTATGAAGCTCATGCCAAGGAGATGAAAGGATCAGTTCCATCAAATCCCGAATTTTTCTTAAAACCAACCACTTCTATTCAATTATATCAAGATCATCAGATGAATAATCAAAATTGTATTCAAGTTAGCTCCATTTCTCATCTCACCAATGATGTTCATCATGAAGTCGAATTGGGAGTAGTCATTGGAAAGAAAGGTAAAAACATTTCGGAACAAGAAGCATTTCATCATGTCAAGGGATTTTTTATTGCTTTGGATATGACAGCAAGAGATTTGCAAGCCAAAGCAAAAAATCAAGGAAAACCATGGACTGTATGTTTGTATATTTACAAATGATCATGACGTTTTGATACGATGATTATGAATTTTAAATGTATCCATGATGATTATTTATCAATAATTACTAAATGACTAATGGACATGTGAAATTGTTGAACAACAGGTCGCTAAAGGTTTTGACACATTTTGTCCAATAGGTTCCGAATTGTTAAGCCCAACAACCTTGATTAAGGACGGTCGATTGATAAATCTTGCACTTTTTTTAAAAGTTAATGGAGTCATGAGACAACATGGCTACACTGATGATATGGTTCATAGTATTCCAAAATCCATTGCAGCCATCAGTGAAGTGATGACTTTGGAGGAAGACGATTTGATTTTAACAGGTACTCCAGAAGGAGTGGCACAAGTCAAACCTGGAGATGTCATTGAATTTGGAGTGGAGGGTCATACCAAAACATATTCGTTCAATGTTGTGTAACAAGTTGGAATTCTTGTAGTATAATTGGATCGAATACATATACGTATTGTTAAATTATTATTACCACAAGAGTTTTACCATTTTCAAAAAAGGGTTTTTTCAAAGCTTATATTGAATGTAAAATAATTTACACAGATTTCAATTAAGCGTCATGCAAAATGAATGCATGATAAATGACACTGAAAATGCTACTTGCAAACACTGAAACACCAATAACCAGTACAATAATGCACAAAATCTTGATAGCGGTTCTAAAAACACCACCTTTCGAGCTACAACATCCTTTCCAAGGATCTAATTTGAGAAATAGAGCAGGAGGAATGATATATGCCAAACTAGTTGCACTCACACCTCCACAAATATCGCTGAACATGCCCAAATCAGTCACACTCAATCCTACCGTCAAGGTCAGTGCAACAATACTCAACGTCACAAGGGTATGATAGACTTCCCTTCGTAATTTGGTTTGTTTGATCCAAATGGCAAATCTGGGTACAAGTGTGGAAATGATCATCTTCACACCATCTCTAGGCATGAATAAAGCGTAAGGAATTGAAAGAGAAATGTCAAGAACGAGCAATAACCTTGCAACAATGGCAAATGAGTATCTTCTCGGCAGCAAGTCAAGAATATTAGCATCTTTCAAATTCTTGTTGTAGAATAAAAAGTATCCAGACAATCCAATAGCAAAAATTGTCAAAATGGTTAAGGTAATCACAGTAAACACAACAGTGTAAAATCTCTTTCGAGTAGGTCTCTTCATTTCTCCAAAACAGTGAAACACAATATCATGTGAAACATAAATGAATGATAATGCAGCCAGTGCCGACAGTACTTGATCGTGCATGAAACTGAATGCATTATCAGGTCTAGGATCAATTCTCCGTCCCAACACAACTTCCAAAATAATGAGTCCAGTAATAATTAGCACACAACTCACTGAAATAAATGACGTGAATGCAAAACTTGATAAATTTTTCATCAAGGCAATGGGTATTAAGAATGCTGTCAAGTATAACAAAATTGCAGTTCGACTAATAAAAATATTGGAAGTATCATTGTTAAATAAATAGAGCAACAAGTCGCCCATCACGTCACCGAACATGATGTACATTCCACAAGCTCCACCAAAATTAAATAAAAAAATGAAAATGCATGTAATGACGTTTCCAGTCTTTCCAAATGCCTTTTCTGACAATGAAGCCAAACTCGTTTTGAAATGTCCTCTCGACATTTCATAGAGTAAAATTAAGGTAAAAGATGTAATCAATCCAAAGAAAACAACACACAAAATTGACATCCAAATTCCACTTTGAGCAACCATTTGAGGCATTGCCAAAGTTCCTGGACTCAAAATATCATTCACTAAATTGAAGCATGTGAAAAACAAATTGGTCTTTCTAGAAAAGAGAGGAAAATCATTGGAGTTCTGTTTTTTCTTTTTTCGAACGGTTCTTGTTGCTTGTTGTGGCACAAAATGGTTTTCATTGATATTGACAAGACTTTTCATGGATCGGTCAGACATGTTGTCGTCGTTCCAAATTAAACGAGAATTTTCATCTTCCTCATGTATTGGTTTGTCATTGAAAATGTTGGACCATAATTGTGCGAGTAAGGATTGATCTTTTTTCTTTTTTCTCTTCTTTTTGTGTTGAGAAGAACCTTCTTCATAAAGATGAAATAGTTGAGGAGATTTGGACGTCATGTCATTGGGCGAATGTTCATCTCTAGTTGTGTTGTCATTCTCAAGAGAAATATGATTGATGCTGTTATTGGTTTGATAAGTGACAGAATTCATCGATGGTTCATTTTGAAATGGGTTGCCTTCCGTAGATTGATACGGCGCAAATTCTTGTTTCAAACTCATGTTCCTGTTATAATTCAACAATTATTATTGAAAATGATCTTGTACTAATGATTGATGAATTGAAATTAAATGTTGCCTCAAACTTTGTTCCGAGAGAATTTGAAGAGAGAGAATAAAATTGTTGTTGAAAATTAATAACAATGATGAAAAGGCTTTTCGACGGAGAGAAAGAGGAAGGAAGGGCTCTTTCTCAAGAACGAGTTGACAATTTTTTTCGTTCATGCGGAACACTGGGGTTTCTATCAACTCCGACGGATGAGGGAAAAAAAGTTTCCCAAAATGGTCCTATTTCTATAGAACCTAGTCATTGAATACCTTTCGCTGTTCATAAATTAAAAGAATTTTTTCATTCTCTTTCAAATGTGTTTATTTAAATATGATAATGCATAATAATTGTAAAATTCAACAGTTGTAAAATTCGAATTCAAAAAAAAATGTCTGCCAGCAACAATTCTTCTTCCTCACCACCCCTTCGGATCGCCATCTCAAAAAATCAAGCCTTGATTCCTCTGATAAAATCATCGTCATCATCGGAACATGTACTTGCACGAAAATTAAGTGAAAAAGATGAAAAGGAATTGGAAATGTTTTTAAATGTCTTGTCTCCGATAGAGGCTCTGAAATTAACCATTTCAATAATATCGAATAATGTCGGCATGGGAATTGCAAATCGAGTGTTGGGTCAAGTAGTTCATACTTTGGAACCTAGAAAGGATAATAGTGTAGCATCGGATGTGGACTCTATTAACATGTTACCAGAATTGAAAGATGTCATCTCAAAAGTTAATAATTATTTTGTTCAACAACAAAACGAAACATTTTTACATATTCCCGTCAAAGGTTACACACTGGGGCAAGAATATAGTTTGTGCATGGAATTGAGCGGACGAAGTCCAGGAGTTGCCAAATCAACGGTTGCTGCAAAACCCTTTGATGACATTACCATTGTTTTAGTGGGCACAAATGACAACACCACTAGCAACAACCATTCAAATACGAAATCTGAAAGTAATTCTTCAACAACAGCTAGCAAAAAGAAAAAAGCTCCAACAGAGCAAGAAGTCATGATGAAACTACTTTTAGAGGAGGGAGAACAGAGCGAAAAGAAAAAACAAGCTAAAAAGTCAACCTCAAAGAAAAAGTAAAATTCTGTAATTGCTCGAATTAGAGTTCTTTCTGGACATGCACTATCGTATTTCATTCCAATGACGCAGTGGTCACCTTTCCAGAGATAATGGAACATAAATGTAGTACTGATTTTTGGAAAAACCGAATGAACGCTGCAGTGCATTCCAAGCACTAATTGAGGAAACAATCAATTTTGAGAAATAAGAGGCGCTTCCAAATTTGCTCTTTTCATTTTAAATCTTCAAGTCTGAAAACAATCCCTGAGAAACCGTAGAGGATGTATGGACAAATGGTTTTCAGTGTTGAATAATTTAAAAACACCAGAGATCGGATCGCAAAATCTTGCTGTTTGCAAAAAACAAAATCAGTCAGACATCACATCTCGCTATTTTCGGCAGGCACTTATCTTGAGTGCACACGAAATTGAAAACTCAGCAGCCCAAAAGAAAAACACCTGTCATTGACCATTGGGTGCTATTGAATGCTTTGTATTTGACAACAGACACTTGCACATTTGAATAATTGGTTGACCAATATCATCAACCATTATTCTACGATAACTTCCGATAGTATTTTGTTCCTTCTTCACTTATTCAACACTGTAGCGGAGCAAAGAGAGAATCGTTGCATCCATCAATCAGTGGGACATTAGTCTTCCAATAATTGTTAATCATTCAACAACAATATATCATCATTACATCATCCTTTCAATCTTTCATCAATTCCCTGCAAACATAATTCTATCATCAACAACAACAATGGGACATAAACATTCCAAACATGCCAATACTTCTTTTGCAGCATCCTCTCAACAACAGCTTTCTCCAAACGCTCTCTACACACCAACAACTCAAGGCACAGAACGTGTAGAGCACATACACGATGAGGAGGACAACTTACAAGACCTCTTACCTCGTAATTTGCTGGAAAGCATGAAACAACAAGCCAAAGATGGAAGATATGTTCTCAACAATAACAAACCTCCTCAGGATCAACAACAAGCAAAACCAATTCCACCTGTTCAAGTATCTGGAATTATGGTTGGAGGGGATCGCACAGGTCTCGGAACAGCATCAACCCCGAGCACAACAGGCACACCGAGGAAAACAACAGGCTTTTCATCATCAACAGCCTCAAGATCCATCGGAGCCTCACACTCTCAAAATCTAAATGCCATGAATCGGACAAAATATAGGTGAGTATAATTTTATATTATATAATTCATGGATGACTCTGATGATTCAAATCCTCATAATTATTTATCAACAATGATTGTATAATGATGATTATTATTCAAATTATTGATTATTCAAATTATTTATCACAACCCAAATGATTCATTTCTATTGCACAGAATGGAAAAGGACCTGTATTTCAAATCGTGTCTCTCCCTCGACGAATTTAGGTTATTTAAGGGAATTTTTTTAAGTTTTTGTCATTCATGTTTTTTACAACACGCACACATGCATTCGAGTACATCGAGTCAAGGTTTACTCTCCTCACGATCGAGAACATCCTCGGAAAATGTTGCAGCAAACTTCAATAGAGCACGACGAGATTCAGTGGTTTCTACAATTTCTAATGCATCAACCATGACCACTCAGAGTCAACAAGTGACAGGAGCAACACCTGGAAGAACCATTCTGAGAAATGCCTTATTATCTTCCAGTGTTCCTTATTATGATATTCATCAACTTTTTTTAACACAACAAGAATGTCAACAATTATTATTTCAACATGGAAAGGCTTTTTATTCACCGTCATTGAGTAAGAGTTCTTCTGGACAATCCAAAGCAGGACAACATGCACATTATCAAGTACCACCTTCGACACAAAATATTTCTGCTTTTACAGAATCACATCCTTTACACAATGTCACAACCAATGATTCAAAGAAAAATCAACCAACGAGTACTTCGAGTGTGGATTCTCCTTCGTTTTCTTCTCAGCTATCTCCTCCACAAATTACCCTTAATTCCCAACAAATGCAAACTCCTTCCACTATTTTACCTCACACTGGTAGCGGTATTCACCTCAGAAATGTAGAAGATATTGAAATGGATCATTTGGAAAAATTTTTATTTGAATCTATTTTTCGTGGAGTCAGTGATTGTCACTATTTGCATTTACCTCATCAACCTGATACTTATATTTTATCCTTTCAACGATTTATCTTGTCTATTTCTGCAGCAGCTACAAGCGTGAGAGATGGACAAATATTTAATCAGAAATTAAGTCGACTTTCAATGAGCACTGTATTTTCGGATGATTCTCCAGAAATGGAAGAACATGAACAAGTGAAAAAAGAGTATTTATTGAAAGAACGATCGAATATGGTGTTCACCATGCTCGATGTGGACCGAGATGATTGGCTCTCCCGTGAAGATATTTTAACTTTCATGATTGCATTGGATCGACTCGGAATTTTAACACTTCGAAGAAGTAAGGGCATGTTGGCTTCTGCTCGAAAGTTCATGTTCACTCCACGAGAGAGCATGACTGAGAGCAGTGTGGACGGCTGGTCGGATGGTGGCACATCCCCCGTTTCTGAAAAAGTGAAATCAAAGCGTCCTCTCAAAGAAGATCACGAAGAAAAACCTCAAGTTTTTACAAGTTCTCTAATCACCAATGCCATGACACAATCCAAAGATGAATACGAAGAGTTGAGTCTTGAAAATATGTCACCACAAGAAAAATTCAAGCAATTTGAGACACTCGTGGACCACTTTTTCGATTTTGCATACAATCAAAGAAAGAACACGAGTTTACTTCATTTAAAAACATCCACAAGTTTGACCATTTCTAGAGCGGAATTTTTGGATATTAGTCAACAATACGATGATGTCTTTCTGAATGGAATGGGAATGTTTGAAACATTCATCCAGCCAATCATGAAACCAGTGTATGATTTCTTATCAAAATCTAAGGATCCTTATGAAATTTCTGGAAAATTGAAAAATCTCTATTCAAATGCCACCTATTATTGTGAAGTGAAAGGTTCCATGTTATTCCTGTACGACGTCGATCCTTCTTCCATTGACTCTGAAAATTCCACTGAAAATCAATCCAAATGTATTGACACTATTGACTTGAGAAATGTGGTGAAAGTCATGAACGACACGGCAGATTATTCCACACCCATGAGTCCTGCATTCACCAGTCGACCGCATCATCACGCCAACAATGACAAAAAGTCGAAAAAACCATCCTTACTTGTAAATTCTCGAGCATCTGGAGATGGAGATGAAATCATGTTCAATGCTCCCATGACCGATGTTCCACCTAGTCCAATTTCACCACTTGCCTACACACAAACCACTAGTTCTTCACATGATACTGCTACTACCGTAACGAATCATTCCACCACATCCTCGACGAACAGTGAGCCAATATTTTCGTTTGCAACATCATCCACATTTTCCTTCTTGAGTTTACAATCGACTTCTCAACAAAATGCATCCACTCCAACACCCACAGCATTTGTGTCAATTTCAAATACGTTTGTTTCGAAAAAGTATGTCTTTGCTGCAGACAATCCAGAACAAAAGATGAAATGGTTGTTCACACTCCTCATGCACATCACACAAACCAATGATTACAACAATCGATTCCATTCATTTGCTCCCGAACGTGACAATATGAAACTCAAGTGGTATGTCGATGGAAAAGATGCCTTCAAAGATATTGCCATTGCAATGGCTCGAGCGAAAGATGAAATATTTATTGCCGATTGGCTCCTTAGTCCAATGCTATACTTGATTCGAGGTGATAATTCTCGATCAGCAGAGTCACGTCTCGACATTCTTTTGAAAAACAAAGCGGCACAAGGTGTGAAAATTTATATTATCATGTGGAAAGAGACTTCTGTTGCGGGCCTTAATTTGGATACTCGACAAACAAAGAAATATCTCAGAAGTTTATATCCAAAGAATATTCATGTATGCAGCCATCCAAAGAAATTCCCTTTAACCTATGCTCATCATCAGAAAATTGTAGTGGTCGATCAATCCGTTGCATTTATTGGAGGTTTAGATTTAGCTTATGGAAGATATGACGATCATAATCACTCACTCGTGGATGACAATCACACTTGTCTCAAGTATCCATTTTGTGATTACATGAATCCAAACATTTTTCCACTCACTAAATTTGAGGATAAACTTGCACACTTTAGAGACGTGATTGATCGTGAGTTTGTTCCACGTGAGCCATGGCACGACGTTCATTGTTGTGTCTCTGGTTTATTAGCAAGAGACGTGGCAATGAATTTCATTGAGAGATGGAACCATCACACAAAACCAATTCCTACCAATGCCTTACAATTGAAGCCAGTTCAAAAGAATCCATTATTTGAATATTATAAGAAGAAGGCAGCTCATCATGCAAGAAAGGAATCTGAAAAGAAGACACGACGAGCATTTGGTGTTCCATTGTCTCCATTTAGTGGATATAACTTGTCGACCAATGTTCAAAATGCACCTCGATTGTTAAAACAATTTTTCACCAATCAGCCCTATCATCCACCATTGACCAGTGACACTTCTCCACCTCCAGAGGGAGGTACGACGAGTGGTATTGGCAGTAGTGGTAATAAGCAACCTCGAGGAGATGATAACATGCCAACAACTCCAGGAAGATTGAGACAATTTTTCACACCACGCGATGCTCCTCCTCCTAGTATTTCAAACTCGAAAGAGGATGGTGACAACACTACTGTGAAATCCAATGAAACCACACCTAAAAAAGAGGAACATTCTGGTGGACATCTTAAAAAGCTCAAAAGTCGTTTTACTTCGACGCTTCACAACAACGCTGCTCCTCTTAGTGTCACTACTCATTCCGAAATTATGGATGACAACAACAAGGGATCGAACAAATCGGGTCTGAACCATACTCATGCAGGATCAAACAAATTGGGTGATGATCATCCCTCTTCGACCCATGTTCCTCCACTATCGAGACGTCTCACTGCTACCGATCGAAAAGACGGATTGACCACCACACATAAAGACGACAGCAGTGGTGGAACAACACACATTAAGGAAAAGAGAAAATCCTTTAATTTTGGAACAAGTGCAAAAGAAGAAGCAAATCCAATCATTATTCGAGCCATGACACCAAGTGGAGATGAATCCACTGCTCCATTATCTCCATCCATAACTCATCAGCACGCTGGTCACCTTAATAGAGAATTAACATTACCAAATTTAAGCACATCTTCTAATGCTCCACCACCAATTTCTACATCTCCTAGAATTGAGGGAGTTCGAGCACGTACCAAAAGTTGGTTCGAACGTCACAATCCAACCAATATCATGATGAGAAGAGCTGAAAGAGAAAAAGGAACTGGCACCAATGAAAAAGAAAAGGAAGAAAAACCACCGAAAGGCTCCAAAATGGCTCATCTCAGAATTATGAATCGACCTACTGAGGAATATTCATGTCCTGAAGAAGAAGGATATGTGTGTAATGCACAAATTGTTCGATCGTTGGGTCCATGGAGTGGAGCTACAGATACTGAACAATCCATATATTTGGCATATTTACACATGATTGAAGAAGCTCAACATTACATTTATATTGAAAATCAATTTTTCATTGGAGGTACTGCAGGTGGATATGTTCGAAATGCAGTTCCTCTATTTATTGCCAGAAAAGTTATTGACAAGATGAAACGAGGAGAAGTGTTTCGAGTGTATATTGTGATGCCTGTTCATCCAGAAGGTGACATTGCTGTGAACTCGGTTCAACAATTAATGAAATATCAATACAAGACGATCAATCGATCGACCACCTCACTGTACAGCATCATTAAGCAAGAAATGCCAGAGGCTACAGATGAAATGATTGAACAGTACATTGTCTTTTTGTGCTTACGAAATTACGGATTTATGAATAACAATGATTATGTGGAATATGCAAAATCTAAAAAATTTTATGATAGCGATGACGAATCGGATGAAGATGACGACTCGGATGAAAAGATTTTCAAAGGTTCTCGTAAATCAAAGCATTCTCGAGAAGAAAAGAAAGGCATGTCTTCCGATGAATACTCTTCAGAAGAGGAAGATAAAACAGGACGTGACACGAAAAAGAAGAAGCGAACTGCTTCCTTTGTAGATTCCATTCCAACTGGAAAGAGAGCTGTCACAGAGCTTGTCTATGTTCACAGCAAGCTATTAATTGTTGACGATCGACATTGTATTATTGGAAGTGCCAACATTAATGATCGTTCCATGCTCGGAAACAGAGATAGTGAAATTGCAGTGGTCGTTTCTGACAAGACATTTGTGGCATCACGAATGAATGGTCGTCCCTATAAGGCAGGAAAGTTTGCTTTCACACTTCGAGTGCGTCTATGGAAGGAACATTTAGGTCTATTCCCCAAGAATGAAAAAACATCCACCAAGTCGCAGCATTCTTCTTCACACAAAGACATGTTCGATATGGAAACTGGTGAAGATCCTCTCTCGAGAATGAGCATGGACACCACCACACCTGATGAATATCGAGTGCCACCTCAAAATGCTCCTTCAACAGCAAGAATGGCAGCTGCAAAATTATTTCACTTGGATCGCTCTCAAACTCAGTCACAATCCAAAACTAAAGAAGAACTTGAGCTTGAAGAGCATGAGAAGCATCGTATTCAAATTGAGGATCCAATTGCAGCTGAAACTTTCAAACTCATCCTTTCCACAGCAAAAAGTAATACTGAAATTTTCGAAAAAGTATTTCCAGAAGTGATTAGCAATCGATTCAGAACGATTGATGAATATTTGCAAGCAAAAAACAAAGCTTCCACATTGACTGGTGCGGAAAAAGCAAAAGAAGGTGGACCGTTGACCACTATTATTGGAGCTGAACCCCTCACAAAATTTACAAGTATTGGAGAAACTTTTACGAATTTAACACCAGCTGTTTTGGGATTGAAAAATCATGTTCATTCAAATCATAACGATAGTAATGGAGAAGATCAATCAACAACAAGTAATACCAATGGAAATGACAGCAATGGAAATCATCATGACGATTCTCATCACTTCTTGTCACCAGGAATGACCATTCGAAAAATTTCACACAAGATTCATGAAGCTCTCAATGCACCCAATACAGAACTTAAAAAACAAATGAGCCGTGAGTTTTCCAATCAAGAGAATGATGAAAACAGTCCATCAGCCAACGTTGGTGCTTCCTCTGGTCCACTAGCAGGTTCTTCACAACAACGTCATCAACAATATGACAATCATGTCATGAGTGAAGCTGAAAAGAGAAAATTATTGAAAAAAGTGAAAGGATTTATTTGCATGTTTCCACTTCATTTTGCAAGAGATGATCCATTCAAGACCACGATGGCGATTGCATTTTCAGAAACTGTGGATGAAGGAATGTTTGTCTAGTTTTTTTTTACAGATTCGTTTGGAGGAGTTTGTTGTTCAAACATGGTTCTGGATTGTTTAACGTTGTTTCAGCATTGTCACAAAGGTTATTGGAAGCACACACTGGTTCATTAATTCTTGTTTTGGAATTAGTGTTTTGAATTTATTGACATTTATATAGAAGAAATTCTCTCTAATAAAAGCAGACAGAGTCTCCTTCCTTTTTAAGGATAATGACAGGATCTCCTTCTTTGAAATTTCCCATTCCAATTCATCGTGTGTCGTGTATGAAAATCCTTGTTGTTTATAATTCTTATTCTGCACTTATCCACTTGTTGCTTGGGTTATGGTATTAAGTACCTTAATAACATCTTGAGGAAGGACTGGATCGGAGAGAGTTCGCGTCTACGAATTTTCCTAAGAATATTCAAAAAAAATGTCACAAGTTCCATCGTCGGCACAATCATTGCTTTCACACTCGTTGTTTTCAGTCCGAAATAAAGTAGTTGTGATCACAGGGGGTACGTTACGAATTTTTATAAATATGATCATCATCAACAAATGAATTCATTTTTATATAAATATCATCATCATGATCAATTTTTAATTTTCCTTGAAAATCATCAAAATTTCCAATTTTAAAAAACAGGTACCCGTGGTATCGGTCTTTCCATTGCTCAAGGATTTCTCATGAATGGAGTTTCCAAAGTCTATGTCTGTTCACGAAAAAAGGAAGCCTGTGTGGCCATTGAAAAACAAGTGTCAGAATTCATGAATCAACAAAAATTGGACAAGAAGCCACAATTTATTGCATTACAAGCAGATTTGTCAAATATGAAAGGAATTGAATCATTTTGTGAGCAAATTACTGATGATAAGGTTCATGTGTTGGTAAATAATAGGTGAGTGTTGTTTAAGGATTTTTTTTGTTGATCAATTTTTAATATTATACGCTTGTGCTGTCAAATGTTGTCAACATCATTTTCTGAATATGAAAAAAATACCGTACAAACACATAGTGGAACCAATTGGGCAGAATCCATTGATTCTTATCCAGAAGATGCATGGGACAAAGTCATGGATTTAAATCTCAAAACTCCCTTCTTTGTCATTCAAAAACTTTTACCCAAATTAAGAAATGCTGCCACTCTCGACGCACCTGCATCAATCATTAATATTGGCTCCATCAATGGTGTCAATGCTCCAAACATGGACACTTTTGCATATGCAACTTCTAAGGCAGGTCTTCATCATTTAACAAAACATTTGGCACTTCGTTTGGCAAGTGATCATATTTGTGTGAATGCATTGGCATGTGGATTCTTTTTTACGAAAATGACCAAACAAACCTTTGAGGATTTTGGAGATCATATCATGGCAAATATTCCATTGGGAAGACAATCGAGAGCGAGTGATGTGGCAGGAGCAGCCTTGTTTTTGGCAAGTCCTGCAGCTTCGTGGATGACTGGAAATGTCATTGCTTTGGATGGAGGTTCAATTATCAAGTCGAATTTGTAAAATTATTGGACATGTTTTCCTGTACACTGTAAATGCGAACCAATTTTTACAAAAACAACCTTCGAGTCCTCGTTTGCTCAAATCTGTTGAGACCAAATAAATTATTCACACACTGACTAACACAATTTTTTTGTGATTATGGAATCTTTTTGAACGAGATCAGCAAAGTCTATTGTTAATGGATGACAAATGGATATGAGTCCAAGTTGTACTTGCTCTATTTTGATCATTTTCTCATCTAGCACGCTTATCAATTTCGCGTTCTCATTTGCCAAGTCGTTGGTTTTTTGATGGAGTGCTAAAATCTTTTCCTTCATACCTTCTTTTTCATTAGCCAAGTTGATTAGAGTTTTAACGTCTATCAACTCCTGACGCATTTCAAGTCGGAATATTTTTTGTTCCAACATCGAGTTCTGTTGTTGCTCCCGAAATATTTTTGTTGATATAGACTCATTTTGACGAATTATCTTTTAATCTTGCTTCCAATGTTACACTCAACAAGCCAGTCGTGCTTTCAAGGGTGTCGGGGTTTGGAATCATTTTTTTTAATATTTTTTTTTATTGATTTTACAGTTTTTCAAGTCCAGATTTCAACATTGGAAGATCGATGTAAATACCTTATTAGATTGGATGGTCATGCCTTATTCAGAAGCAAAACCGGCCATCCAAATCTTGCTCGACGGATGTTGTGTGTGGCCGGTTGAAGTCATTAACTGTATCAAAAAAAAATTATTGGACTCATCTTGAGAGTATCCAAAAACATGAGCCATTTCAACAATGACATTGTTTTTATCATTTTACAATTTCTTGATAGTCCTTTCATTCTCCAAGTGTGCGCCAAAATATCGAAAATGTGGCTTTGGATGTCTTTACAAATTCCTCTCCGATTGAATTTTAATGAAACATTGGAAAAGAATTTTCGTTTATGGCTTTTGGTTGAACAGTGTTGTTGTTGTTGTAACAATGAATACGAGTATTTTCTGGCCAATACGATGCAAAATGTAACAAGTTTGAATATTCAACGAATTTCAATATGTGAACAAGATTTGAAAATCATCATGACAAAGGGGATGAAAAGTTTAAAACAATTAACACTCAATTTGACATCCATGGACTTGAATAGCATCAAAATAATATGTAATAATGGGGAATTTGCTAAAAATTTGACAGAATTAAATGTAGCCATGAATGGTATTGATTCGGAAGGTGTGAAAGTTATTGCTTCATGTGAACACTTGACAAATTTAAAAAGTTTAAATTTATATTACAATCGTGTAGATTCAGAAGGCGTGAATTCGATCATCCATAGTAAATATTTGAAGCAGTTGACAGAATTGAATTTAGGTGACAATGATAATATTGGATCTGACAGCGTTGCATTGCTCTCGAGTACTGACAATTTGAAACATTTACAAATTTTGGAACTACATGAAAATATGATTGGTTCTGAAGGCGTGAAATCACTATCCAATGCTTCCTTATTGAATCAAATCACTCGTTTAAATCTAAGCTGTAATGACTTGTGTTCGGAAGACGTTGCCTTACTTGCCAAAAGTGAAAATTTAAAGAATTTAACAGAATTGTCTCTGAGTAGAAATGTCATTTGTTCTCAAGGTGTGAAATACTTGTCAGAGAGTGATTGCACTCTACAGCGATTAAGAGTTTTGGATTTGAGTGAAAATTGGTTGGACGAAGAGGCCTTGCACTTTCTCTCCACAAGTTTAAATTTTGAGAATTTGACTCGACTCTCTTTGGCCAATAATCGATTTTTACAAGTGTTGCAACCTTCCGATCATGATGAAATGATCAAGATTTTTAAACAAGAAGGTCAATCTTTGAAGAATTTAAGATACGTCGATATATTCATCAATGAGAATTGGTGAATCCTCTTGCCTCACAACAACAACAACTAAACAACTGGAAGGAACGAAAGAACCTCTTGAAATCGACCAAATCCACTTCGTGATAAGGTGTTACTGAATTTCCAAAACAAAAAAAAACGCCTCACGAAAAAATCTTTTTCTCGAGTTCCATAACGCGACGAGTTCGGAATTAAAAAATTACTGGGAATTATCATCATCATTGGCAACAAGAGTGTGTTTATAATTATCAATGACGAGAGAGTGTTTTGGAAGAGGGAATTTATTTCATCATCATCATCATCATGAATGGAAACAAATACCATCCATGAAATATGTTGTACATGGTCTAGTATTATTATTGTTTTTATTAATATGGACATCGTCATCTTGTGGTGTGATGGCATCTTCCTATCGTTTTGAAAGTTCTCTTCAAATCACTAAACAACAACTCCCTTCATCATCCTTTCAAATGTTTCCAGAAATGAATTCACCTCTTGAGATGTCGACCGAGAACAATCAAACGATAATTTCTCATGATGGAATTGCCTTGTTGAGATATTTGCATGAACTAGAAGGAGGAACGCTACAGTGGGAAGTGATTTTGAAACAAAATTTAACAACGATGAGAGGTGAGAATTTTGTGTTGGTGTTGGCTCATTCCGATTATGTCAATGAAACGAATATTGGGAAATATTTTAGAAATAATGAAACAAAATATGTGATTGAATTGGGGTAGGTGGAGTTTTTGAGTATCTTTTCATGCTGATGAATTTAAAATTAATTGTAAAACCGTAATTGAACTATTGAAATGCTCGACACTACATATGAAAATATTTATATCATCACAAATCATGATGTAATATGTCAAATCATTGGTTGAAATGATGTTGTTGAACTTTTTATTTCATGCAAAATAACACAGATCATCTTTGGAAGGCATTCGAAACGAGACGAAAAAGCTCTTGCAACTTCAAGATTTCTTTAGCGACAAGTATAATTTATATGATTTGAAAATTATTTATTCTTCTCCAGAAAATTCAGAAGAACAACCTAAAGCCGTTACTGCAGTCATTGTGAAATGTGCAGGAATTGTGAAAAATATTTGCAATGCTGTCTCACCTGTTCTGTCCTATAATTTGAGAAATTGGAAAATGTGGGTCGTGTTATTACTCACATTAATCATGTTGGTTTTCCTAATTCTGGATTTCTTTCGGCCTTACTTTGTGGTTTTTGCAACACTTGTCCTTTTCACATTGTTGGATGTTATTTCTGTGAATGAAGCTCTTGAAGGTTTCAGCAATGGTACGTTTAACAATTATTGTATTTTGATACTATTACTGTATACTTTATAATTTAACTGATTTAATAACCTTGGACAATACACAAATTCACATGTTCGACAACATCACAGAGGGCATGATCACCATTGGTTTACTCTTTGCCATTGTTCATCCACTCAGCCACAATCCCATCCTATTGAAACTCTCTAAAATCATGTTCGGAAAACCTAGATTCCTTCCACTTACTCTTTTCAGAATTATTTTCCCAATTGCACTCCTCTCCATGTTTTTAAACAATACACCCATAGTGGTGGCTTTCACACCACTCATTGTAGAATGGGCTCGTGAACATGACATTTCCCCCAGTAAGATTCTCATTCCACTTTCGTATGCAACAGTTGCTGGAGGTTTGTGTACCATTATTGGTACTTCCACCAATTTAGTTGCCTCTGGTTTATTAGAGAGCTATGGATATCAATCTTTTTCTTTCTTTGAATTAATTTATATTGGAGGAATTTTACTGGTCACCATGATTACCTATTTGTGTCTCGTTGGAGTTTGGATTTTACCAAATTATAAGGCGCAAGGAATGATGGATGCCTATTCAAAAGAAGCAGGAGAGAAATTTGTCACACAAATTCAAATTCATGAAAAATCACCACTTGTGGATAAATCCAAGAAATCCATCTTGACAAATATTGGGCTTAAATCATTGGATATTGTGAAAGTGAAAAGAAAAATTGAAACCACACAAGATTTGGAAGTTTCACAAAATACCACTGTCACTAGTGTCGAAAGTATTTCCCCAGTTCCACCCGAATTTAAAATTCAAAAGAACGATCTTGTATTTTTCAATGGTTTACCAGAAGATATTATGAACTTGCATTCCATTACTGGAATTCAAAAAAGATTACAAAATTCGACCATGTTTGTAGAACCACCTGCTGGAGAGGTCTCTTCAAACGATTCAAATTCTCTCTTTAAATCCATTTTGAAGAAAATTCAAAAGAAGAAGAATGTTGAAGAAGAGGAAGAAGCTAAAACCATGCTCATGTCCTTCAAAGATAACATTCAAAAGAATTATAGCTCTCTCGACGAGTCTCAAAACAATAGTCCACTCTTGGGACAGTCAGGATTTGACTCTCCCATCATGTTGTCACAAACAGATGACATTAAAATGTCAGCAGCCAGTACCACAGAGGACGAAATTGTCAACAATCAGCCCAATACTAACGACACAGAATCTCCAACCAAACTCCATTCCAAAAAGCCAAAACAACTCTCAGCTGATTTCATCTTCCTAGAACTGGTCGTTTCCAATAGTAATCCGCTCATTGGTTCTGATTATTTATCATTTGAAAAGCATTATCAATGCATGGTTTTAGCTGTGAAACACAGACAATCTTTATTAGAAGTTTCCACATCAGCAACAACATCTGCTGAAACCGAAGATGTTCAAATGAAATCCGTTTCCGCAGGTGACTCGGTGTTAGTCATTTCTCGAGATGATTTTTATGAAAAGTGGAATGAAACAAGAGACTTTTTTGTCATTTCTCGATCCAATGTAGATCCTAAAGAAGATGTCAGAAAATATGTGATTAAATTTAGAGGAAAGGAATTCAATTTATGGTGGTGGGAATATATGGTTATTCCAATATTTATTGGAATGATTACAGCAGCGACTGCAGGAGTTCCAATGATTAAGGTGAGTACGACAAAGAGTGACAAAACATCATTTTAATTTTTGTAATGATATATCTTTTTTCACACTTGAAATTTATCAACTTCCGACTGTTATCATTTTTTCACACTTGTTTCGATATCATAGTGTGTCATGCTGAGTGTTGTATTAATGGTAGTTTTTCGATTAATTAATCCTACCAAAGCCGTTTCAGTAGTGGACTGGCAACTTTTACTTCTCATTGGTTCGAGTTTTGGCGTTGGTCTCGCCATCAAAAACAGCGGATTTGCAGAAGCCCTTGCAGAACTTGTGGTTTATTTGAATATTCCAAAAGAAATTCTTCCAGCCATCATCTTCTTAGTGACTCAAGTGTGCAGTGCAGTCATTACTAACACAGCAGCAGTGAGTATTAATTTACCACTTGCACTTGCAATTGCACAAGCGAATGGTTTGAATGAACGAATGTTTGGAATTGTGGTGACAGTTGCAGCTTCCTCGGATTTCACATCTCCTATTGGATCGACGACTAATTTGGTGGTGCAAGGACCTGGATCTTACAAATTTTTCGATTTTACCAAAGTAGGGCTTCCTTTGAATATCATTTTCTTATTAATTTCTGGAACTTTGATTCCTGTAATATGGGGAATGTACACTCCAAATTTTTAAACATTGTTGAACTGACAAAGTAAAGCGCTGGGGCAGGTTCAATGTTTCGGACCAACCAGTTTGTCTTGTGTGAAAATTTAATAATTTATTGCTGATTTTGTTGTTGAGCTTGTTGCTGAGCTGCCTTAATTTGATTATCAATAAACTGGGTGTGCTTAATGGTCACCTTACGTGCTTGAGTCTTGTCACCAATGAGACTCTTCAAGAATGACGACTTCTTTTCTAAAGCACTATTAGCAGCAGTGTTGTTAGACTTGTTTTTGTCATTCTTGTCACCCTTTTGTTCCTTGTCCATCTTTTCCTTCGACTTTAAGAGCTGTTGCAATAATTCATTGTTATCTTTGGAGGTGGTTGAAGCAGCATTGGTTAGAGTCAATTTCTGTCCATACTCCACACCGAAAATATGTTTAAACGCTTCCTTCTCGTCATGTAATAATTTGAGTGCTGACTTGTCTTTTTGTTCCAATTCTTGCCAAAGTGCATTCAATCGATCACGCACTTGGACCTTGTCTTCCTTAATGAACTCCAAACGCTTTTCTTTCTCTTGTTTTTCTTCTTGTAAATCTGCAATTTCTTGTTGCAATTTTGCTAAAAGTTCCTTCTTCTCTTGAATTTCGTTTGCCATTTGAGCTGTTCTTACTTGTAAAAGCATTTGTTCCTGTTCCATTTGTTGATGGAATTTGAGATTGTCACTTGCTTGACTTTGCATGACAGCTCTCTCTTTACCGAGTTTGTATAAATCAGCTGGCTGTTCCAACACGAGTCCTCTCTTCACATAATTTTTCACATTACACACCTCAGTGAGACAATTCGTGAGAATTTCTTTCCATTCCTTCTGTTCTCCACTCGTACTTGTGGAAAGAATGTATTCAAATTGAGTTCCTTTACAAATTCCTCGAATAGGAATGTCACACTCGTCCAAATCGTAAAGCACTCTCTTTGGAGGTGGAACAGGAGTCGAAGATGAAGAATTTTGTTTCAATCCACCACTCACACCAATACTTCCATGAAATGCATCCAAATCAACAAAATAGAAAAATATAAAATGAAGATTCTTTCCAAGCACAAGATTCAATTGATGATATTTGGACTTGTTCGAATCACCACTGCTATTGGATCCAGTACTATTCGAGTTTGTCGAACTGTTATTGGAATTATTTGGAGATGCATTGGATCTTCCTCTAAATGTTGCCTTTCTCAACAATTGATTCAATCCCGAGTTGTTTGAACTGTCATCTTCATTCTTTTCTTCAATGAGAACTAACATGTCTGTAAACAAGTAAATGGTAAATCGACCTTCTGTGTAGAGATTTTTAGGAGCAATTTTTTGACCTCCTGTCACTTGTGCAAGCATGGAATATGGTGAATTTTGAGAAGCGTTGTCAAGACTTTTCGAAGGTGGAACTTTTGGAAGAGAACGAGAAGGAGGAACACTTGGAAGAGCTCTTTGAGGAGGAGTGGTACTTGTGGTGGTCTTGTTGCCACTCTCGAAAGGACCTACTGTGCCTGGAGAGAGAGAAACTGAATTTCGTTGTTGCCATTTCACTTGTCTATTGTTGTTGTTGTTGGTTAAAAAATTGTTTTCAACAACAGGTGTGTGTGGTGGAGTGTAACCATGTTGTTGTTGTTGTTGTTCATCGTGAGTGGTTACACGATGTTCATTTGATGAAGAGTGTGAAAATTTCACACAACAACGGATTGTAAGTTACATACCTATAACGAACGTTAAGAGAACCTTTTCTAAGGAACTTTCTATTGGGTTGAACAAATCCAGGATAAATGGAATCAATCATTCCATAAACTTCGTACATGTATCTCACATTATCAAAGTTTCTCTTTTGTTCATTGATGTAAGAGGCAATCTTTTCAATTTCTTTCACAGCATTCTGAAGTGATAAATACTCTACGTGATCCTCTGGAGTGTTACAAAGTATTTCACTGAGTAACATTTTGTAACGAGGAATTCTTTGAATGGGCAAAATTAGAAAACTGCAAAAGTCTGACTTGATGCCTTTTTGCATTTGATAACACTGAATGTTCAATATTAATGGATCATGTGACATATATTATTAATGGATCATGTGACAGAAAAAGTTTGTCTAATCGTGCGAATTGTTTTTTGAAATCCATAACATACCTCTGACAAAAACTCTTTAAACTTCTTCTTCTTCTTTAAATTCTCAAATAACTCTGTTGCTCGATCATGGTTATTAATATAAGTCGTATAAGTCTTCAAAAATGGAACCAAATGTTCGAATGGTTTTCCAATATTCTCATAAATTCGATAGGATTTCAAAGTATTTGTGTTTTTCACAGCAAATGGATCGTCCTTTCTCTTAATCACAAATCCACGAGGTGACGTGATGGATGGAGGAGGAGTTTCCACACTGTTCGCTGGTGGTTGTGTTGGAGATGTGACAGTAATATTCGATTCAGCCTCTGGAGCTGAGGATGGTGATGCAAGTGGTTGTGTTGGATCAAGCACTTCTTTCATTTTAACTTCTGGATTGGCATTTTCCAAATCTGTCAATAACGTTTGATTGATGGTGTGAATTTGATTAATATTACTAAACAATACTTGAATGTCAGATTGTGTCTTTAAAACATCTTTTCCATGATCTCTGTTTTCTACAAGTGGTTGATAATACAAGTTAAGAAATGATTTCATATTCTGTACATAGGTTCTCTCAGTGTCAACCGTCTCTTTGATCAACTCTTGTCTCTTTCTTGCCTTCTTGAGAGATGGGTCTCTTTTCACATAATTAATAAATCGATATCTGTTCAATAATTGTGGAAGAGATTTTGCTAACCATTCCACACATTGTTCTTTTGACTTGGTTGTTTGTAAATTTAATTTTGGAAGACAAGTTCTTGGAGTCGATGATTCACTTCCTGGAGTGGAAGACGACACATTCTCACCAACACTATCCAAATCACAATTTGATCTCTTTCTCTCAGAGACTGATCCGAATTTACCAGTTTCCAAATAAGTAAATTCTTGCATATCCAAACTACCTTGTGAATCAAGAGTACACTCATCATCATCGAGTACACTAATCATCTCTTCTTCGTCATCTTCAGTTAAATCTTGCATCGTTTCCAAATTGGCACTCAAATGTCCTGACATTTCTTGATGATTCAAATTGGATGATGATCCAAGAGTTTGCGTTTGAATATTCATTGACAAGAGAAGACCTCCTCCTCCACTACTACTGGAAGAACTTGTTGTTGTATTTGTACTTGATGATGAAGTTTGATCATCATCTTCTTCCATCATGATAAATCTTCGATATCCATTATTGAGAATATTCGAAGGAGTGGATTGTGGTTTGGATCGAGGAGGAGGAACGGGTGGAATGGAGATTGGACTTCTCGAGGGAGTGTTCATGATGTTTGTTGTTGTGTTATTGTTTAAAGTAGTAGTTGTGGATGATGTGACAGGAGTGTTGAGATGAGAAGGAGTTGGAGAAGAAGATGGGTTGGAACTTGTTGTTGGTGAAGTATTGTTATTATTGTTATTATTGGTTTGGGTGGATACGAGTGGTTTGATGGGCGGAAGTGGCATTTTTTTTTTAATAAATGACAAGTGACTTGTGTTGGTCTTTTGGTTCGTTGATTGGAATTTGGAGGACTTTGTTTGTTACACATCATTGTGTTTGTTTAGAATTTTGAATCTAAACCATGAGTTGTTTTGCCGATACATTGAGTTTTGTTCAAGAACGATCGATATCGAGAAGTCAGTTGTCATTCTGGGCAAAAAACAAGTTCGTGACGTTGCTCTATTACAAATTTCTTTTGTTATCTAATTTGGTGTTTGAAGTTTTTTACATTGCGTTTGTTGTTTTTTAAATTGTAAAGTGGAATTAGCAGTTCTGTTATTACTTGAATGAATTGTGTTTGTGTGTGAATTGTTATTGAGCTTCACACAAACACAAATCATTCAAATAATAATTTCTGGTCTTCCACCTCACATGAGGAACGAAATGGATGGACATGGACTCATGGCAATTTTGGATGAGTGTCATGATCATCTGGATCATTCCCGTTATGGAAATTATTTTTGGAATTCTTAAGAGAAATCGAATCTTCGAATTCCCTTTGAGGTTCAGCTTGTTCGTTGTCTTGCTGTAGCTCCATGGATGCTTCAGAAAGGTCACGAATCATATTGTAATTGTTTGTAGTACTGTTAATAATATCACTACCAGTATTGTAATTATTATTGTTACTATTATAATTGATAGTGTAATTATTAGATGATTGATATTGGTTAGAGTTTTCAAAGTTCAACAAACCATCATTCCAATGGCTGTTATATGGTTTCAAAACTGATTGGTTCTCATTCATCAATGAATCAGCAACATTTGGTTCTTCGTCTTGAGAGGGAAAAGAATTCAAATCGTTGAGATTATCGATCGTCAGAGAAGAATGTTTTTTCTTTTTTGATTTCTTGTATTGAGGCGACTTTTCGAGTGAAGAAGATATTTCAACATGTTCCTGTGAAATATACTTTCTTTTCAAATGGTCACGACTGGAAATGTCACTGGTCATCGTTGGTTGTTGTTGATGACTTGTTTGAATTTGTTGTAAGAATTGTGAGATTAATAGAAATAGTTGAGAATTAAGGTTAGAATTATTTTGAGTATTAACATTATTTTGAGAATTCAATGTCATGGACATGGTATTGACATTGGCTGGAAAAGCACACGTATGATCAACAAATTGAGGTGTTGTTGTCAATGAAATGCATTCGTCAATGATCTGTCCAAAATCATCTTCAGAATTCATCTCTGTAAATGTTTCAAATTTTTCTTCATTTGAGTTCAAGAAAGAATTTTCATGTTCATCCTTAATGTGGTTGAAATGATCATTCTCTTGACTCGATATTGTGACTTGTCCATAATTATAACAACAATCATCATCGACATGTTCATTCGCAGGAACATGACGATCGATTGGAACAAGTCGTATTGGGCTTAATGAGTGGTTATCATGTGGAAGAGAGGTCGACTCGTTTTGTTTCGGTGGTGCTGGAGGTGTTTGTAGTTGTGGTTGTTGTTTTGAATTGAAACTATTTGGATTTTCATTCATTCGTAACAAGTTGACATTTGTCTCCTTTTGATCATCTGAAACATGAGGTACATGAACATGATGGAGAGTATCATCAGATGAATGAGATGACTCGTCAATATGAACATGATCATCCAAATTACCAATTGAAGTAGAAGCAACTCCCATTGGTGTTTCAATCAGCGAAGAAGATGCGTCGGTTTGATCGTTTGCATGTTCTATGGTTGTTGGTGTTTCTTCTTCTGCTTCTGCCCATGCTTCTGTGGAATGATTCGGTTGAGTCAAGAATTCTTGAGAATAATCATCACACACAAGAGTGATGGGAGGAGGGTTGTGTTTCTGGTTCATACGTACGAGGTAGAGTTATTGTTCACAAGCTTGAGCTGATTTTCAACGAATACGTGTTTGAAGTATTTTTTTTAAGACTTTGCGGATTGAATTTGATTTGAAATGGAAGGTGACAAACGTGACAGGCTGTCGGTTTTGGAGAAAACACGGGATTGGTGGAAGTGGTCTTGGTTTTCATTGTAAACTCAGAGACTGTTTGTGGTGTTTCGAATATGCATTCCTTGAAATGAAAAGGCTTTAAATGTTTTTATTGACATTTGAAAAATGATTAAAAGTCTATTCTTTAAAGTGTTCTGCATCATATTGACAAAGTCTAAAATGAGAAAATGTAAATGAATCAATCGATTTAAAAGAAAACAAATACAACACTTACAGTGAGACTATTTCTACACATCGGTTTCCACTAATAATTATAAGAGAAATGAAAATTCAACACATCACACAAATAAAAAAACAAAGCATTGACTTTTGGTCACAAATTCACAAATGATTATTTTGACCAACTTACCAAACTTCCAATTCTTCTGCATAACCTCCAAAGCTTATTGGTCTCTTCTTATTGACAACAATGACATGAACTTCTCTTCCTTGAAGGGAGGAAGCCACTGTGAAATCCAAATCGATTCTTCTCCATCCAATATCTTGTAAATTATGTAACATTTTCTTTGGGTATTCCACAAGATACAAATTATCACGATATAAATCTCTCGTTTCATCGTTCACTTCTCCGTCGTATCGGTCATGTTCTGTTCCTCTCCATGACAATGTTTGTAATGTCTCAATATATGTTTGAGAGGATGAGTCCTCAGTAGAAGCCGTTGACGTAGTAGTGGAAGTAGTAGAAGCAATTGCAACAGACGAGGTTGTGAAAAACTCTTTCAACAAATCCAAGTGTGAAGTTGAGGCAAGCAATGTTGGACATATTCCACCAATTTTTAAAGATGGAACGCCATAACTTGAAAGAGCATATGGGTTGAAGGATCGAATGGCAGCTGAAGGATATGGAACTGTTCCATCGAGGTGACACGCAGCAATGAGAGTTCTATTTGGAAATTTCAATAAAGCATTAACAAAGTCGGATCCTGGAACGCTCATTCTGAACAGTAAAGAGCTTTCAATGTCATCGGCATCTTCTAATTTCAATTCCTTTCCGGTTTTTCCCAACAAGCTCATAAAAGTATGAGCAGCGAATCGATAAGCAGCTCTAAAGAAGCCATTTCCAGGTTTTCTCACACCAAGGTGTGGTGTAGAAATTGTCACAAATGACTAATTCAGGTTGTTTGAAAACAGATCATTTCACCAAAGTACAGAAGTTCATACATATGTAAATCCAATTTGAATGCAAAATGCATACCAATACTTGAATTCATCCCAATGAGAATATCGCAACACTTACACACGGTAACAAAAAAGGCAAAACATGTTCTTTAAAATGTTGATAATGCAATTTCACACTTTCGCCATTTTCTTCTGCTGTAAAAATTGAGGAATCCTCTTCTGAATTTTCATTAAATGCTAACATCAATTTCACCAAATATCGAGCAATAAGACCTCCCAACGAATGACCAACAACCGTTAATTTCATTTTCTTATTTACACTCAAATTTACATTACGTTCATACAATACTTGCAAAACCTCGCACATGACATTTCTTCCAAGTGCTTCAATACCATCATGAGTTTTTCCTTCATTACACGAGCAGTCAATCTGTATTGGGTAGGAATTTCATTTTCCAAAAATTCCATCATTCCATCAACGATCCGAATTCAAATATTAAAATTTGAAAAACGGAAAAATTCAAAACGTCCAGTACGATCACGAGATCACAACAACTACTTACAATTATTGCATCCTTATTTTCATACATGGATTTTAATCGTTGAGAAATGTAATGAAAATCTTCGGCACTTCCATGCAAGCCATGGATCAATACAAACAAGTCGGAAGTGGTTGTTGTCGTTGCCGAAATATTCAATTGTTCCGGATGATGAGTTTCTGCAACATGATATTGCATGGTCGATTCTTGGTCGTTATTATTCTCTTCGGAAATTATATTATTTTCATCATTCCCGTTTCCAGTGGTCGTCTGATTTAACAACAAGGACTTGAGTCTTGTTTCAAGATCATCGTCTGTATACATTTTTTTTGTAAACTGTTGGTTTAATAAATTTCAAATTTAGAAACAATGGAGATTGTGCTAGAAGCGGAGACACGTGTTCTGTAAATGTGATCGGATGATGTCAATTACAATGGTTATGTTTTTGAAAGTCACACCATTCAATTCATTGTTGGCTGACTTTCTTCCAATCGATTTTTAACAATCTTATTGAACTCACTAAAATGATTGGCAAAATTACTCATTTTCAAATAGGTCATAAACAACCATCCCAAAAGACCTCCAAATGTCTCTTCATGTCTCAACGTACAACATGGTCTCTCTGAATTTTCACAAACATTTTCATCAGAATTCTCATCTTTGGTATGAAGAGATTTCACAGTAAAAGAATGTTCTCCACTAAATAACAAAATCCATCCAAAGCACACTCTCATTTCTCCCTTCCATCCAAAACTATATTCTTGAGAGGAATGATCCGTGTTCCAATGCCATAATTTTGCATTCATGACATCTCCTAAAATGTTTACTGGAAATTTCATAGTTTTCAAAAATTGAGATGAAAAATCGCGAGTGGAATGGTACAGAGTGGTTAACTCACCACAAGACAAGGGGGCATCTCCCCATCCATGGACCATTCCGATCGGATAGTTCTTCTTTTCAATGAGATGTTCGAATACTTGTTGAGCGGAGCGTTGAATCGAGATGGTACTTTCGACGTGTCCTTTCCAAAATGAAATGGAGGGAATATTTAGAAATGTATTATTCGTCATGTCTTGGTGTGAGTGATGGTAGGGCAGTTGGTTGTGATAATATTATTATTATTATTATTTTGTTATTTTTTAATTGTTGCTTGAAAACTTGTTGTAGTTGACACTTTTTTAACATGGTTAAATGTCCGCTTGATTTGCGTTTGAAATTTTTTCGATCAGAATTGTGCGATCAACAGCAAAATGATGCGACGCCATTAAGGCTTGAAACCTTTTTCACTACAATACTATAACTTTCCAAATTCCATTTATTCACAACAAGAGAAATATTGTTGGCCTAATATATTCATTCACTACTGACTTTCCCACGTTGTTCCATGAGAAGAGTTTTCAAATAAAATTCTCCAGCTCTGTATGAAGAACGAACCATGGGTCCACTCGCCACATATTTGAAATTGAATATTTTCTCACCAATTTCTTTGAGAGCTTCAAAACGTTTGGGAGAAATGTATTCGCTCACTTTCATGTGTTTCTTGGTTGGTCTTAAATATTGACCAATGGTGAGACAATCAACGCCCACTTGTCTCAATTCCCACATGGTTTCAAATATTTGTTCGTCTGTCTCTCCTAATCCAACCATGAGGGAGCTCTTGGTAATAATGTTGGGATTGGTTTCTTTTGCTAATTGCAAGACTCTGAGAGATTGACGAAAATGAGCTCGATAATCACGAACTTCAGGTGTCAGAGCTTCCACAGTTTCAACATTGTGAGCATAAACATCCATGCCAGAGAGACTCATCTTTTTCACACATTCTTCAGCACCAGCAAAATCTCCAGTTAAACATTCGACTAGTATACTTGGTTGTTTTTCCTTAATCCTTTTCACAGTTTCATAAAAATGATTGGCACCTCCATCCGCTAAATCATCTCGATCCACTGAGGTCAATACAACATAATCCAAACCCCATTTCACAATAGCCTCAGCAGTATTTTCTGGCTCGCTTGAATCAAGTGCAGGAGGAGCTCTACTTGTCTTCACTGCACAAAATCTGCATCCTCTCGTGCACGTGTCGCCCATTAACATGATGGTGGCTGTGGCTAATTGGTTGTGAGAGGCATTGTGGGAGGTCTTTTCCAAGACATTTACTGCTGCCGAATGCTCTTCTGTGTTTGAAATTGTCACATCGTCTTGCATGAGTTGCTTTTTTGCAACACCACCCCAACACTCTCCAATGTTTGGACATTTCGCTGGAATCATTGAAATCATGATGCGTATCGCATGTAACATCCAGGTCAATAATAGTCGCGGTTTAGGGTTCAGGTAATGAAACATTCCTTATTAATTTGATATGTCAATACTCACCTTCCACACAAACAGTATTCAATTTGAGTCCACTCAGAGTCTTTTTTAAGCGGTTGTAATTTGCATTGGCTTCTTCCGTGGTTGGAACAATGTTAGACATGAGCCATCTTGGTTTCACTTTAATAAGCTCCGCCTGTTTGATTTTTCCGTCATAGTAAATTCGATTCTCATCAGATGTATTTGCTGGATAATGTTTAAGCAATAAGGCCTCGTCACTCATGGACGTTCTCGGAAAGTATTCTCTCATTTCATCAAAGGTTTCCATTGTAAATTGAGAATTTAACATTTGCATGGCACGAGTGATGAGTTCATCTCGTTCTTGCAAAGCACTTTCCGAATGTGTTGGTTGATAATTTCTTCGATTTTTAATCATATTTCGTCTCTTTGATCGGTGGTCCATGGTTGTGTGTTGTTCTTGAGTTAGTTCGGAACTTTGGTCCTCGATTGATTGTTGTTGATTATTGAGGATGGCAGCACCACAGGAAGATAAAGTTTTGGAGCGTTGGATATGATAGGAGTGATGATGGTAATTATTTGTAAATATGTAGGATGATGAAGATGACAATGAATTCCTCAAGCACCACGATCTTGAGGCCATTCGTGGCAGATGTCTTGATGATGAAAGCATCGTGCTCGGACGTGAATTGTCTTGTTCTTTCAAAAAGTTGTTACGAGTGAGAATTGAGATTTCAAAAAGTAGAAGTGGTCCGTGACTAGAGGAAAATTGCGAAGTCTTTGTGGTGGTTCTTGTTGTGTTTTTTCCGTTGTTTATAAATTATTACCCTTATCGTCTGGTGTTTGTGCCTTCAATGAATTGAACCATCATCCTCGTCCTCACCAACGAATTAAATTATCCACCCAGCTGTTGATTGGCTTTGTAATTGATTCATTGATAGATCTATTCTCAATCAAAATACTAAGAAAAGAAGAACCGAACCGGATGAAGCAAAGGTTGTTACTTTTGAATAATGTTGTTATGGATTTAGGCTATGCTACAAGCCTTCTTCGTCATTCAACAACTTGTTGGACTCTTCTTTCAAATCACCATCATCATCACCCAATTGCAAGACATTATTCAAATTCGAAACTAAATCATACTAATACATCAAACCATACATTGTATCATCCCATATCGGAAGGCTTTTTTGAATGGAGCAAACGATTGGACAATATCTCATCATTGGCCGCAACATGTAAAGAACAGACTCTTCATCATGAAGAAAAAACAAGAATACCTTCTTCTTCCGATTCTCTACAATTAATACTCCTCGCCAACGCCTCCTATTCTCAAAGTTTGGCACTTCAAACCTACTTATTTGATTTCATAAAAAGCCAAAAATCCAACTCCCGTCGTTCTCAATATTTAATAGCTACGGAACATGTTGAATCTTGTTTCACGATTGGAAAACTTCGTTTTGATGAAACCTTCTCACAACGACATTTTATTAAGAATGATCGAGAGTTGAAGATTTACAAAATTGGACGAGGAGGTGGAATTACGTTTCATGGACCAGGTCAATTGGTCTTGTATCCAATTTTTGATTTGGAAACGAGTCGTGTCTTGATGAGAAATATCAAGTGGTTTTCTGATGAATTCATGTTGAAAACATTGACTGTTCCAGTATTACAGGAATTTGTAAATTCTATGGTTGCCACAAAGGAATCATTCTCTAACAAGTGTGACCTTGAGAAGGGAGATGGCTCACGAATGCACTTGACCAATCACTCGCCCATTTCTCTTCATGTTGGAGGAGAATCAGAAATGGGAATTTATTCTGAAATTCATTCATTTAAGGAAAATGTCAAGATGAAGGAATTCACACAACAGCTCAGTAGTTGTTGTGACCAACCACACGAGCAAATCAAGTCGAAACGAAAATTGGCCTCCATTGGACTACAACTTTCGAGATGGTGTACCATGCATGGAATTGCCATTAATTTAGATTTGAACGAACGTGATTTGAAAACTTTTCGAGAGGATATTGTGGCTTGTGGATTGCAACATGTGACCATGACAAGTCTAGCTCAAGAAATTGAGAGAGTCAAACACGAACAGCATCATGACGTTGTTGCAAAAGACATTCACGAAGGTAACAGTCACGCGTTCTCATTTACAACAGGACATTATGGAGAGTTATTGAGTCTGTTGCTAAAACATTTACAACGGTGTCAATTTCAAATTGATGATATTTTGCTGGTGGATGGATTACAAACCTCCAAATCGCGCTGGCTTTTGAAACCAGAATGTACTGACGACTCGGCAAAAGACAAGTTGCTACAGTTTATTAAGGCCAATTTGTCAACTGATGAGGCTTAGCAAAGATAACAGTTTTTAATGACATACTACTTGACCCAAAAAGAAACATTTCACGACATGTCCTGATGATCACAAAATATTGAAAGCTTGAGGCTCATTTATGCATTTGTTAGTTCTTTTATACATTGCAATATAATATTTCTCAAATGCAAAATTAGTTTTGAAGTGGTTCATAAGTACCGTCCTTTGACAAATTTTTAGAAGTATTTACGGTGAACTCATTGCTCAAAGGAACGCTAACAAGCTTTTTACCTTCCTCAAAGTGTTGAATTTTACCCCACATGTCAACCTTCAAGCGCAAACTCTTTTTGAAAAGTGTAATTTTGGCATTACGCAAAATGATTGAGTTTCCAACCTTGACATCTTTCAATTGATCCTTATGAACAGACAAGACGACACAGCCAGTCTCATCTCCTACGGTAACTTCACAGACTGCAGTGTCCTTGGTCTCAGCAACAACCTCAATGGATACAACCTTACAGACAATGTTAAAACCTCCTTGGCCTGGATAAAAACCTGCTGCGCCTGGCTCAACATCCTTTATCTTGATGACTATTTTGATGAAATATGGCAAAGATGGAACATTTGAAGGAGCGGATTGATATTTCAAGCCACAATTCAATGAAAATAATAATTGGTGATGCCATTCGTTGATGACGACAGAATATGATCGTGGCCATAATATTTAACGTGATATTGATTTAGAGATGAGGATGATTTGACATAGGAGGATCATTAGGAGAATAAAGAAGAAAATTTCATATCATTCACATAGAGGCATCAGGCAAATAATCATCAGCAGAATAATAAAGAAAATTTCAAGAGAGTATTGTGGTGGGTGAAATTGAAAGTAAGAAATATTATCGGTGAATATAAGTATTAATTCAAGTTATCGTGATTAATACAAAATGAAGAAAAAGCTTACATTTTGGAATTCTGGGTTTTGGCTTATCAGTGGTTTGGGGAGATGTGGATGATTCAGCAGCTTGCTTTGGTTCCTTAGGTTGTTGTTGTTGTTGTTCCTGTGGAGTGGTGGATGAATCTTGTTGTTTTGGTTTTCTGAATTTTCTTCTTGGTTTCTTTTGAGATGTTGCTGATGGTTCCTTTGGTTGTTGTTCAGCACTTGAGCCATTACTACTAGTAGCAGGAGCAGAGCCTTCTTGCTTTGGTTTTCTAGGCTTTGTTTGTTGTTGTTGTTGGGTGGAATCCGAGTAAGTAGTTGCTGCTGGTTGAGTTGATTGTTGTTGTTGTTCGTTCTTTGGAGAAGGCTTACCACCAGATGAAGATGATCTTCCACCTCTACTTCCTCCACGACTTCCTCCGCGTCCTCTTCTTCTAACACCAGCATTGTTGGTAGTAGATTTTGCTCCTGCTTCAGGATTGCTTGGTGTTGTTGTAGGATTTGTTGCTGTTTCGGTGCTGCTCATTTTCGTGTTGGTGATGAAAGTTGTATTGCGATGATGTATTTTTTTCGAAAATGAAAAGTGTTGCGAATTCCAAGATTGATCGATCATCAAGCCTGTGCTGTTATTTATTGATCAGTCATCTTGGCACTTAGTACGAAAAGTATTTGGAAAATATTTCGGCGCTTGCTTCTTGTTGAATCAGGTGTGTTGGATTGCTGAATAGCTTTTTCACCAACTTGGTCAAACGTCTTGGATGGTCGATAGGAACTTCAAAGATGAAACAATACTGCTCCAATTCCAATTGTTCCTCTCTTGGAGCAACACTCCGCTCGAAATGATTTCTCAGACTTCTTTCCAGGAATGCTTTTTGATGGAGAAGAGTGCCAGTGTCTGTTTCAACTTGACTCTTTTGGTACGACTGAATTTCGCTTTCAATAAGGTGAATACATTTGTCCAAGTTAGTCGCCGCTTTCTCTTCCTTAGAAATGAGTTGCAACACTTGAGCTCTCTTTGTATAGATCTCGCCATTTTCATGGAAGAGCTGACACAATTTCAATTTCAAATCGTGAATGGTTTGTTCATGACTGCGGTTAGTGGTTGGCAAGGATTCTTCTTCATTAGTTGGTTTAAAAATTGTGGTGCTGGACAACTCCTCATTAGTTGGGGATGAAATAATATTACTTTTTTGTGAATTTCTCAAGCTCTTGTTGACAGCTCTCCACCAATGTTGGATAGTGATTGCAGAAGAACGCCATTGCCTCACTTGTTTTCTCACCTTATAGCCTTTCACCAGCGAAGTAATGAGAATAAAGATGGCGTACATCACATCATCAATCTTGTACAGATCCATGATTTTCTTCAATGGTTTACATTTGATGGGAAGAATGTGAAGCAAATTAAAATAACGCCTGGATTGTGCTGCTCTCTTTTCTTTAGCTACCTTGTTGATGGCAATGAGTTGAAACTCTTCAAATGGTTTAAAATGCTTGGGGTCCTTGTTGTGTACATACTTGACAATATCTGAATTGGAGTGAACACCCAAAAAATGCTTTGTTCCGTTAAAGTTTGTAATGGGCCTAACATAGATTTGGCTTTTTGGTTTTACGAATGGAAGTAAGGTAGATTTTTGTAGTTCAGCAATTCCATGGTCATTTTCAATTCTTTTCACGTGCCATTCGTCATTCAAAATGCTGGAACGGTTAATAATATTTCTAGGACAATCATGCACCATTTTCATGTTTGATAGCGAAAGATGGTGATTGTGAATAGCTTCTCGTTCTTTTTTACATATTTCGCACATACATTCAAAATCATGGAATACAGTATTATCAACAATGGTAATAGTTGTCAAGGTCGTGTCCTTGTCGTGATTCAACGAGGTGTTTGTTGTGGTATTGCAGTCTTTCTTTGACAAGGTGTATTCCAGTTGGTTCTCCTCACCACTCTTGTCCAAGCTCATGTCTTGTGTTTCAGTATTTCCCATACTCATCGATTCGTCTTCATCACAATCATGCTCTTCCTCTCCTTGCGTGGTCGTTATTTCATCCACTTGATTTGCATCTAAAGATCTCTTCATAAGGGGGTGGCAAAATTTTAAAAACTTTTCCAAATGCTTTGGAGGCGTAGCATGGATGTCATGCATCTTGATCTGCATAGGTGAAGTCGGATCCTTCATTCGTTTTCCTGTCTTTAAGGCTACTGGTGATAACGAGGCAGATATTAGGTGATTAGGTAGTGCTTTTGATCCTTTCTGTTTGTAGTCTGAATGACCTGTAGTGCTAGGTCGGTTCTTGCTCGTCTTCTTGGATGGTGTATCCTCTTTTAATGCCTGCTCACTGTCTGCCTTCTTTCGGATCGTTATGGGAGAGGTTTTAACGGCGAGTTTTGAAGATGATTTCTTGAGCGATGAAGAGCGAGGGGTGTTGTTGGTAATTTGGGTTGTAGCAATCAGGTGCGGTGTCTTGGGAGTTTTGCTTCCAACTGGACTCGATGAATGGTCTTGTGTGGATATTGATTTAATTGTATCAAGGTGATGATGTTGAGGGAATGAATTGTTGGTTGGAGTTGATGATTGGGCTGAAAGAATGTGCTGTGGGTCTTTCAATAGCAATGAAGATGATGGCGATGAGTAGAGCTTGTATCGGTCCAATCTACCTCTGGGAGAGTTCGTAAGGTACGTGGAATTGTTCTCACTACTACCATCACCTAAGGTACTGGGGTTGGTTGATAATGTGCTTACGGGAACATGTCCTGTGCCTGTTTCCGTTGGGCAATGGTGGTGTTCGGATACATCATCTGTTGCGTGTGCTTTACTTTCATTCTCTGTAAGCTGGTAATGAGTGAGCGAAGCGGCAGGTAGAGGACACATTTTTTTGTTTCTAAAAACATTAATTCCTTAATTTGAAACATCCGTGTTCTCTTACAGAGCGATATATCATTGTTGTGAAATCTACAATTTGTCATTTCATGAGCCACAAATTCCCATTATTTCATGAGCTGCAGTTAACACATTCCAAGCTTTTCACAATGTGTTGGACGAAGCTTTTTCAAATAATTTAATTCTCACTTTACTTTCTTTTCATTCCTCAAAAGCATCTTTTCATGAATCGCTTTCTGTAATTCAATCATGTCCAATGGTTTCTTTCCCATGAAGAAGCAGAAAAATCCCAAACTTCCAAAAACGTGCCACATTCCATGCCACAGTCTCAAATAATCATTGAAATTGTCAAGGCCCTTAATGAAACATGCTAGACCTAAAAGCAAAGAGATCACACCTGCACATATCCAACCGAATCGGTACGAAGGTCTTAAATGTGATTCCAAGAGAAAGAGACATCTTGCAATGACAATCACGGAAGGCACAATAATAGGCAAGAAGGTGTAATATTCTTCCCATGGTGCCTTTTCTTGACAAACCAAAGTGAAAAATAGAGAGCCCCACAACATCCACTCATAGAATTTGCTTTGTTGCAACAGAATGCGTCGTGTTTCGGCTCTCACTTTACGAGATTGATAAGGTGGTAACGTTTTGTATGTGTGTTGCAGGGCCATCTCTGGATCACCATCCATGTCGTTATCACTTTCCACAGGTGGCATCAAATTAAAGCTGCTACTGTTGCTGCTACTACCGCCGTTCATGGGTAGTGAGCCACCAAATTCACCTCCATCACCATGAGAGAGATTGTCTAGACTCGCATCGCTTGAGGGGTCATAGCACGAGGTGAATAACTTTTCAAAAGCATTCATCTTTGAATGACCATACTCGGTCCATGCAAAATGGTTGGGAGGACAAGTCGTGCACAAGAAGAAGAATAATTGTTGCAGACTGAGAATGATGAAAATATTATCAAGGCGGTGCCATCGTCCATAATTCATTCCAAAAATTTCCACAAATAATGTCTCTCCTGTATGATAAAAAGTGCTAGTAACAAAAGTTCCAAATCCAATAACTGCCATGAATGGAAGATTAATTTTAAGAGCTACTATAATTAATGGAAAAACAAAAGCATTGGTACAGACAACTACTAACACTTCCAACCATTTTTCTGTCGAGTATCTCTGGTAAAAGTCAAAAAAATTTTCAACTAGACCTTCAGGAGGTGGTTTGGGTGTAGCGGCATCAGCCTTTTTTCCTTCAGTAGGTTTGTTTTGGGGTGAGTTATTAATTGTCGTTGGATTTTGTTGGTCGTTGTTTTCTTGTTGCTCTCCAAGATCAAGATCCAGTTTTGGAAGAGGTATTGGAGCTTGTTTATGCTCCTCTTCGTCGTCATCATTTTCGTCGAGATCTGTGGTAACCCTTCGTTTTCGTTGCGGTTCTTGAGGCATGAGTGGCATGACTGGTATTTGAGCTTGTACAAAAATGAATGAACTGGAAAAGATTTGTTTGAATAATGCTACCTTTTCGTTGTGGACATTCCCAGCATCGTGCTGATGGATTGGGTAGGTCCAGCAGTACGTTAATGCAATAAATAAAATTCCGAACAATAAAAACACTGGTAAAAACAGTCTTGATGAATCATGTTTCAATGATGTTGCAGGCCGTCGTCGTTCCGATAAAGATACTCGACTTTGTGTTGTTGTAGCAGTGATTGTAGTCCTATTGGGTTCGAACCAAACTGGTGAGCGAGGAGAATTTGGTTGTAAAGTCATTTTTTTTGATTTTGGATGACGAAAGCCTGTTGTCCACGAGAAATCTTCATCCATCGTTTACTGCCTCGATTGATGCCTACTTTTACTATTCAATTCACGGTAAATATCTTGGTCGGTCTTAAAGAGTGCGAGTAGAGAAATTTCCGGTACATAATCTTTGCAGATCAGAGTGTTTCGTAGTGACACACTGTGTTCAATGCATAGTCTTTGAAAAGTGCTGAGACCAACCAAACACGCATATCTTCTATGATTTCACATAGTGTGTACGAATTAATCATCACGTGTCAAGACAAAGTTTTTCAAAAATTCAAATACCTACTTGAAATCTAAAGTCAATAGAAATAGCATGTTAAATAATTTAGAGTTTCGTTGCTTGAGGGTGTTTCCAAGCCATGATTTGAGAATTGAAAAGTGTTTTGGTGGTTCATGGCTTGCTATGGTGGTATTTAATTCCTTGTCTTGCAAGTTATCGTGAAATAAGAATTGAAACATTCTCAAAATGCACAATGAAAGCCACAAGTGTTGAAACATTTCTGATTTTGAGAGTAACCATTGTTCGTACTTGTCTTGATCGAAATGATGCGAATTCGAGCTTGATGATTCTGTAATTGGTTCAGCTGAGGATTCAGCCATGTTTTCATCCAACAACAGTACAAAACATGCATGATCTGTAAATTTCATCAATTCTTTTTTCATTTCTAAAAATCCAATAATATAATACAAAGATTTTGAAATTTGTTGTGATTGAATTAAATTAATCAAATGTTGATAATCGAATATTAACTTGGTCTTGATGAGAAGCCTAATTGTGCATTTTTCAGCAAATTCAAATTGAATTTTAATCAAACAAGTCCATGTTCAAAAGTTTGAACAACACATACTCAATCCGTTCCTCGTCTGCATCTTCTCCCTTTTTTTGTAATTCAACAAATCTTTTCAAATATTGTTCCTCCTCCAGGTTGGTTCGGGATGAATTCATCAAATCTTATGGCAAAAGCATGAATATTTTTTTTTTTAATTTAATCAAATCAAAGTAACTTCAGTTGTAATTATTATATTACTATTATAATTACGTTCAACATATTCTGTGCTGATTTCAGATATTTTCAAGCTATTGAATTCATCGCAATATTTTCTGAATGAAATTGAAGTTCAAACTCAATTGTTATTTTTAACCAGCAAAAAAATATTACCAAATCCAAAACTTTTGAGAACATCACAATGACTTCCGAGAATGATTCCAATACATCTTCACCTTCCTCTGCATCATCGGCACCATCGGCGACGACCTTTGAGCTTCATCATGCCAACGAAATCTCTTCTCCTCCTCCGAAAAGATCTCTTAAAAAACAATTTTTTGATAATCAAACCAAACAATTCTTTAATGACCAAAGTAGAGCTTTTACAACCCGAATACGGCCAGCCAGTATTGTTGAATCATCTAAAAAGAAAGAAAAGAAGAAGCAGGATGATTACGTATTGGAGGCAAGGCGAGTGAAAGAACAGCCATTGAAGGAAACCACAAAAAACATCATTCAAGCACCGGCAATGAATGAAAGGCCAATGTTGTTGGAATTTGCAAGTGAAGAAGAATTACAATCCATGAAGGAGAACGCTGAAGAAAAATTTCAAATTGATCTTGACAAATTGTTTGAATTGGATTATGAAATGCTTATGAAAAGATTTTCTACCAATTCATCGGATGAAACCAATGGTACTATTGCGGATACAACCCCATTGACAACCACAAATACTGATTCTAATTCTCATGGCACAAAAAAAGACACATCATTTGCTACTATTTTGGAAAATAATCATGTCCAAGATGTAGTGGAATTTATCGATGCTCTTGTATTACCAATATATTCAACAGCTCTTATTGAATTTGGAAAGAAGAATCTATCCATTATTTTACAATGGGAATATATTTTGGACAAATTATTGTTATCGAGCGAAGATGAGGCAGTGTTCGATTTTCCCCCAGCAAAAACATCACTTCGAACTTTGGAGCATAATATTACCGATTATTACAAGATTGAATCAAGAGGAATGGATGCTGAACCAAATCGAAGAGTTCACATCACTAGGAAAAAATCAGAGTCAAGAAGACCTATAATTTTATTGAGTGACGTCTTGAATAACTCTGAACGTTATCAACAATTGCAACAACTTTTGAAAAATCGTGCTGAAAAACTAGAAGCATTGGCAGAGCAAAAAAATAAGGAAAAACTTGAAAAATTGTATGCTTGTTCAGTTGAGGAATCTGTAGACAACCACGGGTTCCAATTGGTCACCCCAAAGAAAAAGTATGCCAAGAAGAAGCAGCAAACAAAAAGTAGTGACCTGTTGCAAAAATCAAGTGAAAGCAAGAAAAATGCAACTGGCAAGCAAAAGGAAGTATCCGCGACGTCCATGCAAGGAAATACGTTCTCTCTCTTGAAAAATACCAAGTAATTTATATAACTCTGAAAATTTATAGATGCCTGTTGTATCAGAGGAGAAAAATTACAATTCACTAAACTCGTTTCGTAGCCGTGAAATTTCACCCATTTTGGAATCAATATCATGAAGGAGGATTTCGTGTGATTTCTGTAATGATGTTTCGGATTTTTCATTTTGCTGATCCAGTATTTTAAGCTCTTCTTTGAGGGATTCCAGTTTTTGCTCATATTTGCTTGACTCTGTGTCAATGCGAGATGGTATGTTGTTTAGCTCTGCAGAAATACTTTTTGAGGTAAATTCTTTTTGGAATTCTTCAACAAGATGAGAAAGAATATTTTGGAGAGCGTGGAATTGTGAATGGTCGGTTGTTCCATGATCAAGTTCCTGCAAGTGTGACGTTGAAGTGGTTCGAGTTGGAAAGATCGATGCATTGCTACATTTCGATTGAATTTCTAACAATTTTGAATTTAACCATTCTGTTTGTTCATTCAACACACGATCCTTCTCCTCAACCAAAGAATGCAGCATTTCTGAAATATTTCTCAAACATGTATTCTGTTCTTTTTGGGCTTTCAACTCTGAGACAAGACTTGCCAATTCCTTACTCATGACTTGTTGCACTTTAGAAAGTAATTCATTTTCAATTTGAAGTTTTTCAGAATAGGTGCAAAGTGTTTGAATGTCATCTTCCTTCAGGTTGATGTTCTGTTGACAAAATGACAACTGTTGTCGATGTTCCAATTTTGATTTTTCTATTTCAAAACGTAATAGTTTGACCTCTTCCTCTAATTGTTTGACTCTTTTTTTCATAAACGTATTTTCCTTCATGCATCCTTCATTATCATGCTTTAATATTGAGAGTTGTCGTTGATACTCTTCCATTTGAGTTTGCATTTTCTGTTTCGTTTTCTCATTCTCCAACATAAATTGACAAATACGTTGATGAATTTGATTTCCGAATGCAGTAAGAGGGAGTGTACAAGGAAGACATGCTTTTTCAATCGGAGTGTTGATGAATTGGTCGCTCAAGAAGAGATTTATAACATCCATCCAAGGTTGCATAGAATGTGTAGCGAGATTTGGCGTGTACACTACAGCTGGGGTTGCTTGCAGAACGTTGCTGAGCCTTCTCTTGATTGGCATTTGACAACTATTGTGATCCTGATGCCCACTACATGAAACTGGTTTTACAACATCGGAATGTCTTCTCGAAAGTGCTTGTTGATCCTTTCTATTATTGTGCGGAAAAAGAAATTGATTCAAAGATGGCTCATCTTTCTTATTTCGAGTCGTCCCAATTTCATTACTATTCTTATTGGTATTCGTGTTGAAGTGTTCTCGAGACTGATTCGAACGAGTAGAACAAGTTGTTAATTGTATTTGATCCATTGATTCCTTCCTTTCCGACATTGTACAGACTTGTTGTGCTTTTTATATTTAATGAGGTGTTGTTCGTTGTTTTTTTTTGACAAATGACAGGTGTTGATGCAACTTATTAAGGCTCACATGTATCTCCTCCTGCTGCGTTATTGATACAAATCATCGTCATCATGATATTGTTGATCTTGTGTTTCTCTCAGAAAACGAGGCCATCTTGGAAACCTTGTTATCCAATCAATGTGTTGTTCCGTCGAATTTGATAAATAATCAAACGCCAATTCAAAAGGTCGTTCAACATAGAGTACTTGGAGCCTCTTTTTCAAGAGTTCATGCAATGCGCGAGATCCCTGTTGTGAGATGGGATTACCTGTAAAGATGAGTGTCGTTAATTTTGTGGTGTCTTGCTTGGTGACATTTGACACTTCTAAGAAGGAATTAACATTTGCAATGGCCTTTGCTCCTAAATCTCCAATCTTGTTATAACTCAAATCTAAACATTCCAAACGACGAAACATTTCACTATTCGCCAATTCCACCGCTCCCTCATCACTAATTTCATTATGATGCAATTGAAGCACAATTAAATTTTTCAAATAAAAACTGTGAATGATTTGAATGAAACCAAAATTCGAAATTCCATTACAAGCCAATCTCAATAATTTCAAATGCGTCACGCATTTACTGTTACAAATGATCGATGCTCCAACATCTCCAAAATCATGAAATGAAACATCTAAATGTGTCAAATGTATATTCAAAGCAAGACATGGATGTGAAATTAAATTTGACACCTTTTCATCATTCATTTTTCGAAAATAATCATGTCGTTGAATGTGACATGTCTGTTCTTCTACATGTTCTGTATGAATCATTCGATCTTTGAAAGATAAATCCAAACTTGTCATTGGAATTTCCAAACACACCATGTACCATTGTTTGGAAACTTTCATTCCAACACAAAGAATGAATTTGGAATCTAAATAATTCAAAATTAGAGTGAGAGTGTCGTTGCAAAACACAGGTTGGTATGATGGTTGGATTAGTTGTCGTATTGATGACATGATCATGAATGTTTGTGTTTTGATATATCACAAATTTTTCTTTAATTTTCAATTTGATTTAAACGAGTTTCTTGGAGGATCCTCATGATGATCGTGTTAGAGCTGATCGGAATGTCAATGATATTTTTGTTTTTAATAATTTTTAAAAAACTGAACTCTGAGAAATCAAATTTTTTGTAGAGTGAGAATTGTAAAGTTTTACCCAATGAAAGGTAAACAGACGTTGTGACCAAACAATAAGCCAAGTCCTTCATACCTCATACATATATTCCCCAAAATACAATTCGAACAAGAAATTTTGACTTGGAAATATTTGAAAAGTTTTTTCGAAAATGTCACTTGTTATTTTTTTTTCTTTCTGCTCCCAGACAATGTCGAAGTGAATTTTCTTTTGACGCCTTGTCGAAACTTTTCGACTTTATCATAACGAACATTTTTCCATCGATTTCGTAATTCTTGCTGAATGTTGTTTGCATTGGCGGATGAAGAGGGTTGTTCTAATACAATAGAATTATCATTGGAAGGTATTGTCTGAGAGGACGTGGTGGATGAACATGACGCTTGAGGAATTGTGGAGGGTCTGTCACTTGTCACTCGTGATGTCGTACCTGGTCGAACATTTCTTTGCCGTAGGGTAGGAAGAATGCGACCATTTTGAATGGAATGGCCATTTCTTTCATTTCTGTTCGCTGTGGAATTCTCATTTTGATTCCTGATTCTTAATTGAGGCCTTTGATTGAGCAAAGAAGAATTTTCATTCCTTAATCGATTTAAAGATGGTCTGTTGGTGTGATCTCTTGTTGAACGATCTTGACTCGAAGTATTTTCATTGGATCTATTTTCATAATTATTATTTGTATTGGAATGGATTGGACTTTGAAAAGAAGAGGAATTCTGAGATGTGGAGGAATGATTATTGGATGGAATATTGATACGAGTTGAAGTGGTACGCTGTACAGATGTGAATAAATCATTCCAAATTCGATAGAGTAAGGTGCAAAATGAATTACATATATTTGGTAATTGTTTGAAAATTCCAAATAATATAATGAATAAAATTCCAAAACTATTAAATTGATACAATCTGACTCGATGTTGTAAATGATATACCATCCAATAGACCACACATCCAGAGAGGGCTCCAGTTGCATGTCCCAGAAAATCACCAATAAACATATTCAATATTAAATGTGCAACATCCATCAACGTAAAGAATTCAAAAACATTAAATACTAAATATTGATACAATAAATGTCCATAATAAATTCCACTAAATCCAATGGCATTCAAATGAAAAAAATAATTTCTAAATCTTGCATTGGATTTCATGAATTGAAAAATTATCAAGTTCACAAAAAAGTCAACAATCAAAATGGCAATCGTTAGAGTTGCTAAATCCATGGATGAAAATTGCATTCGTTCAAAATATTTATACGCCTATATTGAGAAAGAAATGTAGAATGTCACAATGTAGCAAAGTATGTGAAATGATGCGATGAATTTGGCCTTCCGAAAATATTTTGTAAAAATTGAATCCGAATTTAGAAATTAATGTTTCATCGTTGTGTGATTGTGTATTACGGCTCATCATGATCCGAGCCAAATGAATGCCAGACACGCACACAATCAATACACAAGACAAGGCCAACATTTTTTTCAAATGTATTTTGTTGGCGTTGTACACTTGACATTTGACAGATGTACAAGCGTTGGCAAGAATCACCTTCTAAGAAGAAACATGGAGTTTTTCCAAATTGTTGAACTTCATACGTTTCAACAAAATGAAATTTGAAACCAAGATTAATAGTCTAAATAAAAATACTTTTTCACATGCAATTCCTTTTTTGCACAATCAAAGACAGCCCTAAATCGATATTCATAATGAGCAGCTCCAGCATTGAAAACAACAGGAATCCAATTAAATCGATCGATACAAGCATCACTTTTTGAATCAACCCAACAATGTTCATCTCTGGAATAATAATAACTGTCATCCATCTTTTCAAAATAACAAAATGGTTTCACAAGTGACAAATCCGTGTGGTGAAAATTTTCCTCTTGTTCTTCATTCGATGGATATTTCTTGTAATGTTCTTCTTCTTTGTATTTGTCATTGTCGTTGTTGCATTCCTCTGATTCATATATTGAATTATATTCAATAAAAGGTGAAATTGCCAAATATTCATTTGACATTTCTGTGTCCAATAATAGTGTGTGTAACAGGTCCATCTTGTTATTTAAAATACATGCACAAAAAGTAGCTAATGGAATGATACGAGCATGTACAATTTCATAACGAGAATTACTTTTACAAAGTACAATCTTGTCATTCCATGGATTTGGTGCATATTCATTATTACTTAAAATAGTAAGTATGGTCGCTAACTTTGCAATCTTTGTTTTCATAAGAGCACCACGATCGATATTGGCATCATTACCACATGGATTCCATAAATATTCATCATGACAAATTTTAAAACTTGTCACTTCCTCTAAATCTTCTTCCCATTGATCATCTCTTTCCACAACCGATTGATAATATTGATACATTGGAATATTCATCATTAAATTTCTAAAAATACGACGATAATGATATTGATGATCATGCTCTGAAGAAGCATCGATTTCATCCACAGCACGACTCGAATATTCATCCCACCATTCATCCATCATGAAAAAATCGTCGCACAGCTTTTTCCAAAGAGCATTACATGAAGCCACTGAATTCCAAAATCGATTCACGAGGCAACAAGAAGCGAGTACTTGTTGAGGTTGGAGAAAGGATAAAATACAAAATAAATCATCAGCACTAAGGTGAGCCATTTTTTTTGTGTTTGTTTTTTGTTCAAATTGGAAATGAGGTTTTTATTGCAACACAAACAATGTTGATGGGTAAGGGGAACATTTTCAGAACTTGTGTCACTGCAGCGGTCTGTGTAGGTTTGTGAGATTGAAGAATCAAATAAAGCATACTTTTTCAATTCTTCTAGCTTCCTACGAGGAGATGTAAATAATTTGTGTTGAATTCGAAATTACCTCAAATAACCTCAACACATTATTATTCATTTTCACACTTTGAGGTTCATAGAGTGTCAGGTGTCATCACCTCATAAAAAAAAATGTCTTGGAACTCAGACGCCTATAAAAATCGAGGTGTAGACAGTGGTCTCAGTGAAATGTTCGGAATCGACGACGGTAACTCGAAATCCTCATCGACCACCTCTACAAAAACCCCTTCTTCAAAGCAACAAGCGATTGAATTGAAAGGAACGACCGAACAAATGATTGCACAATTGGACGAATATTTGAAGAAGGGTGTGATCAATCGAATTCAATATGAACAATTTAAAAAACAAATTACTCAATAGATACATCATGATTTTGAGAATAATTATTGTGTAAAATAGTAAAATGGTTGTGATTCGTTTCATTAAAAAATTATTTTGTGACAAGTGACGGATCTTTAGCTCATTTGAAAACTTGTCAAAATTTTTTTATTCCAACTCGATTTGCGTATGTCTTGTTGCTAGGAGCCATCACGCAGTAACAATTAAATGACAAAAAATCGCAAATTCTTCATAAAAAAAAAGTCTTGACGACCGTTTTATTGTTTGAGCAAGGTTCCTCTCTTAGTACGATTTTAATCATTAGCAGTCCGAGCAAGAATTTTGTTTCATAAAATTCTTTGTTGTTGTTTGAGTGAAAGGAAGTTTGATCTGTGACCTGTAGCAAACTTGATGAGTTTTGGTTTTTGAATGTATTATTAATATCAATCGTTTGATTGGGATTTGTTTTGCAAAGCAAAATTTTCTTCCAAACTTCCATGAGTGAGATTGTTGCTTCTTCTGTTTTAATGTGAGTCTATACTCTGTACTTCTGACTTGCCAACACATTGCTTGACTCACGTCCTTCCTTTGTTAAATAAAAGGCCTTTTTGCATTTCTCATATCTTGAACAAAACAATTACAAATGTCTTCCTTGACAGTTTTGTTGTGGAGGGACTCATTTTTTGTCATTTTCCTCTTGATGGTGGAAGAAATTACAGTCAAAAACGTCCACACTAAAAAAGGCGCCAGAGGAAGCATATCATTTTCACCGCCTGCATTTGTTCACCAAGTCTCACCAATTAATACCAAACTGTAAACTGTGAATCCTATTGAATAATTCACTCGCTTTCTCTCGGTTCGGCCGGACTCAGCCGTATTGTGCTGGCAAATATGAAGGATCTACGCTTGAATTTGGCTGAGACAAATAATTTTAAAAAAATCAATAAAATATTTTTAAAGAAAGTCCCAAAGATTTGGACATACGGGTGTTGAGAAACACTCAAATGTGAATGGTTGTATAACTCTTCTTTCTTCCTCGATGATCTTCCTCATCGCTACTCATTCCATTTCCATCATCATCGTCTGATTCTGCTTCTTCCACCACAATTTCATGAGGATCTTCCTCAGAATGCATCTTTAAGGTTTCTCCAATAATATTGTCATCACCACTATTGCTCGTGTTATGCAAATAAGGTGGATAATTGGATGGCTTTTTCTTTGGTGATGCCAAATCATAATAAGAAACTGTGGAATTTGTTCTTCGTGGTGAGCCGAGTGAAGCAGCCGTGACAAGTGTCTCTGTCACATTGGAGTTCTTCTTTTCGAGAGTTTTTGGTGGAGTTGACGAAGATGTTGTTTGATTTTTAGTCTGTTGTTGTTTGTTTTGTCCAATATTGAATAAATTCTTAATGGAGAAGGATCTCTTCTTTTCATCCGAATAATCTTTCATGAGAGAACTGTTGGAAATGACCACTGGATCCATGCTGCCCATGACAAGTCCCAAAGCAGAATCATTTTCTGATGCAGATGCGTTGAGAGTGCCACTTCTCTTTTTGTTGAGTGGATATTTTTCTTTTGCATTTTCATAATCGTCTCGAAGTTTGTTTCTTGGTGAAGTTTCTTCCATTTCAGGATGATCTTGTTGTGTCTTGATTAATTTGTTACTGCTGCTGTTATTATTGTTGGAGTCTTCGTCTTGTTTAGAATTTGTTGCTGTTGAGGAAGAAGCAATGGACTTGCTTCTACGATTTGGAATTTTTCTGCTGCTATTGTTTCCAGAATCTACTTGTGAGTTATTATTGTTTGATGCAATAATTGTGTTAAAATCGTTGATGAGCTGTCGAGCAGATAATTGACGTCTAGCCGAAGTTCCATTACTGGCAGTTGAGTCTTCAGAGTTACTGTGTTGATGATAAGATTGTTGTTGTTGTTGTGCTTTCTGAACTCCTGATTGCTGAAGTGTCTCTTCCTTAGTGTGGTTACTCTTTGCACTAAGATTACCGCTCTCGGTGACACCACTTGAATGTCCTTCTATTAAGGTTTTCATTTTGATTTTCTGCAAACTATGTTTCAAGGTGGTCAATGAGTCAGCAATGAGGGAATTTGACGAAGTTTCATTCTTGGAAATGGCTGCAGTAATGTTGCTCATTAAATCTTTAGTTCCTCCAGAGCTACTCGAAAGCACATCGTTGAAGAAGACATTCAAGAAGGTCCAATATGACTCTTCAGCTTCACAGGCCCACAAAATTGAAGCTCCTGTATCCTTGTCATTGATTTGTATGGAATCTGTCGTGTATTTTCTGTACTGTTCGTATTGGGAAATGTTCGAATTGAGAGTATCTAAATCGAGTGCCTTATAGAGCTGCATGTAACGTTTTCCGAGATGGGGAACTACTTGTTGTGAATCATGCATGTGTTTTCCTAAAATTCGACAAACAGTTTCTGCAATCATGGAGGTTCTGTTGACTTTCTTTGTATCATCCGTTGTTGCGGTTGATAGGTCATTAACAGCATTCATGTCAGAGGTGTTGCTTGCAGCAATGGACTGACGTGTCATGTTATTCTCTTGTTGCTCGTCATCTTTGGAGCTGTGTGAAATATTGATCGCAACGGTCAAGATGGTAAGAAGTGTAGACTCCAAGAAAGTTCTTGTGAAAAATTCTCTAAAATCAAGTAAGAAGGCAAACAACTCGCACGTATACACGAGAGTATCTGTGAGATCATCAATGTACTCAGAATTATCTTCAGATGAGTTTTCAGTTTGTTTGGCATGACTGTACAATAATTTAAATGGATTGGTTTGATTATTAGATGTGATGGCAGAAATTTCTTCTGTAATGTGACAATACCATAAAAATCTGCACAAGAATCTAAATGGCTTAATGTAGAGGCTGAGTTGACTCTCTTTTTCTTCGATAAGCGACAATTTTGTGCGTGGCTTGATGAAACAATATTCGTTTTGGTAATACTTCAATAAATCAACAAATGTCAAATTAGGAATGTTTGAAAAAATCACAAGTTGATCCATCAGTAAAAATCGAACACTCTTTTCACATTCCTTTTCAATTACGGTAATGAGTGGCTGGTTACTGAGAGAATCTCCTCGTGACATGAATGCATGACTGTCTTCCTCATCAAAGGCGCTAACGTCTTCATTGATTCTTCTCAAATATTTTAACTTGTATTCTCTGTAAGTGATGTGAGGCAAGAGATTTCCGGATCGAATGGCATCAAGCAGTGAAAGATGATATTCACGTTGCTTTCTTGATGGTTTGTTAGGTTTTTGAGAAGTGATAAATTGGCAAATATTTGAGAGGAAATGCGACTCTGTAATGAGAAACTCCTTATCCAACAAGTCACTCAACTTTCTAGTTGTTTTCTTTTCCTTGACAATGGAGGCACGAGCTCTTCTACTTTTATCCGTGCTCGATCCAATATTACCAGTGTCTTCTTTTGAAACGAAAAGAAGTGAACACGTTTCTTTCAGCATGAATTGCAATTTTCTGAGATAGGTTTCAATAGCTCCAACTCTTAATTCGTCACTTTGTTTGGAAATGAAGAAATCTGTAGTACTCAAAATAGTATTCACTTCCTTACTGTCCTCCTTATCCAAATATTCATATAACAATTCCTTATAAATGTTTACAATTTGTTGAGTATCATAGACAGGTTTCCGTTGTTGTTGTTGCGAAGCTGCTGAGCCAATGACTTTTTTGTTTGGAACTGCTTTCACACTGTTATTACTTGCTTGAGAATTGGTGGAAGCCGATGAGTCTGACAATCCTGATGCCGAGTCCTTACTTCCAAGCATTCCATTGGTCACCAAGAAGATGGTAAATGCCTTCTTGTAATCGAAACGTAAACAAAAACGAATGGCCTCATGAATTCTGCCAGTTTCCAATAAGAGTTGGGTTACAATGGATTTACCATTCACTGATCTCTTTTTCATTTCTGCTTCGAAACTATTCTTGAATGATCTCATATTCAGTGGAATGTAGTAATAGGACATGACAGAATTTTGAGAGGTTGGTCCAGGATCATTGCAAACCAAATCAATGCTAATGTTTTTCACATCATTTCCTGCAATCTTGTCAACAAGAATTTGGTAGAACACTGGAGATAAGACATATACGTCTTTTTTTTCATAGAGTGATGTCAATAATGTGATAACTGCATTTACAATATTCATGTTGGCATGTGATTTCAAAACTCCAGATCCAAGCCCCTTACTGATATTCGTCTTGTGATGCTCCATGAGAACTCCTGAACTTCTTACTAAATCCACAATACCTGTGTGCATTTGATCGTTAAGAACTCTAAAAACTTCTGTAATGTCATACATGAATAAATAAGTAAGGAAAAGTACAGTGGTTTTGGTGTAGTAAGAAATGATGCTGGAAGGAATAGAGTTTGAGGAATTGGGTGAATTTTCTTCGTTAGATTCATGAATTCTTGAATAGTATTTCACAGCCTTCTTATAATTTCCAAGCATGTACTGATTGTTGCCTGTCAAGAGGCATTTCACATCAGAGGCTGAAAATTTGTAAATGCTCTTACTTCGTGGATTTAAAGTTGTGGCATATCGTTCTTGGAAAGTATTGCCTGGAGAGAATTTGTTTGTCAGATAGGCAGTTCTGTTTTTAAGTTTTTGAATGACAATTTCAAGCAAATCTTTCAATTTAGATTCTAATCCTTCACTTTCGTCATCAGATGAGACAACTTTAACATTTTCTGGCAGTCCTTCATAGTCATCACCCAGATACTCGGTTGAAGTGTCACTGCTACCGTCGCCATCATCATCATTAGAATCGTCACTATCTGAATTGTACCTCTTTGAAGGTTTTTTCTTTTCATCCTCGTCACTGGAATCATATAGTAAGCTTGTAGTCGAGTTTTCTTGTTTCGTATTCTTCTTTTCACTGTTGATCAATTTAATAATCGTGGCAGTTTTATCGGTAGGTTTGCTAGCAATCTTGGAAAGCGCTTTCTGAACACATTGACCTAACTCTACCCAACAATCAAACAAAATAATGGGTGACTGTCGAATGGAATCTGCCTCAGTATCTCCCAGAGTGTTCGTATCCCAAACAAAGCATGATTGGCAGTAATGAACCAATTCGTTACATTTTCTCTCAGTCTCTTGCAAAAATTCTGCCAATCTCTGATATTGTTTAGTTTTCTCCTTTTTCAATAGTCGTCTGAATACGAGTTCTGTCAATTTGATCAAGTAAGGCAATAAAAAGTTTGGATTTTGGACCCCGTTAATTGACCAATCTAAACTATCTTGCAACACGTCGAAAAACATGGAAATTCTTTTTGAAAATGATTCTCCATGATTCAAGATATATTCACTCAGCTTTTTGATCACAAATTCCAAATAGTTGTGATTCTGTTTTTGAAATCGCGACAGTTGAGGATGTGACACGCACAATCTCCAAATTTCTAGAGCAGTATCAATCTTTGATTTCTTGGCATAGGTAGCATGGAAAATATATTGCTCAATTCCAAAACATGATCCATGATATGATGAAAGAATGGTTGTAAGATCAATTTCATCTCTCTCAGAAACATAATTAAAGAGCTTGACTTTGTACCCATCAGAAATCACAAATTGCCCTTGATAAGGATGAGATGTAATGGAGAAACGAGTAGTTTCCAAATCTCTACTTTCAGAAGCATTTTTGTAAAATGGTACAAAGTTGGAAACAACACTTTGTTGCAGCACTTGCTTATCTTTCATGAACATGAATTCGTTCAATCGTCCAATCATGGACATGTTTCCTCTCGCATCAATGAGCAACACGAAGAGACTATTATTGGACCAACACATGTCTTGAACAGAGAATGAAACCAATTCGATTGGATTTCTAGAGGTACGGCTCATGGGTAGGCATTCGAGAGATTTTGTACCATACACCAAACAGAAGGATTTTCTGCGGAGCGGTGAATAGAAAAATACTTTGGACTCGAATAGAGAGCTATGGTCAAAACTATTGGCCACCACACAAAGCATGGATGTTTCATTGTCCCATCTCACAACACATTCTGGAATGTTTTTTTGTTTGGCCGCCGTGTGAAATGCTTTCGAAAGAGATTGATCCTCTTCCTCTAAAACCTTATCCAATACCGTGTAGGTTCTGTCAATATTGAGATGGAATGGACAATGGTCGATAATGGGGAAACGAGGTGTTGGAATTGGATTTGTGTTAAAACTATTCGCCGATTTGCTAAACTTTCGTTTTGATAAATAAACTGTACAATTGGTGATGACAAGACATCGAGAGAGAATATTTGGAGGAGTATCCATATCGGCACGTAACATAGGGGACGAAGGCGGAGATGGTAAATTATTGAAATCATCAAAATAGGTAGAAATGATTGAATCTGCTGAAGCGCCTGAAAAAGTTCCTACTCGACTGATTAATCTTGGTGTGGACAATCCACTGTTAGAGGTTTCCAGTGCAGATGCAATTCCAGAACGTGATAAAATCATGGACATTCTTCCAATATTCTTTCCGCTTGCCTTTTTTGAGGCTGGAATATCGTTTCTAAATGTCTCGAAAACCATTTCACGTTTCTCTTCTTGATCATTTCTTCGATCTGAGTCGGTGGATCCTAGTTTGAGTTTTGGAATTTTAACACTATTTGGAAGTGAGACAAGTGACGCTTGCCTTGAGACTGGTTTGTTGCTGTCCGAGGAGGGTGAATGGTCATCATTAAATTCTGAATGCAATGGATCCGTAGTGCTGATTTGAGCCTTGGACATGTGTCTGAAAACAGAGGGACTTCTTCGACTCTTAATATGTGAACGACGTTCTTTTTCTTCTTCTTCGTCACTGCTATCCTTCAGTGATGCACTTTCTTTCAGCACATTTCCTTGACCCTTCAATAATGACGATGAAGAGAGAAGCATATCTTCATCGTTGGAAGAGGATAATCCCGTATTATGATGTTTCATAATAGATGCATTGTTACTATTGATAACACCCATGCTTGTGTTCGAAGGATTTGCATTCTTTTCAGATTCTGGGCTTCCAGCTTGGAAGAGCGATTGCATCTTGTTATAAATCTCTTGTTTAACAAACATTTTGCTGACAATGGCAGAACTGATTTGGCAAAATCTTCCATGGATGGGGCTGTGACAAAATTTAATGTCAAAATAAATATCCTCGTTCGGTAACAGCACATGTTTTGCTTCTGAGCTTTCTTTGGCACGATGATTCAAGGAATCCAAGCCATCCAAATGTGACGGAAGTATGGTCCATTCCTCAATAGAATATTGTAAGTAATTTCCCATTGTAGATGATGCAAAAGAGCTCGATGCCGCTGGAAAATGTAATCCCATTCCACCCACACTGAGGATTGGATCACGTGGAGTTGGTAATAAATCATTTCCAACAACGGAATGTCTGTGATAATGCACTCCAAAATCGTCAATGGCAAACAATCCTTGATTATTGGTACGCATCAAGTATCGATGATAGGTTTCCTCCTCCAGTAGTGAATCCACATTACTCGAAGGAAGGAGAGTGGCATTGATGGTATTCCGTGATTCGCTCATTCTTTTCGAGTCCGAGTAGCCAAATGAAGCTGAACTATTTCCGACATTAGGTGTTGACATGTGTTTTTGATTGGTGGAGTTGGGATTAATTCTAAACATGGAGTTTTCATATTTAAATAAATTAGCAATGTTGGATCTGTTTGAAGGAAAGCAATCATATAGCCATATATCATTATTTTCAGTGACACAAACTACATTGTATCCGTCATTGGAAATGAAAATTTGTTTCACAGAAACTGGAGGTAAATTATTGAGATTGATGTTTCCAGTCTGGTAATTTTGTTGTTGCTGCTGTTGTGAAGGAAGAGCTCCTAGTGACGAAGACCTCGTGTGAATATTATTGGCTTCTCCTTGTTTTTGAGTTGAGGAATCTTGATACATTCTATTTTGTTCACGAGTATTCTTATTCAAAAAATGGGTACTTTTCAATTTTTTCTTCCAGCTCAATACATCCATTTCATGCATACCACGAGGTGGAGTGACGCTCTTCAATTGCGAAAGTAAATTTCCAATAATTCCCTTTTTGCCTTTTTTGCTTTCTGGAGAATCATAACTAGAACCATTGAAAATGGTTTTAATTTTTTGTGACATGGACGTTTGACCTGATGTTTGCTGATTCTTTGACATGTTGGAAACTACTTGCTGAATTTGTTGGTTTCTCGAATAAATAACAATCAATAAATTAGGTTTAGATGGTGACGAAGTATTTGTCTGGTTTGAGGTATCAGGTGCAGTTCTCAATGCAAAAACCACAAATTTTCCATTATCAGACGTATTGAGACACATAATTTGTGACCTATATCGATTCATCAACTCGTCTAATTGTGGATCCACAAGGATATTCTTAAAATTTTGGTTACTGCTCGCTGACGTTGAATTTGATGCATTCTTTCCACCCATTTCTGCCACATGTACATCGAATGACAATTGTTTCGAAAAGGTCTTGTTCTTGTAAATTTGTTGTTTCATATCAATATTGGTTGAATTGTTGGTAGAAGTACTGTGGTTGTTGTTTGCTGAAGAAGAATTCACGACCATTCCAACACTATATAATTGTTCAAGAATTTGATCCTGAGAATGTGTGTTGGATGTTTGTGGTTGCTGACTATACAAAAACAAGGGATCCGCAATGAGATGAGAAGGCAATGCGCCCGATGAGGTCGGATGAGAATTCAACGAAGAGGATGAGGCTACGGATGAAGAGGAACCACTGCTGCTTCCAGTGCTACTACTCAACAAGGAAATTCCAACCGATGATGACGAATTGGATTTTCCATGATGATGATGATTCGGATAGGCTGTGATGGGTTTATTGAGTAAATTCATCGTGGATAAATATTTGATATTCTGTACGGGTAATCCATGAGTGGTTTTCTTCTTTTTGAATGAGGGAAGGAGTGAAGAGGAAGAAGGAGAGGAATCTAACAATAACAAGTGTTGATGATGATCGGAAGAAGATCCTGGAGAATTATTTCCGTTACTGGTGGAGGAAGATGAACTGCTGCTGCTTCCACTACCGCTACCACCCGAAGTCGAGGAATTGAGTTTGGCGATTGTGGCTTCGTGTTGGTACTCGATGGTGGTTAACATTTTTTGGATGAATTTGGTCCACGTGTCTGCTGTCAAGGTTTGTGCGTGTCATCCACCAAGTGAAAAACGAGGAAACATAAAGTTGATCATAAACGTTTCTTTATCTTATCGTTTGAATTAAACATTGACTGGAATGGCAGAGCCGTTTTCTGACTCGATGGCACATTCATCGACTCCCTTGGCAATCCAAAAGTAGCCTGTTAATATCAATGTATCAACATTAGGATACACGCAGGTCACGAAATTTGGAACATAATATTACTATTGAAAAATCGAAAATAACAAACATACCTTGCATACCAAATCCAGTTCCCCATGAATTCTTGACAATCCAATACTTTTGTGAATTTTCTTCTCCCCATCCTACAATGAGAACGACATGGTTGGTCAATTCAAATGGATTTGGAACTGGAGCAGAAAATTTAGAGGATGAAACATGACGATAAATTCCACTATGATAACTGAACAGATCATTATAAACTTCCATGGAAACGGCCTGTTGTTAATGGTTTTAAATATATTAGTAGGAATGCAATAAAATTATTTTGCAACTTACCAAAGGTCCATTCACCAAAATATCCAACATCCTATTGTTTGTGTGAAGAGTAAATTCATAATGTTAATGTTGTTGAACATATTGAACTCAATAACGTTATACTCACATATTGTTCTCATCAACAGCTCCGTAAAAACCACCAGTATACTTGTAGTCAGTCCAGAATTGTCTAACTGGGCAGTTATTGTTTGGTTTACATTGAGTCACAAAGCCTACATATGGATCACAGCTTTCAGCAACGATACCAAAATCCTCTCCATACTGTGAATTTGCGAAAGAATTTTAGGAATGCACAATATCAATACACATACCTTGGAAACAAGATAGGCAAATCCACCATCACATCCTTGTGAATAAATGGAACAACTAATGATATTTTCAGGGCTGTAAACTGGTTGGTCAATATTGTTGGAGAAAATTCTCTTTCTAGCCTCCATCATGGCTGTGGTTGCAAAAGAATAGCAACTAATATTTGAGAAATAAATGTGAGCATTCAAGCTAAAAACGCCCAAAACTTACCTTCCACATTGACCTTGATTTCTAACAGGTGAGACAAAGTTTTGACCACCAACATTTCTCCAGTCAAAAGATGTAGGGAATCCCTTCACTCCATATCGAGCCACATCTTGCAAATAACTAAATGTCGCATTATTAGCAACTTTTGAGATATCCATCTTTTTCAATTGCATCAAGGCTCTCTTTGTAATATCTTCACCAAATCGTTGTCTGATGAATTGAGAATGTTCTCTTCTATGCTTTAAACGGAAAGCTTCAGTTCGTTTTCCAAGCTTTCTAATAATACTTTCCATTGGCTGATTTTCCCATTCGGTCATTGGTTTGGCTTTCCAAGAGATTTCACCACGAGCATGCATTTGATTTAATTCTTCAATCATGGTCATGTCATTCTTGAAAACCATTCCATCAACTTTGAGTGGTGGCAATGCAGAGTGAGTAAAGACTTGTGGTTCCTGGGTTCCCAATTGCAATTTTGAGGCCTTCTTTGCAATGTAGCATCCCCATTTCTGAGCTCGGACCTTATTTTCGTGATACCAACCAACAAAGGTTCTATCGCAATGACTCACAATGACATCATTTCCTTGTGGATCTGTTTTCATATGTTCAGAAAGTCATATTTGAGTAAGTGTAAACATTTCCAGAACAAAAATTGAAAAATTTCATCATGCATTTTGACAATGATTGAAACCAAGCAAGAATTATGATGTATGTTTCAGTAAATTATTGTTAAATGTCAACTCACCCTTTCCAGCTGTGGTGAAATTAAAAAAGGCCCAATACTTATTTTCTCCAATGACCACTTCAAATCCTTGATCGTATACAAGGGTCCAGAAGCCCTTGTTTCCCTTTTGATCAACAGCAATATCTGGCATTTGTAAAGAAATCATCATGGTTGAAACAGGGTTAATCTTGGATCGGAGATCGCACTGAGCAATGACATCGTTGGCATTCATATTTTGAGCAGTGAGAGAAAATTCCCAAACACCAAGAGTGGTATTATAGAGACAATGTACAGGTAAATCTCCATTCACGAAAGACATGTTCATCATCATCACGACTGCTCCCACCGTGGCAGCAAGTACGAGATAGAGGAATGAAGAGAGTCTCTGGTTTTGCATTTTTTTTTCAAATTTAAAAAATTTTTGCGCAAACGAAGCTTGTGGATTGGAAGGATTGTTGTAAAGTGAAAGATTTTTTCCTCAATTACACCGCAAACACCCTTCGACACCAAAAGGTGAATGCATTGAACCTGGTGTAACAGGATGTAATTGCCACATTTATTGACACTTCAGAACTTGATGAAACTCACCAATTTTGATTGAATATTATTAAATAAAATAAAAATTAATCTTAAAAAAAAATATTGTTGACACTTCCCACAACACAAAGGAAAATGTTGAGGCGTGTCCATTCTTTTCTTGCGCGATCTACAAGTTTCAAATCCCATCCATTCATTCACCAACGATACAATTATTCCTTTCCAGTAAATTCTCAAGAAAGGTTTGATCCATTGTTGTTTTCTAATCATCATGATGATACTACAACAATTTTCAAAACATCATGTTTGAAAAGAGCTCAATTTCACACAAATTTCTTGAAAAGATATTCATCATCTGTGGGGGATAATGGTACCTCCGATCATGATGAATCAGTCTTGTTGGAGAATAATTCTGCTGTCAATATCCAAAAGATCCGAGAAGAACAACAAACAAAGATTTTACTTTCAAAACAAAATTCTCAATCACTGAGAGAAACATTTTCAGCAAGGCCTTCTTATTCATATTCAAAGGAAGAAATGGATCAATTTTCTTCAACATTTATGGAATTAGCTTTAACACAAATTAGTTTGGATGATTTAGATTCTTCCCTTGAAAATGTGGAATTTTGTTTGAATCGTCTCTATGGTCATATTGACGGCAGCAGTAACAATGAACTCCATTTGCTTGAAAAAAAGATTCAATTTATGGAAATGAAAGGATTTTTACTTGTTAGTAAAGAACAATTACAAGAAGCAAAGAACGCTTTTGAAGAAATTATCAAATTGGAACCTAACCATTATCTAGCTTGGTTTCACTTGGCAGATTTAAATTGTTCAATGTCCAGGTTTGATACTGCTTTAGAGTGTTGTAAGAAGGCTGTGGAAATTCATAACAACATGACACCAAACTCAAAAGAAAAATTACATGAGGATCTTCAACCTCACTGGACGTCACTATTCCATAACGTAGGTGCACGGCTGGATAGCCTCGATAAAACATTGGAATGTTATCAACTTGCATGTCAGATCTTTCCCAATAACATAAATATCATTCACTGGTGATCATGACTCTTGACAAGCTTGGTGAATATGAAAAGAGAGATGAAAAAATCCAAGAAATGTATCACAAATATCATGCAGGCGAGTTTGGACCAATATGTACCACTCCAAGCATGACCAATGTATGGCAATTCCCAAAACTGGAAGGTCATTTCGTCAGAGATGCGTTTAGAGTTCATGATTGTAAAAAACTTCAAGATTTTGGAGTGAATGCCAATTCTATTCAAGTTTTAGTTTTTGAATTTTATGATTTAATTGGAGAGCATACAGTCAAGTATGTATTTGTATGCTATGACGAACAGAATGATAAGGAATTTCGTTTTTCATTAGGAAGTTACAAATCCACTTGGGATGTTGTGAAAGAAATTCGTGAAAAAGATGGAATCCCAATGTCACCCAATGAACGAACATTCCACTTGGATTGTTATCATGAAAATGGACATGTTGGATATGGATTTTGTAGTGGACCAATAGAAGGACCTTTACCATTCTATGACAAGGTGAAGAACGGAGTGATTGAAATATTAAAAGAAGGTGATCATGGCTTTGATTTGGAAGTAGCTGTGCATGGTGGTACATCTACAAAATAAATAACTTTTCACATTCTTTCTATCTAGAGAACGTTTGTATTTAACAACAACAATTCTGTAGATGTACAGTTTCACGATCATGTTGCCTGTCACTCAGAGAACTTTCCCTATTATTTCGCCACAACTGGTCTCTTATTCACGGTCATTATGAATTTTCACGATTTTCATAAATGCTGTCGTCGGTGAAATAAATTCAAACGTTGCATTGCCTTTAAAAAAAAAATGCCGTTTCAAACCGAACAACCTCAACCATCACGCCCTATTCGTTATCCACCTCAACATCGGAGGAGTCAAAGTGCAAACAGTACCATGATGTCTGAAAAATTTGAAACTGTAGTTGTTGATATGGGTACAATTACCCCTGCATCACAAGAGACCTCTTCTTCAAAATCTCTTTTTCATCATGAATCGGTTCCGATACTGGAAGTACAATCACCGACGAGTAGTTCCGTAAGCAAGCATTTCAATTTTCGGAATGGGAATACGAGTCCAAATAACATGCCGGGAATGGGAGAAAAAGCATGGATGCACCAAGTATTTCTTCATTCTCAAATTCTAATCCACAACAAGAAATTGTTGATGTAAATAGTCCTCCCAACCATTCATCACCCCACATTAAAAGGCGAACGAGCTTCAAGGAGTCCTTACTCGCTGCAGTTGCAACTATAAAACCAAGAAAAATCATGGAAAAGTTATCTCCAAGAAGTCACAACAATACAAATTACAACAACACCATTGGCAACGACAAAGCAAGCTCAGTAACGGATTCTTCGCAGTTGCAAAATTCCAAATCTTTAAAAAACGAAAACATTGAACAGGAAGAAGAAATTGACCTTACACGAAGAAGCTTAGATCCAAGCCTTCTTCAGGTGGATCGTATTCGTAAAGAAAACAGTGCTAGTGGTAAAAGCAAGATTATTGAAAGTCACTCGTTAAAAAGATACACAGAATTCACTGCACTCGTTCGACAATACTTGAATCCTCACCTAGTACTTCATATATGCGACTATATTTCGTTTCCTATTGGCAGATTTTTATCAAAAACCACGAAAACTCCTTACAAGGATGATTATTTGAAATTATTCTTCGGAAAATTTAATATTAGTTTTTTCAGTTTTGCATGTAGCAAAGAAATTTACTTAATTTTCAAGAATATCATTATTACTGACAATTATAGTGTGGATTTTAGAAATTTTGATCAACTCTTTAGGACAGTTCCATTGAAGCGAATTGAGTCTCTTGCGGTTCTACAATTCGATTCGTCTTGTATGAGCTCTTCGTTTGCAGCAGCTCTTCCCAAATTACTCTACCATTGTATCTCTCTCAAGAGTTTGTATATTAACACCGAAGTTGTGACAGGCAATGATTTGCCAATGATATTTGACAACAAGACAGAGAATTCTAAGACGCCTACGTCCAACGATATTTCACCATCTTGCCACTCCTCTCCTTCCAACCATAAGAAAAGAAAAAATTCTAAAAATCATGGTAATTGTCTAGCAACAGTGGATCCTAAAACGTTTGAAACAACTCTATCTTCTCACTTATGGAGCACATTAGAGGAATTAGTGATTGGAGAACGAGTGAACATTTCAGGTATTGACATTTCCAACTTTAAAAGATTGAAACAATTTACTTGGAGATCTCTTTCAGAAACACCTTCAGACGGACGTTTTTCATTCACACCAATTAATGGCCATTGTACTTTGACCACGCTGGAGCTTTCAAAAGTGAGTCTTGAACACACTCAATTAAGGAACCTCTTTGGGTCATTTCCTTCCTTAACAAATTTAAAAATTGAATATTTACACTCGAGGCTCTCTCATCGATCCATTACCTATTTACAGAAAAATACCACCCTAAAACGATTAACTCTAAGATATTGTAAAAATGCTGACTACAATAGCGGTGATGTGATTTGCATTAGCGTCGCAAATCATCCAACACTGCAATATTTAGACATTAGTGGATTGGAAGTGTGCGATGATGCACTGAAGTATTGTAAGTATCATTATTGGCATCACTGTCATTTTATTGAATTAATTTTGAACTGCTTGGAATGACATCAATGATTTGCTGGATGTGATATTTTGAAATTTACAACAATTAATTGAAATTTTGATTTACTCTCAACAGTACTTGTAACTAACAGAAACAAGTTATCCATTCTCAAAGCGAAAGGTAGACTCGTCTCCAAGAATGATGATGAACCACACATGGCTATTAACAGTCAACAAGGTATTCAACCAGTGCCTGTCATCACTGGACAAGGTTTTACTGAGATTTATCGCAATCAAACCATCACTTATTTAGATTTAACCAATCAGCCCATTACTTCACAAGGAGTTGAATTTATTGCTCAATCTTCTTCAATTCAACATTTAGTTTTAAGGAATTGTTCTCTGGGAAATGAAACGATCATTCCTTTGATTTCTTCACAATTTCCCATCACTGCAAATATTCTCTCGCTAGATTTGTCACGAAATAACCTCAACGATCGATTCATGTTCGTAAGCAATGGTCATTTGAATTCAAGCATTTGGCAATGTCTGGAACAACTCTCACTGTCAGGAAATCCAATGAGCACCAACGTCATCAATGGTTTGACACACATGTTGTCTGAAAAATGTAAAAAATCTCTCAAGAGATTATTTGTGAATGGATTGAATATTAGAGATGCAGGATTTCGTTCCATACTTTCAACATTCCCAAATTTGGAGCATATTGAGGCAGCAGATTGCCGTCTGACCAACAAGTCCTTATTATTACTGGGTCATTGCAAGTCACTGTTGAAATGTAAGGTCAATCAGAATGACTTTTTTTGGGATAAACCAGTATTGCAAGCGCTCTTTATCGAGAATACCATGTTGGAGAGTGTTGGAATTGTGAGTCAAAACCTGCAAACTGAAAAAGAGTTCAAACGATTGGCCAAAGTGTTGAAAAATAACAGAAACATTCAAAGTCTGACAATTAATCATTGTTTGGTTCCCAAGAAACAAGGCGCTATGGCTCCATCATCTAACGACGACGACTCGGGTTTCTATATTGATAGTAAGGCAGAAGCTCAATTCAGAATTGATTGTTATCACATTGGAAAAATTCGGTTTACTTTTGATGAATAAACAATTGTGGTTGTATTCCAACTAATTAAGGTAACGCATTGAGTGACACCATTTATTTTGTTCCACTTTACCATGATTCTTCTTGTTCTTCATTATTGGCCAACGATCGCAAAATGTTTGGCTTCTTCTTTTTGTATTGTTTCACATCAATCAGTTTTTTCACACCAGAATGTTTTTCACTCGTCTCCACATAACCTCCAACTAATTCCCGTTTTCGCTTCTTTTCTAACTGCTCTCTTTCGCATTTTGAATGCCAAGTTGTTGCTCAGACATGGCCATCTTTCGTTTCTCAAGTTCTTTTTGCAGTTTTTCTTGCATGTCTTTGGAAAGTTGAGAGGTTGATAATCATCGAGTGTGGAAGCAGAGGACGATGTGAAGCCTGAGGTTCGTCTTCCTCTGGTAATTCCATCGACTTTTTAGCGAATGGATTTTTCTCGTTCGATCTCTTCTTCGAATCCGTGGTTGATGCTTTGACACTTTCGTGCATTTCTGAAACTTTTGTTTTTCGTTTCTCTTCAGATTTTTCTCCTTGTTGAGATTTTTCTGGTAAATATCGAGAAGTTGATTTTGCCTTATGAAGTTGCTCTCTTGCCGTTTCTCCTTTCTTGATTGCTTTTTCTGTTGTGGCTCCTGGTACTGGCTTGTCATCCAAATGAGTCAATGAAATTCCTGCATTTGAAAATAATTCAATAATTTCTTCCTTAAATTTCTCAGCTCCTACATTTTGAATATGCTCATCAAAGTTTCCTACAATGGATAAATTTCTGAGATTTGGATTATTCTTGATAATTTTCACGAGATGGTTTTTAACAGTGTTCCATTGATGCGAAATTTTGTTATGACTAATGGCCAATAGTTTTAAACTTTCTAATTGTTCAATTTGTTTCAATGTTGAAATACAGTTCGTGTTGGAAAATAATTGAGGATTATGTGAAAGTCTCAATTCTTGCAATGTTTGTTTACATGTCACAATAGTTTGATCAAGATTCACTAATGCAGTTTCTGTTGCTCCAAATTTAGTAAGGGATGGTACATTGGCAAAATCTACAAATTTGGTCAATTTGGGATTTCTACTAATGATAATCGTATTGAGATGCTCGAATTTTCCTTCTAATTGTAATTCTTGTAAATTATTGTCGTTCAAAATTAAAGCAAGTAGTGAAGAGGTGGATGACGATGTTGTCGAGGAGGACGATTGAGACTTTGTTTTGAGAATTTTCTTTTTTGGTTCTTCTTCGGTGGACTTTTCTGGCTGAGCTGTTCGTAAGAGTGTTGAATTGAGAATCAACTTGTTAGCAAGTTGATTGTGTGACAGATTGAGAACTTTCAAATTTGGTGCATTTTGTACCAGCGACAAAATCTCTGAATTTGTTTCATTAGAAGACACAATTTGATTCTCATGAGCATCTAAATGTTGAATTTTAAAATTTTGCATCACAAACTAAAATATAATAACATGAAATATATTGTCATTCAACACTTGAATTCATTCCAAAATAATAATACCTACCTTTAAATTCTTGAGTTTGTTTTTATGAACTTCCAATCTCTTTAAATTCTCACACAAATGCAAATTTTTTACATCTTCAAATCCTCTATTTGCCAATGACAATTGTGTAATTTCATGGAGTGGTAAATTCTTTGGATTAAATTCTTTTTGGAAATATTCCGATTGAATATCCAACACGGAAGGGGCTGGAGTTGCATCAGCAGTAGTTGGCAACGCTTTACTTGTTGAATGAGTGGATTTAGTCTCCACTGTATGATTTCGTTTGTTATTATTTCTCAAAGAATGATTGAATGAATTTCGTGAAGAGGAGGACATGAACGCACTCACTCCTCTCTCTTCCAATCGGGAATTAAATTTTTCAAAATTCTTTGATGATACATTTGTTTTGCTATAGGGTTTTTTACTCGCTAGGGAATTTCCTGAATCCTTCCTTTCATGCTTTTGTTGTTGATGTGATGGTTCGGAACGAGTGGTTGGTTTGGGCATTTTTGTTTCAACAACTTTTTTGACATCAACTGATTTTGGGATCCACTTCTCGACTAATTCTCGACTAAGATAATCAATGAAGAACAACGATGGTCTTGCACTTGCATTATATAGGCCAAACGTTGTTTCCCTTTCTTTGTCAAATCAAGCAAAAAGGAAACGAAGAACTTGCTAAAATCATGAAGAACAATAGAAAGTCTATCAATTAACCCTTCAAAGCTTTGAAAAAATAAAAAAAAAAAAAAAACAACTCATGCCTCCAGTTTGTAATTCGCTCCAAAGACCTTACTTGCATCAAAACAACACTTTGCGATGTGTGGTTATATCAGTAAGTTGAAGTAATACCAAGGCTGCTCATTGTTTACCATATTGCAAGAGCCGATCATCACTAAGGACAAACGTAAAGGAAAAAAAACTAGTATCATTAAGGACATCATTTCTCTCTACGATGGAAATGATACGAAGAGCGTTCAAAAAATTAAGGGTGAGGGCTTTTTGTTGATCTTCCAATAACACCCACGGCTGAACAAGATGTGGAGAAGGTTTTGGACTGTAATCCGTTCGCAAAGCATGTTAGAGATGCGTTACAAATAGACAGGGTGTTTTTTCACAGTTTCAACAGCTATTAACCAACAGAGACTGAACTCAAGTGGACGGTCATGTAATTCTTGATGTAGTGGTTGATGATCCTTATTTGAGTGGAGAAATGCTCAACTTCAACCGCATGGCAGTTGTTGATAAAGAGGGAGCAAGGTCCGCACAAGAACTAAGAGAGAACTCCAAACGAAAGAAGCAAAGTGATTTAGAATCGGATAGTGTAGCGTCTTGCATTTCTGCTGCTGAAGATTCAACAGCTCAATCCCACACTAAGAAAAGAAAATTTATGGAAAACGTAACACAGCAGAGTTCTCCACAACCTCCTCTCCAAATTACAACTACTGCTTACCCAACATTTAATGAAGGGGAATGGATTGAAAAATTTAAAAAAGCGATTCGCAATGATAAAAAATCACGTGACGACACAATGCAACACTCGAACAGTGTGTTACTTGGTCTATTAAACCTTACTAATGAAATGGAGCGAACAAAGAAAGAAATAGAGCAACAAAAGAACGAATTAGAGCAAAAAAAAAATGTATTAGAGCAACAAAAGAACAAATTAGAGGAAAACACGAAGGCACTTGATGACTATTTGTGTGATTGAAAGGGCTAAAACAGAGCAACAAAAGCTCAATAGATCAAAACTTGAACTGCTAAAGAAAAACCTGTTTAACAAGGATGATAAGTAACAGTCTTTATGTGGTTGGGACTTCTAATTGTGCAATGAACTTGAAACTTGTCCCAAGTTTTCGAATAACTTTTGCATACCCTTTGCCAAAGCACCCAATTGCGCCAAACATGATCCAAAACCGAACCACCATTAAATACAGAACCAGGAA